TATTAGAGACGTGTACTTTTATATTTTAGATCCACTCTCAACATGTACTACAATTGGAGACGTACTGGTATTGGAGACGTGTACGTTTAATGGGGAAAATACGGTACCCCATCCCGATTTTAAAAGTATGGGAGAAACGCAGGGATTATAATTATGGATGTATGGATGCATGGATGTCTGGGATGCATGGATGCAGGGTTGCATGGATGCATGGATGGATGTTTGGATTTATAGAGGTATGGATGCATGGATATATGGAAGCATGAAAGATGTATGGCTGACATTGGCTGTATGGATTTATGGATGTATGGATGCATGAATGCATGGGCATTGGCTTACAGCTTTGAGTTCAGCCACCAGAGCACTCTGCTTGTTGGCTAGCAGCTGCAACTGTGCGTCCATGTCCTCGTCGGACTGCAGCTGATGGTCGATGGCCGTTGAAGCCGGGAGGCCGTTGTCTTCCACCTCCTTGATATGTTTGCTGTGCAGGAACAAAAAAATAACCGCAATTTAAGCCAAGTTCAGTTGGACTGATAATGTGCTTATGTCCTACACGGCTCCAGCCCAGAGCGGTGGGCCCGTACAATTACTTCATTGGAACATGCTCAGCCATCATCCCAAGCTCCACTGATACCACCCAACAGAGTAGAAAATATTTTGAAGGAAAGGACCAAAATCTTACTTGTTATCCATAGTTTGTGTCCAGCACTAACACTTATTTTGGTCCTTTCCTTTAAATTTAATACTTGGCTCTCCATCCGAGTCTTAGAGAAGGAATAGCTATAATTATATTATACAGAGATAGAGTAAGAAAAGTGTTTAAAACAGGCAGTTTGTACTGCTTTCACTCACTCTCTTAGCTCGCCTATATCAGCCTTGCGCTGTGCCGCGAGGCTGAGTCGGGCCTGGTCCAGGCGGCGCGCTTTCTCCGCTTCCAACTCGTCGGTGGCCTGCTCCAGCTTCTCGGTATGCCTCATGACGATGGCCTGGATTTGTTGCGGGTCAGTGACGCCTTCAAGCTCTGCGTGCATGTCTTTCATGGCCGCCTCGATCAGAGCTTCCTTCTGTTTCTCAATGTCTTCAATCACCTCGTCAAACGCGGCAAGCTCAGTCTGTGGCAAAGAGAAAGAAAGGTTCAATCCATTCATTCTAAAGTGGCAAAAGCAAAGTTTTTACGCCAATAGACTTATGTCTCTTATCGGGGCTGTCTAGGACCGGACACTGCATGCCCAGAACTTGGAAATGTTCCTAACTCCAAATCACTGTGACCGGTAGTCAGGGTTGTTCTGTGTAACTCCAAATCACGTACATTTTGATGGGGAAGGGCTAGAGATCTGGGATATGACATCACTATTTCCCCACAAAAGTGGCAAAAGAGTAGTAATATTACCACTGGAACTCATCCCCAGGGTGCCCGGTAGATCGAGGTGCCCGTAACTTGGAGGTCCGGATAAAAGAGATATGAGTGTAGCTGCAAATATGAACAGCAGTCCATGCATTCTGCCAGTAACGCGTTACTGTGATTACCTGAAGGAGTTTCTTTTCCAGCTGCGTCACCTCCAGGGTGTGTTTCTCGGCCAGCGTACGAATCTTGTCCTGTTCCTGGCTGGTGTAAGTGCTTGATCCCGCCGTTGTTGCAGCTGCTGCGTCCGCCGACTCTGGATCGGCTGGAGCAGCGAAAGCGCCTGCTACAGTGACTGGATCTTGTGTGCCATCTCCAAGTCTTGCGACTATACAGGGGAGCAGGCCAAACAACAACAGGATGTTACGCATGTAACATTATGGTATATGCTCCCCGCCCTTACGCACTGACACTTGTCTAAGCCAGCTGTTATTAAAGAAACGTCATGAATGTGGTCCCTGGTACACAAATTCAGCATTGTTTACATCAGTGTAGTGGAGTGAGCAGTTCCTCCACAGGTAAACATCCTGTCCGGAGTGCATATTGACGGCCCCCGACTTCCAAGCCGCTTGAACACTGGAAGTTACGCCAATGCTGCTGAACACGTGCAAACTGTTTTCGGCATTCAGACATACTTCAACCATGCATCTTTTACATACGTTGCTCCATTTAACCAAAGGTCTAGAGCAAAACAACTCCCTAGAATGTGAAAACAAAGTCATGAAGTAATCGTTCTGGAGGAAGTGGCATGTTGAAAGGCAACTTGTATCGTATCATGGCTGGCAATGAAACCCATGCAATTGGTGCTGGCATGTTTGAGGCCAGGACATTGTAGCTCACCAGAACCTGCGGTTGTTGGCATCACTCCAGCTTGCAGTGACGAAGCTGATTGCTGTTTAGCATCTGTGACTAGCTGCGACTGGAATGAAATGCAGAAAACAAGGAGATATTGTTCATAACAGCATGATATCTGGCAAGGAATATGCAGAAGTGAAAGCTGACAGTACACTGGTTGTTGAGGAGACAAGCGCAGTTCTTAAAGTATACAATGTGCTGCCGGGGTGGACTCAGTTCAGACTATTGCACTTGAATGCCACAACCACCACCACCACCCAGAGTCTTTCTCACGAGAGCGTATTGATGGGAGTAGGTGACTGGCGATGACACAGTGGCAAAACAAATACAACCACCCCAACACGAGTAGCTGGAAGCTACATAGAACTGCAGCTTTAAGTTCATACTGAGAGCACGAGAGAGAGAGAGAGAGAGAGAGAGAGAGAGAGAGAGAGAGAGAGAGAGAGAGAGAGAGAGAGAGAGAGAGACAGAGAGAGAGAGAGAGAGGCAGAGAGACAGAGAGGCAGAGAGACAGAGAGACAGAGAGACAGAGAGAGAGAGAGAGAGAGAGAGACAGACAGAGAGACACAGAGAGAGAGAGAGAGAGAGAGAGAGAGAGAGAGAGAGAGAGAGGGAGAGCGAGAGAGAGAGAGAGTTGCGGCAGCTCATGCATTCATTCGTGCACCCATACACATGCACAACACCCATTCCAGCTTGGACATGTAGCCACTACCCCACATACCCATTTCTGCTGTTGTGCTGGGTCACCGCGTGCTGCGAGGGATGTCGCCGTAACGGAACTCGGTAGTTGTTTCATCGACGACGACCTGCCCAGCTGTCCTTGCAGCCGCTTGCCCTGGAGCAGAGCAAGGGATGCCGATGACAGAGTTGTCAGACCTACGCCAGCAGCAGCACCCTGGGTTGCCATGACAGCCGGAGCGCCGAGGCCACGCTTTCGCACCAAGTCGATGAGCTCCTCCAGCAGAGCTGTAACCTGATCATCATCAGCGAGAAGAGTAGAAGAAGAAAACATGGGTAAGTTTAAAAAGTACAAAACTCGGATGTTGAACCAATAGTAATGTTGTACATGTGGCTGCGCTCGCATTCTGGTTGTTTTGGGTGCCTTCTTCTTGAGACTCTCTTTGGAGCAACAACAATAATCTGTTCTCTGAGTGTGGCGTACGTGTGATATAAGAGATATCGAGAGTAATCGGAAGGGCTATCGTCGAGGCACAACCCCCCCCCCCCCCCGACGACAGTAATATGTAAAGAGAAAAGGACCTATACGTTACTTGTTATGACTAGCAGTCCACCAAGGTAATCTCCTTGTCAGTTTTGTGCCTTATTCTCGTTACCTTGGTGGGCTATTAGTCATAACGAGTACTTCGGCAACTTATACTTAACTTATAGGTCCTTTTCTCTTTCCAAGTAAAGTACAGTTTTAAATCAATGTCCACTATCTTCAACTTTACAGGATGTAAGTTGCGTGGAATGTGAAAGTTTGGCGCAGCCAAATATACTCCGAAAATTCATTGAAGTACTGTCGCGGCCAAAGAAATCCAAACCGCGAGTCCAAAGCAGCACCGCATTTCCATTTCAATTACATCATGCACAGTGAAGAAAGGCAAAAGGACATATGGAAACGAGTTAAGAGTAACTCTCCACCACTGTAACTAGATACTATATACAGTCAGAAAGTGCAACAACTAGGCACAAAACTGACACAGTACTGAGACATTCGACGTCCTGACACCTAGCTTCAACACATCTCCGTAGCGCTAACCGACAGCCTTCCAACTCGGAAGGTTCAAGGTTATGGACAGACCAAAGAGGGGAAGTGTAATAATCGATCCAAGGGCCACGGGGGGGGGGGGGGGGGGGAGAGCCATGGCCCTGATTTCGGCACGTGGGTCGGCTTTCTTCGGCCACGACTGTATAATGCACCATGAACACCGTATGCTGGTAGAGGCGACGGTTTCAAATAGGAAATAGGTTGCAAACCGGAACGGACTCAATATTCACTTTCTCTCTTGGTATTTTGATTAGAAAACATATGTCACAGTGAGACTACGATGTGTTATACTCCGAGCCAAAATTTCATGGCTCTGCGATGACCAGAAGCGCCATATCAAGCAGGTGAGTTTTTGACGTGTTGCTTCGCACTGCGACTTGAGTTTTACGACTTTCGAAAAATCAACTTCTTGTCGCAGGTAAACAGCGGCTCGCCTCTCGACAATAAAGCACCGCATACCAATCAAAACTAATGGAAGCACACACAAGGCTTATTGTTACTCTGTACTGGCCGTCGTGGAGCGATAGCAATTACCTAATTTCAGACCCAGAGTGAATTTGACGGGCACTCTAAAACGTGTCCGGTTTGGAGCCACCTCTGATTTGAACTTTTTTGAAGCGAAAAATTGGGCAACTTGGAGGCAATGGGTCAACACAAAGGAGTGGCTCAGTTCGATTGACTCTGGCCCCAGAGCAAACTTCAACATGCCAGTTTCCTTCCACAAACATATTTCGAGTGAAAAATCAACGTTGATGATCGTTTTGGGTCTATACAAATTTGGCTGTCAAAACGTTCCGGTATCGAGCCGTCTCCTCTACACTGGGATAAGTGTGTCGGGGGATAAGCAGTTCAGTCGTAATCCCAGCATACTCACACACATCACTCATAAGTCCCATTTTTGGCCATGTACAATGGGAAAATGTGAACTCATTGGGAAGCTAGAGTAATTCCATTGTGCCCGGGTGATTGGTACGTACCCGACTGATAGCGGCGTCGGACACTTGATCCACCCTGAAGAGAGACGTGCTGAGGACGTCGTAGGACAGTGGGCGCATGCGATTACCAGCAAGTACAGCCTGTTGTTGTAGCACAGTACGGGGGGAAAAGAGAGAGTGCCGAGATATGAGCAAGCGTGCGGGTTGTACAAAGATATGATGCGAGAGGAAAGAAGTGTTACGTATGATGTCATGATTACTATGTATGACATCATGATTATTACGTATGACGTCATGAGTCCTTTTAGCACATGCGTGCACATTCTTTCTGTGATCTTGTTGGTTCAAAGACTCTTACTGACCTTCATCTTTATCTCTGTCTAAAATGTCTACCTGTCTACCCTGGATGCTGCGTGTTGTAATTACGGTACATTACATTGGTACTGTGCATGCTGAGTAAGACAGGGGTAGGACATAACAAGAAGCTAGAGAGAAGTATTGAGCATAGGATTGTACGAATTTTACATGCACATCAACAGACGATCTTTGCAGGCAGACAAACAGTTTCTGTTCACAGCAAGGCTAGCAGTGTGAATGATAGCCCAGTGATTCTCTACCTTGGCTTCTTGGTAGCAGAGCTCAGACCTGAGGCGCAGACATTCCAACTTCTCCATCAGTTCATCCAGCACTTTCTTTCTCTGGGAACCTTGATCGACCAGCTCACCGAAGATGGAGTCCATGGTTGCATAGTGACGCTGCGCCAATGCATTGCGTGAGTTAGGGTTGAGATCCTGGGTAGTACAATGCCCACATGAATATGACAGCAGTAGAACATCTGGCTGAGTTACGCTTCAATCTTAGGTTTGTCAGGCCGTCACATTCATAATGATATCACCCCTCTCTTCACTCGTGCAAAACAATCATGATTGGCATTAGATTCAGGCTGAGTTTGCCTCATCCGTAGGCCACCACTCTCGAAGATTAAGTGGTGCGAAAGCAGGTGCTAAGGTCACGCATGCAAAGCAGCCATCATAAAAGTAGATTTTAGTACACGCCAGTGGTTCTCCCAGCAAGGATGCGATTTTGAACTATCCATGACACCGTTGAACTGCACGTTTTTTTTCACTGTACCTTGCTTGCTTCCTCGAAGCTTCTCATCTCCTTCTGCATGTCCTCTACGCGTTTGCTGAACAGCTCCTCCAGACGGGTGTACGCCGAGTGGAACGAAGAGTGTGCGTGCGTTTCGGCTGGGTCACACTCCACGAGCAGGGTCATAGCCTCGGCATCCAGCCTGGTTGCAAGTTCCACTTGTGCGGATTGGCGGCGATGATCCTACGCAGGGGATTAATGCGCAGCAAACGGAAATAGTCAAAGCTAGGGAATCGATAGGCTGAGTGTGTGATGAAACTTATATTATGTTGGTCTGATTTGCTTCTCCTCAGGGGAAGAATAGAGAGGGGCAGATAAAGAGGGAGACGGAAAGAGAAACCGATAATAGAGTGTGCACTTGCGCCATTTCTGGTGTATAAGAGTGATCATTCCTTTACACTCCATTATCATCATTATCACCCTCTATTGATGAGCTCCGGCAGAGAGCGAAACAGCTGTCTAGAGGCATCGAAAAATATTATCTCTCAACGGAAGTGTCCTTGCTGGTGTCTGTATGGTTCGGCTGAGAGCGCGTGGTTGTGATGAGTTGGGAATGCAATAAACTGAACATATTGCCGAAAGCTCTGTCGCAATATTTAGTCATACATAGGTAGGTCAAACAATTCTCAGAATGATCTCTGCTTGGACTAAGACAGTACCGATGGCCTCTGGTTCGAGTCCTGGCAATGAAAGTAAATTTTCACTTCGGACTTTGTCCCTTTTCAATCCATCAAAAAATAAATTTCACGGTTCGCGTGAGACTCGGCTGGAAGCCGAGTTTTCCGCATCCGCCGTGGGAACGCCACCACCCTCTAGGATCAAAGGCGCAGATGCAGCGCCTAAACGGTGGGAGGTGAGTAGATCAGACCCACCACCAAGTGGTCAAAGACCGAAATCCCATTAGCTGCATCCATGTTACCCTCGTGCCAGGCCACGAGTTCCCAATTAACTGTGGGTCGCAGCACGGCTGGAAAAATTCCTTCCGCTTCCAAGCAGGACTTGAACCTGGTACCCTCTGTTTCTCAATCATGGTCTTAGACCATCCCACTATGCCTGCCTGCCTTCAATCCATCAAACTTATGGATAATTTCAAAATGTAATGTTGGCTTTCGTAAGCTCGTCACAAATTGCTCTCTGAGTTTACCTCGTCCGCTTGGAGTTCTTTCAGCCGTTGAATGGCTCTTCCAGACTTGAATGTTTCCATGTGCTCTGTCAGTCTGTATACAGTACACACAAAGTCAGCCACCATAGTTGAAGATATTTACAACATCTACACAGCCCACCAATGAACCATGATGATAAGACAGAAAAGAGAAATGGTTATTATTTGAAATGAATTTCTCCAGGCTTCACAGTCAAAAGCAATGTTTAGATGATATGAAGCAAACAAGCTAACAAGCACACATGCAAGAACCCAGAGAAATCCGTGCACACACGCATGCACTCACGCACACACACACGCACACACGCATGCATGCGCCTGCGCGCACGCACATACGCACGCGCACATGCACGCACACATGCACCGACACACACGCACAGTGGGCAATGAAACCAGTCAGACGGCCATACCTTTCCAAGACGCTGGCATAGTCGATGACATTGCCCTGATTGACCAGCCTTGTTGGATACAGAAGCAGGTTCATGACGGTATTAACCAGACCAAACACTTCCTCCTCTGCTGATCTCTGCTGACGATGGCTACTGCTGCGCTGTACGAGTTCAACTTCAAATAGTTGCATCTACAGCAGAGAATGAACGCACACATCTCTCAATCCCATTACCACTAAGCTACGGAAAATGTGCTCGACCACAGCAGTCGTATACATGCAGCAAGTGTTGACGAGATTATCACATGTGCTTGGTCTGACCAAGCGTGTTGCACGAGAGGAGCATATCAGGGGTGTTAAATTCACAGGGTACGGTCATTACCATAATGACTTTTGTGTGTCCCACGCCCAGCGTATACTGTATTGTTCGGAGTATAAGCCGCACTGGACTATACGCTGCACGCCCCATTTTTGCCACGAAATCAGACATTCACCCAATTTATCACTGTTAATTTGACCATCAGAGTATAAGCCGCAACCCCTTTTTTGGGGTGCATTTTGAGTGTCCAAAATGCAGTTTATACTCTGGAAAATACGGTAGTTCAAAATAGTGACCAGCAAACCCAAACTACCACCAAGAACGTACCTTTGCTTGTGAGGCAGGGGGCATCAGTGGACGTACGGCAGCAGCCGCAGTGACCGGGATCACCTGTGCCGTTTCCATGTCGATGCGAGCACCGATGATCAGGCCTCTCTCCTTTGTGCTCGGATCCACGGCCTCCACGCCCAGTGCGATGGGCATCATACCCGTTCCTATGTGGTAGATACACAGATACACACATGCACGCACGCACGCACGCACGCACGCACGCACGCACACACACACACGCACACACACACACACACACACACACACACACACAGATGCACGCACGCATGCACATACACACATGCACACACACAGACACACACACAGGAAGACGAACACACACACACACACACACACACACGCACGCATGCACACACGCACATAGATAACGACACAGGAACAAGCATGACGACGTTTTACTTTGTCGAACATTTCGTAATCCCCCCAGGCACGTGAGACGAGTGACGAAACTGAGCCCTGCTGGTCGTTGTAGCTTCCCCCACCTCGCCCCACTTAATGCCACCCGCTATGCCATCACTTGCTTGCATGCTGTGCTGCATCAAATTGGCCATGTAGATTCTAGGAAAAAAAGAAATACTCCTCCACTCAATACACAACATGCATAGTCATCCTGAGTCCAATCAGAAGCATTTGAGCTTCTGCGGTATTTCTCTGCTGCAAGCCTCACTCGATATGGAAACAATTACATGAGAAACTTCAAACTCAATGGAAACTGTCAGGGATATACAGCCTGAAAAGTGGAAAAAACGCCAACCCTACCGAATACTAGACCCTTCGACTTTGCTTGTCATGAATAACAGTCTGACTGAGGTTGATCCCCGGGGGGGGGAGGGAAAATACAGTCATAGTGGTGGCTGAACTATACTAAGGAACATTTCTACATGAAAATATGCACGGCGTAGGCTAAAACGCGGAACCCCTGGTTTGGCACCAGGTAGTACCATAGATAGGTTCAACAGCTGAACGAGTGAGTGAACTCAGACCCGGCAACAAGGCCTTCTTCGTTCACGACTCTACCCGAGACTTACCGTCGGGGTTCTCCGTGGTGCCGCACAGTGGCGCTAGCCCTCCAGTGACTGGGTTCTTGTGAGCACCCACGATGGGTACCTCCATACCCGTGCCAGCTGGGTCCGTGATCTCAGTACCTGTCAGCACGGAGAAAAGGGAGAAGAAGGAGACACTAATCATTACAGAGTATCATAAGCATTTTTCACAGTAAAAGGTGGGGGAGGTAGTGTCTGCGTGTGTCTGTGTGTGTGTGTGTGGGGGCATGGCAGGATCGCGAGATGACAAGAGAAAGGGAAATGATCACCATTTGAATAGTATGGACTCGGATGGAGAGCCAAGGATTAATTTATAGAAAAGAAAAAAAAAGAAAAGAAAAAGGTGGTATTAGTGGACATTATAGCGTAACTTGTAGTTCCTCGGTCCTTTTTATTTTCAATAAATTTGAATAGTAGTGAGGCAAATGAATTTCGAGCAATCCCACTAGTATTATGCATCCCTCTGGTCATAACTCATCATGGTCCACCATTTTGTGCCTTCTTTTCAGCCTCAACATGCATTTGAGAGGAACAGCATCATTCAAGCCAATGTGGAAGAGTAAGGGATGGTACATCCGTCAATGCCCACGCTATGTTAGATGTAACAAAATGTGCGAACTGAAAATTTCTCCGTGTCCCAGTTGAAACTAGCCAGTGAAAGCCAGATGCAACATGGTGTATCCAGTACAGACTGTCTGCTATTGAGTGGTGCTCACATCATTGTCATGTGACTATCCATGTAGTGGTGCAGAAAGTGATCATGGCATGTGTAGAGTGGAACCAACATGGCCGACGTCATGTGACCCATAGATACAGGGTTGTGTGGAGTTGGAACCAACATGGCCGACATCATGTGACCCATGCCATGGATGCAAGGGTTGGGTGGAGTTGAAACCAACATGGCTGTCCTGTTTGGTCATGTGATAGATGTGAAACGACTAACTAATAAGCAATGCCAGTGATTGCTTGTGTGTGCATACTACCTACCTAGCAACAGTGGAAGCAGTCGTCCAGTCTGTCCATATTCCATCATACCAGGACAGCCACCATGCTCAACTACACTTGACATCTATGCAATACACACAGGTACACACAGGTACACACAGGTACACACAGGTACACACAAACACACGAACATACACACACACATATGCACACGCACGCACGCACGCACACACACACACATACATCCCCGCACATATATGCACACACACACACACAGACACACACGCAAAACCAGTGTACATTGCGTATATTGACCCAAATGTATTCACAGAACACACGAACACACAAACACACACCAAACATCAGAAAACAGGTACGAACTCCTGTACCAACTATAACTCATCACAGCCAGAATATATATATCTCTTTGAACTGTAAGAGAAATCATCAACAACACCAATGTACCAACAGAAAACTGTAACTGACCTCTTGCTTGCGTCGTCGATAACGGTGGAACTGTGAGAGCATGTAGCCAGTGGTGGCAGCGCGTCGTTTGTTCAACTGTTCAATTCTGTCCTTGAGTGGCATTGATGACGATGCCTAAAGCATACAGCAAAGGTTTGTGGCAACGGCAAGCAAAACAAACATGCTCACACGTACGCCTAGTCAGCTTACTGCTTAACATCCAAATCATTTAATCATGCTTTGCAAACCCTCTGGGTGATGTAAACGCACTCTATTATCTCTTATAAGCAACGGGTCATCGTGAGAATAAAGGTGTGTGAGCTATACTACTGGTCAAAGCTTTTAAGCAGGTGAGGTGTTCCACTGATCAGCGAGTACTGTATGTACTGAGGCAGAGTGTTTTCACACAGTAGGCAAGGGGAAATCCCATCACTCCCACCACACCAATGGAAACATGAAGGAGTGCTCGTACACCAATTTATACAATGGCACGTATTGTTTTTTAGATACGCGTGGACGGCTGTAGTTGCGTTACGACCACTGTGTAGCAACCAGAGGCCACACCTCAATTCGCACACAAGTAGACATACTTCACGTTGGCGAATAGTCTCCATCTGACTGTCATTTCTACATCTGTAAAACACCACAATCCTCACTGGGTGCAGGTGAAGTTGAACAAGGGGGGGGGGGGGGAGGGGATTAGCAGATCAGACGCCACACAAAGTGGCCAAAGAAAAAGAATCCCATTTCCTCCATCCATGTTAGCCTAGTGAAAGTCCACTTGATCGCAATTCTCAACTCATTCTGCTCGACTTGCAGTTCTGATTTGCCAGACATGGTCAATGCAGAAGGGCTGAGGCTTCCTGCAGCTTCATTTCTGAAAGGAATTCGGGTGGACACACCCATTCCCACAGCGCTGCACATCACATCCGAACCAGTTCCGTTATTTTTACAACGTTTCGGCACTTGGCCATCGTCAGGTTCATTGATATTACCTGACGATGGCCAAGTGCCGAAACGTAAAAATAACGGAACTGGTTCGGATGTGATGCGCAGAGCTATGGGAAAGGGTGTTGTAGTGTTCACATATACATATATGGACTGTCACACGCATTGTATGTACACAGTGCCGTTTGTACTCCTATCCATTTACATAGGCCGCTTTCCACACCTGTGCTGACAGTCGGTACGCACCGACTCTGTACTCATGCACGTACACCATGACATTCTGTTGGCATCGTATTGCGGAGCTTTCCGGAGCTCCGAGTAGTTGTTGTTTGGAATAAAGTAAGAGACCAACATTACAGGTGTGTCCACCCGAATTCCTTGCATGATCAATGCAACTCCTGCGTGTAAGTGCGGAAAGTATTTCCATTCAGCAGCCACCACAAACCTGTTCGGAATCCGGATCTAGAGCAGCGTCCACTGAGTTCAGCAGCTCGCGTTCCGTGGCCATCTCCACGTTGTCCAGAACGGCCTGTTGACCTCCGTACACCGGCAAGCACTCGCTCACGCCGTTCAACCAACCGCTGGTTATCATCAATGCCTTGCCTGAACACACAACAATGGTGGGCACAGATGGTACGAATTCATTGGTTTCATAAGAGCTGAAAAAGGATATTTTCACTGAAAACTCATTCGATTTTAGAAAACATCTGTGACCGACTTGGACATTGTAGATAACTGTTTGACCTGATGGTTTTGAGTTAATAATCCTAATTCGTATACTGGCAAGCACTCATTCTCGCCGTTCAACCAACCGATGCTTATCATCAATGCCTTGCCTGGACACACAACGATGGTGGGTGCAAACGGTTCAAAATCCACTTGTCTCATGCAGCTGAAACAGTGCACATTTCTCCTTCTTTTTGTCTCGCAATGTGGCTGTCCACTACCAACCCTGCACAATTTATGGCTGATGTGAATGATGATATAGAAGCGACAATTTCACTGAAAGGTCATTCGATTTTGGAGAAAATCTGCAACTGACTTGGTCATTGTAATTTTCGTGAACTGATGGATTCGGGACTATCGTCCTAATTCGTGACATGAAATTCACTTGACGAAAAATGACACTGGCTGGCTACAGATGGAAGACTAGATGGTTTGGCAAAATCAATGTACCTGAGAGTGGGTCTGCAAAGACGTCTCCGGGTAAGATTGGTGCAGTGTCGTTCTGCCATGTACCCCCAACGGGTATGACCTGCACGCAACACAGAGCCAGGACACAACATACCGGCACAGGACAGCTTTAGAAAATGATAGACAGGGAGACGGGGAGACGGGGAGACAAAGAGGGAGGAAGAGAAAGGGAGACAGACAAAAGACAGAAAAGGTGGGACAGAGACAGAGCAAGAGAGACAGAGCAAGAGAGAGAGAGAGAGAGAGAGAGAGAGAGAGAGAGAGAGAGAGAGAGAGAGAGAGAGAGAGAGAGAGAGAGAGAGAGAGAGAGAGAGAGAAAGAGAGAGAGGAGAGAGAGAGAGAGAGAGAGAGAGAGAGAGAGAGAGAGGAGAGAGAGAGAGAGAGAGAGAGAGAGAGAGAGAGAGAGAGAGAGGAGAGAGAGAGAGAGAGAGGAGAGAGAGAGATGGGAGCAATCAGGGACAACCACCACCGTGCTGGTTTGAGACTTTTTAAAAGTACAAGTACTTGTATTAACCATAGCAACAACCGTGCACTTCACCCATTTGCTGTATCCTCGCCAGTAACGTCACACTACCTCAATCCACTTGAAGTCCTCGCATACCCAGACACCAAACAATTGTGTTCGTCTGAAGCCCTATATTCCAAACATTTACCCCAATGCAAACTGAATAGACGCAATCATTCTCAATAATAATTTTACAGGCAAATAATCACCATAATAATTATGTCCATAACGGCATTATCCTACCTTTCCTTCTTGGTTGAACGCCACTCCGATGATGGGTGCGACGAGCGGTCTGGCTTCGGCATCGCTCGCTGAATCAGAGCTGACGGCCATGATGCAGCCGATGTGTATTGGCGTGTCGACGCCGAGGATCGGGTCCACGTGCACGCCACCGACGGGCAGCAGTGTGTTGCTGGTCGGGTGTATGGTCACGGCGCACAGGGGAACGTACTGGCCGCTCACCGGATCCTGGAACATGGCGCCGATGCGCAGGTCCGAGCGGCGGGCCAGCGGCACAAGCTGCGTCTCCAGCGGTTCTCCCGTGTCGGCGCGGCACGGGTAGGGCACGAACGGGATGAGCTCCTCGTTGGTGGGGACCTGATCGGACGACGTCAGCTCGGTCGTGAACACGAGCCGCTGAGAGATGGGATCAAGCGCCACCGAGCCAGCTATGGGCACTACTCGTCCGGTGCGCGGGTGGATCACGTGATTCGTCAGCAGTTCCTGCTCGTGGTCGCCAGTGCGCGTGGAAATGAGCAGGTGGCAGGAGTTGGACGGCATCATAAGGCTCGTGGCCGTATCCATGGTAACGAGGTTGTCGATGGCACGCAGCACACCCTCCTCGTTGAACAGCCGCTCCTTGGTGACCACCTGGTTGTCGGGGGATACAAGATGGCCGCCCATCGGGTCGCCGTACAGTGCATGGCAACAGCGACGGAGGCACTCGGTCTGGTGTATGTCTTGCAGCTGCTGGAGGACCTCCTGGCAGCGCGAACGTGACTTTTGACTGCAAGCGAAACAAGCCAGACATGACACAATCAAACGATGCAAACCAAGTCCTTCACTCGGGAGAGACTGGTAGCTCCTGATAACCATGGTGCCTTGGAATAAGGCTGCGTGAATCGGCCTGTTCAGTAGTTGTGATTCAGCCATGACAGCTCACTTTTCAGCACACCATCATCCCGGATCTATTGTCGATGGCAGCTGTGCCCCCACCCCCAGTCCCACTTTCCCTCTACAAGACTTAGACAACAGGAACTCTATCATCCAGACCAGGGCAGGCTTGCTCAGGCTTGCTATTTTACAAATTAGATGGCCTTGCCAGTGGCAGTAGTGGTATCTCAAACCCTCACACCTACCTGTTGTTGATCAGGAGTAGCTTCAGTTTCTTCAGTAGAGGATTGAATTGCATCTGAACAGGATCATACACAATGTACTAGTTAGTATCAGAGAAACAGTTCAAAGTGTGATGAGCATCATACCACTCTCAGCAGTGTGATGAGCATCATACCACTCTCAGCAGTGTGATGAGCATCATACCACTCTCAGCAGTGTGATGAGCATCATACCACTCTTAGCAGTGCGTCGAGATTAGGGATTCGTATTGCTTGCAACCCTGTGTTCATTGGAGCCTACACAGGGGCGTGGGAAGGTAGTTTAGTGTGGTATGGTCAGCCATCTGAAGTACACTTTACTCGTGGGGGAGGGTGGGTGAGCCGAAATTTTTTGAAAATTTAGAGCCCAAATCAGTGCATTTTATTGATTCACGTGGTAGTTGGGGCAAATAGTGGTACGGTCAATACCGTAGTGACCGTACGGTGTGCGACACCCCTGCTACAGCCTACACGCAGACTGCATACACAACAGTAGCAGTGAGGTCACTACAAGTAGACTATAACGGTAGCAGTGACGTCACTACAAGTAGACTACTTACAAGGTACTCTCTGCGTCTGTCCTCCTCCTTGCTCATACTCTCTTCCTGCTGCTCCAGAATGCCATGGAAGAGAGCAGCGTAGTGCTTGCGCAGGGCTAGTTCACTATCCAGCTGTGTGCATGTGCGCAAACAGGCCAGCAGAGAAGAAGAAAGAGGGTCCAAGAAAGAGATCGCATCAATGAACGCAGACTGTTGGGTCAATATCAAATGCAGTGTAGTGGCATCAAGAACCAATACGTACAAGATCAGAGAAGAATTCAGGAGGAATTGATACACGGGTGCTTATCAGGACTCTTTCAAGTAGAATTCACATCTCAAGACCTTCCTCTCAGCACATGCATGGCTTTAACATCTAGAGCTATCATCTACGACTGTGTACAAACATTGCTTCATGCTGGACTTCAGTGCAGGTAACACATGCAAAAATGTCTGTATGCCGCTACTGTTAGAATCTTCCCACAACATCTTGGAACTACATTTGTCCTGAAGGCTACTACTAGCTCTCACTTGTAAATGAGCAAAATTAAATACTTAAAGTACATGTGCCATTGAATGGATATCATTACTGACCTCTTGACGTTTGCTTGTATAGTAGTTGGCCTCCTGAGGTGACAATAGCTCTGCACTGGAGCTCAGGTTCATTGTTGCAGCCCACAGTGTCTTCAGCTCGGCCGCTGCTTGCCGAACCTGTACGTACACTGCCTTTGCCTAGTGGGGAAGAGTACAGAATGATACAAGCAACACAAGCAATTTCAGCTACTGGACAGTAACTCGTGATTTCTATTCAAACACTCTAACCACCTCCAGCACCGAGAATTTTATGAAAGTCTACTTCGAAGTATACAGTTACACACCCTCATCAGGAATATTTCAATTATGCCTCTCTTTGATTTCCAAAAGCTTGCTGAAACGACAGAAACGTGTGTCTCTCAATCCAAACTCAGGTCGTAAACAGTTTTGAAAGGTCTAGGTTCTAGCTGAGAGTTTTGATCAAGGGAAGCGCTGTAAGCACAAGCCATGTCTGCAAACTGCCAATGGCAACAGTACGGCTCAATCATGGAAATATATTATCACTTTACAGGGGCGTCGGACTCGGTACGTTCACTACGATATTGATTGACCGTACCACGTTTTGCCTTAGGTACCCCGTGAATCGATATAATACACTGATCTGGGCTCTAAATCGCCAAATTGTTCGCCTCAGCCAGCCTCCCCCACGAGTAAATTGTACTTCAAATGTCTGACCGAACCACGCAAAAATACCTTCCAATGCCCCTGCTTTATCAGTATGAATTATGAGGCTTACTTCTCTCTTGTTCTTGTCAATCTCGGCAGTGACATGGTTGGTTTGGTGGTTGAGCGTGTCGTAGAAGGTGGTTGAAGAGTATGCCTCCAGGTCCACTTGGTGTTCGTAATCCCAGTACTCATCCTTGCCTATCAGGTCTTCTTGCTCACTGGATCCTGTAGCCAACGGAACAACATAGTACAACTGTATCTTACCAGGAACAATCCATTCCTGAGTTGTTTGTGAGCGCATGTCGGTCGAACGGTTTTGGTAAGCAATTCACATAGTGTGTGTGTGTGTGTGTGTGTGTGTGTATGTGTGTGTGTGTGTTTCCGCGTGTGTTTTGGTGCATGGACACGTCTAAGAATGCTCTCGGCGGACATCGCCGCATTCATACGCATACCTGTCTGAGCATGTTTGTGCATGACACCATATGCACCATCCAACTTTGACAGCGGAGCATAATAATATATCACTCGTGTAACTCCACAAAGCTCACCAATAGCGGGTATTCTGCTTCCTTGCACGGGTTCCAGCTCTGCGTTAGGATGTAAGCGCTGGGTCGGCCGCACCACAGAGCCCTTGGAGGCGTAGCTGTCAAAGTCATACTTGCTGGCCAGTTTCCTGTAGCGTGGCTTGGTGAAGAATGCCTGCTTCCAGCCGTGCTTACGGAACAAAAGCTGAGCAAACAAGATCAACGAACGCAAGAGTATGCAATGTTAGTACCTGGACCATGGGCAATTTGGTAAAACCCTTTGCCACACTCCATCTCTGAGATGAAAAGCACACTACAGATACCACAAGGGAACAACAGTTGAAAATCATGGGAAGGTTATATGCTGTGTATTGCTTCCTGCTAATTTCCAGGACTTAGTATCCAAGTTGACATGCAACAACAGTATTCTTTGAAGAATATTTGCGAGGGATGTTTACAAGATTAGCTAAAACTTTCACCACAGAACAAAGTAACAGGTGTACTAACGCTACGGTATTCATACAGCATACAGATCACGATACGAAGGCACTACTGCACTCGCTATTTCATATTTCCCTAGTTGCAACTGTAACAGAGACACCAAAAGCAGTATAATAGCAAACAACTCATCAACATCACGCTAAAAGCTCAACGGCCAGGCCTTCAGTTCTGACCGCTTACCAATGCTATGAACAGTGCCACAAGCACCAGAACACCACCGGCCATCATGCTGAAGATTAGGACCCAGTCAGGCTCCAGCAGGATATCCTGGCTATTGCTGGCACCCAGTTGAACGGCTGTTGTTGGTCGCAGCGGGAAGAAGGGCCCCTGCTCTGGACATCGGGCCGACGGGGGCATCACACGAATATACTGGACAAGAAGAAACCATACAGAATATGGTAAGCAGTGGTAACCATTGCTTTTGCAAGTCACATCTTTATCAATCTATTTTGCTGTTCACCTTTTGAATTCTTTGTTCTCCCTGCATTCATACCATCATTGGTTTGCGAGTTCAAGAAAACACCGTTTAGCAGCAGTCCGAAAGAATTATATTCCAGTACTCTGAAAGTATTCTGCAGTTGCATGCGTATAAGCACCTCATTGACCCTGCTCGTTCCTCATTCTTCCTTCCATTTGGCCTGAGCAAAGACTAGCCAAGCTTGCTTGGTGATGCCAACACGAAATGGCTGATAATACTAATAATCCTCCGAAGGAACCTGTTGTTGTGTGGCAGTGTGTGTGTGGTCGGCCACAGGGCACAGCGGTGGCGGTGGTGGTCGTGGCGGTGGCATTGTCAGTGTATGCAAAGAGAAGTCAACCATGCAGATATTAGTCTGACCCAGGTCGGTATTCATGGACACGTCAAACCTGTCACAACAGAATTGTCTCACCAACAGGGGCACCAACATCCATTTCCCAGATGAAACGGACTACCTTCACCAGGGTGTCCTTAGGAGTTTTGACGAACAGACTTTGGAGCATCTAGGGCCTAAAAAGAATTCCAAAGTTGCCCACTCGCACTCTTGCTAAAAGAATCCAAGAGACAAAATCACCGCTCGTACATGTCACACAGCCACACAGTCCCAGACACAATGAAAGTACGCACTAACCATTCGTCGTCCACTAGCCGTGTCGTTCTGTATCCGGAAGACGTACATTCCGGCCTCTGTGAATCGGAAACTGAACAGAGAGTTGGGAGTGGGCGACTGTCTCTGCTCCTCGTCAAGCTGCCGGAAAGCGCCGTAGTCGAACGTTGGATTGTCGTTCCACAGGTTGTTGACGTCGTAGCGTGGGTAGTTGTAGCGATCGATGCTCCACATCATCACCTCGCCGTTGCTGATACATGTCACAGGGTTTGTCACTCCCTGGCATGCAAACATGCATGTCATATCATGGTCAGCGGGTCAAAGAGAGCCAAACCAACTTTTCTTTTCATCTGTGGGAATACCACCACCCTCAAAGCTCAACGCATCGCTGAATGCGCATATGATTGAGGGAAATTGTGAGTACATTCTCTGGTAGACCACTACCCCATGTTGCACTGGACTACTCTCATGTATATCGGTTTCATGAAATGGGCAGACGTGGGACTAGCCCAAACGGTCTTAGACCACGTGATCCCTCCCCCACCCCACTCAACTTCAAACTTCTGGTGCCCTCTTGTAAAAGCAATGCCTACCATTGTAACAGACTGGTCTAGACTGGTCTAGTCCTCTGCAGTAAAACCTGCCATGGCGACCACTCGGATAAGGCTACCACCTGCCCAAGAAGACCATTGAACCCAGAACCAAGGGATGCCGTTTCCAGTCAAATGACCCTGGATAAAGAGACCGCCTGGTAACAGAGACCACATTTTGAAGGTCCCTTGAGCGGTCGTCTTAGACAGGTTTCACTGTACAGCAAAACTTGTCAAGGCGACCACTCGGTTAAGGCAACCACCTGTCCTAGAAGACCACTGAAACAAGGATCAAGGGATGCAATTTCCATTCATATGACCCTGGATAAGGAGGCCACCTGGTTATACAGATCACGTTTTGAAGGTCCTTTGAGTGGTCGTCTTAGACAGGTTTTGTTGTATGTGAATGTAACACATTGCCTTTTTCGAACTGCATCATCATACCTGGAAGTTAGATGAAACCTGACGACGACGACGTGCATGTTCCTCAGCGTGGTACTCCCAGTCTTCGCGACGGCTGGTAGCATCTCTGCGGCGACGTGTCGAGGTGGTTGAGGTTGGCGACAGCAGTGTGATGAGGTCTTGGTTGGATGGAGAGTATACACCAATAGCCTCACCCGCATCTGGATACAGAGAACAAACCAAGTACAACAAACCAAGTACAATATTTTCTGGAGGAAAAGCCGCACCCCTATTTCTTGCCAGGAAATATAGACCTCTATCCTATTTGTCACCGGTAATTTGATCATCCGGAGTGTAAGCCGCAACCCCCTTTCTTGGGTGAATTTGAGTGCTCAAAGTGCGGCTTTTACTCCGGAAAATACGGTATAATGCATTCACCAAAGTGAACGTTTTCAACCGGTAACACCATGTCTGAACCCTGGCTCAATTTTTCTCAACACGACTGATCACACAGCATGCGGCTGTGTTCCCTTAATGAGTTAAAGAGAATGGACAAAACGATTGGCTCAATTGAGGCTAGAGTTGATGGTGTACCAGAAACATACCATTGATAAAGGTGAGGAAGACGGAACGAGTTGACTGGTCAAACTGGCAACTTGTATTTCCCAACGACGAGTCAAAGTTAGTCACTGAGTTCTGGAGAGCCTCTCCGCTGAAAGCAGACTGCAGGACACAAACATGACAACGCATCATCAGCAAAGTGCGGAGGTGAAGTCCTGTTCCATCTCTGGAGTATAGAGGGAATGCACATTATGTCATGGTGGTGAACTAGTGGATTAGAGAGAATGTGCATGATGTCATGGTGGTGAACTAGTGGATGAGAGAGAATGTGCATGATGTCATGGTGGTGAACTAGTGGATTAGAGAGAATGTGCATGATGTCATGGTGGTGAACTAGTGGATTTGATCATAGGCGATTCAGACTGCGGCCAACTGTGTCCACGTTTCTACGACTCAGACGTGTTTGATCAGCAATTGTACAGTATCTTTTGAAACACGACTGCATCACCATGGAAATTCAATTTCAGAAGTGATTTGGCCATAGTCTGAATCGCCTAGTATGGATGCTGAGTAGGGGTGTGCGGATAATGCTCGAAAAGGTGGCAGATTCTGCTCGAAAAGCAGTGAAATTGGCAGAGCCATACAAAACTTATGGCGGGCAATTCCTTGAATTCTGCTCCGTTTCTTTATCCACATTCCAAGCATGCATGAAACTTACCAGAAAATGTACCGAATTCTGCCAATTGTTCTGCCGGCATTATCCGCATATGCCTAATGCTGAGTATACAGTGCCGGTCTGCAGATTTGCTACATTGGCAAACTAGCTGGCCCATTGTAACGTTGCCACTCCATACACAGTATCTGAACTGATGATGCAATTGCACCACCTCCTCCTATACCAGAACAAGTCAAAGTGCCTCGCTAGGCCTGACCAGGAGGGAACTATTGCAAGTTTGGCAATTATTTCATTTCTACGTCATCATTTGAGGTGCTTAGTATGGAAAAACAGACACTAGTTTGCTACTCAGCATAAGTGCGAGTTTACCACTCCATGCAAGCTATCACTGGTTTCCACAATATACAACAGGCCCACCGAAACCGGCCCGGTTGGTCAGGTTATTACCGGACCACTTTTCACCCACCAACACATGTCTCCTACTCTGGAGGGCATGTGTGTACCCACCATACCATACACAAACTGTATGAACGGCCATGACACTACTGGACCAATCAAAAACTGCTTTCGGCTGTCCTTAAAAAAAAAGACACAATTGTTAATTGCTCATTCCCCCGGCACTGGTATAGGACTGTAGTATCTAATGATATGTGTACGGTAGGAGTGTTATAGCATGTGCACCTGTTGCAAAATGCTGTCCTTTGCATCACTTTCATAGGCTAACGAGTAACTAGGCATTGAGGCATACTCGTGGAGGATAGCACCACCTGACATGAACAGGAACTCACAAGCCCAAGGGGAAATCGCACTAAGCTACTGTCGCATGGTCATAGTTATACAGGCCTCGGTGCGTATCCTTACCCCGTTCTCGGACGTGGACGCACTGATTCCCAGAGAGGTGGACACTCCGCAGGTGAGCTGCAGTTTGTTGCGGTTCTCCAGCTGACACTTCGTGTTGCAAACGTTGTCTATGTCTTGAGTCTACAAGCCACACAAAACACACATACAAACACTGTAGGCATGCAAGAAGCCAGACTAAGCACACGGAAAGAATAGACAACTAGCCATTGTGTCTCTCAGATTCTTCATCTGTAAAACCAGCTCAACAGCAGCATATGGCCAAGAGCATTACGCAATGCACTGTTACCATGACTGTGCACATCAGTACTACAGCCGTGATGTACAATGCATGACTACCACATTACCCCCCTTCCCTAAGAAAAAAAATTGTCTGCAAATGCAAACCTGTTTGAGAAAAAAAAAAAAAAAAAGGAGAGAAAAAAAGGAAAAAGAAAAAAAAGAGAAAATTGCAGACAAGAAAAGAACAATAAAATTGCAGAGGAAACGAGCAAAGAATCAATTCAAAGCAACAAATTCGATACACCCTGACACTGACGGGTCAACTCACTGAAGATACATCAAACCTGTACCACGATACAAACAGAACAAACCAAACCAGCAACTAAATTGCAAATTGGCATAGTTATGCAACATGGTCAGTCAAAAATGGAGATATTACATCAATGCACCAGCAGCTTTCTCAGTGAGCTTGACAGTGCGGCCAGCGCGGGTTACATAGCCCTCGCGATAGAGCGAGCCAGACTGGGCATCGGGCCGTGGTAGGCGTGATTGACGACGTGATTGGTCACTGGACTCGGGATGAATCTGAGCATCAGCCTCTTTGATCTCAGATTCCACTCCTGCTTCACACGGAGCAGTAGGCGTAGCAGGCGGCACATCTGCATTAGGTGCCGAGGATTTCACTTCTGACTCGGTAGCTGGCTGGGGATCTGGCGTCGGAACTGGCTGGAGATCCAAAGACCGAGAAGAGGTGGCAGTTGATGATGCAGGTGAAGCATGTTCTCGCACATGCTGCCGATTTCGGAGCAGTATCCGCCTGCCATCAGTGACGCCGACTTGTCTGCCATATTGCTCCACAACACGCCAAGGGGTAGTTGGGTCGGAATAGCCATCCTGCAAGACTACCATTGTGCCAGGACGCAGCATAGGCAACTGGCGGACACCGCGGCGACTATCATGCGAGACTGCCATGTCAGCTTTGGCGCGAATCTGATGAGAAGCATTCACAATGCGTGGGGTAGAATGGTGAGGTAGACGGGTGCGAACCATGCGACCGAAGAAAGCCTCATTGGGTGACATGCCCAGCATTCGGTGCACTGAGTTGCGAATATCAAAGAGAACTTGTTGCAAACGGCGTTGCAAAGACAGGGACGGTCGTAGAGATTGAATTCTCTCTTTGACGACTCGATGAAGACGTTCCACCATGCCATTAGATCTGGGGTAGCGTGGGCTTGATCGATTGTGCTGGATACCCAACCGCTGCAGGAACTGGGCCATTTCGGCTGAGGCAAACTGGGGGCCATTGTCGGACACCAACACACTAGGCAGGCCGAACCTCGCGAACACTTCCATCAGCCGGTCAATGACAGCTGCGGTTGTGGTAGCTGACAAGGGAAGTAGCTCCGGATAGCGTGAACCGTAGTCGACGATGGATAATACTTGTTGACCCTCGATACACACCAGATCAACCGCCAGTTTCTGCCACACTCCTTCAATTTCTGATGGCAGCAGCTCTTGTGCGGGGTTTGTATGACGGCGCCAACACTCTGAACACTGCTCGGCGAACTTGTCGGCATCTTTAGACATGCCGGTCCACCATACTCGTCGTCGCAAAGCATCCTTGAATATGTCCCGACCTGGATGACCTTCATGGGCCAACTGCAGTACGGCATGTCGGAGAGCTTCTGGTATTACACAGCGGTTACCGAATAGCAGGATGCCGTCAATGGTCGTCAGCTGATCTCGGATAAGGTAGTATGGCTCTTCAGCGGGTGTGACTTGGGACCATGATTGCATCAAGACGCGCTGCTGTATGCTGCGCAACAGTGGGTCATCACTAGTCGCCTTGGCGATATCGTCGATATTGACTGGGCACTCTTCCAAGACCAGGCCAATGAACTCAGCCATAGAGCGGGCTTCTTCTGGTGAGGCAGTTGAGTCTTGGACAGGCGCTCTTGACAATGTGTCTTCACACACCATCTGCTTCCCAGGTGCATGTGACAAGGTGTACTGGTATGGCATGAGAGCGACCATCCAGCGCTGCAGCCGTGGTGGTACTTCGTCAAACGGCTTCTGGACGATTGAGATCAGGGGCTTGTGGTCGGTCACAACTTGAACAGATCTCCCCAGGACGTACTGTCGGAATCGAGTCAGAGAGAATACGATACCAAGCATCTCGCGCTCCAACTGGGAATAACGAGATTCAACATCGGACAATGAACGGCTGGCGCAGGTGACAGGTAACCAAGTGCCACTCTTGTCTTGCTGCCACAGAATAGCACCCAGACCAAGTGGAGATGCGTCACATGTTACCTTGGTTGGGACGTCCAAGGATGGCTTAAAGTACGCTAAGCACTCTAGCGACGAGGCCACGGCTGTCTTCGCATCGGTGAACGCGGCCGTCAGCTCATCATCAACGACGAATGGTTGTCGCTGAGCCAGTTTCCTCAGCGGCTCAGTTGTCTGTGAGAGCTGCGGTATGAATTTACCAAGGTACGTCACCATACCAAGGAAACGACGTACATCTGTCAACGTCTGCGGCAGCTGCAACTGTTGGATTGCCAGCAGCTTGTCACCGTCAGGACGCACACCATCCTTGCTCAGCCAGTGTCCCAAGTACTTGATTTCTGACTGGCGTACGCGACACTTCTCCCAGTTTAAGCGCAGATTGGCTTCGCTCAAACGACGGAGTACGGCAGCCATGCGCTCGTCGTGTTCCTGTCGGTTGCGGGCATAGATGAGAATGTCATCAATATAGACAACGACTCCCGGTAGGCCGGCAAGGATGTCAGACACCACCCGTTGAAATATCTCCGGTGCGCAAGCAATGCCAAACGGGAGTCTCTTGAATCTAAAGAGGCCCTTGTGAGTGGCGAAAGTGGTGAACGGACGAGATTCATCGGCCAAAGGGAGCTGGTGAAAGCCAGATTCAGCATCCAGAACGGAGAACACTGTTGCACCGTCCAGCTGCGCATTGATTTCGTCAACGGTGGGAAGTAGGTGACGCTCCCGGACTACGCTCTTGTTTAGGACGCGGTAGTCCACGCAGAGACGCAAAGCACCGCTTGATTTCCTGACCGGCACCAACGGTGAGACCCACGGAGTAGCTTCTCGCACTGGCTCGATTATGTCATGCTTCACCAGACGATCCAACTCCTTGGCAATTTCATCCCGGATGCTGAAAGCGTGCCGACGGGGTGGGAGTGCTGTTGGAGTGGTGTCAGGGTCCACTGTGATAGAGATGGGCGTCACGTTCACCACATTGACTTCAGCAGAGGTCAGCAACTCCAGTTCGGAGATGACGTCCTGGCCATACAGGATTTGGCGGCCAGACGCGACTGGGACAACAAAACAACTACATACGATGCTGCGTGATCCAACAGAGACCGTCACATCAGCCATACCGAGTGTTGAGATGACGCCGCCATTGTACGCTTTCAAGATTCGATCACTCTTTCGCGTTGGCTGGACAACATCATCGGTTAGCACTGATCGGGTAGCACCGGTATCCAGTAGTCCTTCACAGGGACGGCCGTTGACGATCAGCGTCTTACGAAACAATTGCTGGTGCTGAGAAGTATCCACTGAGAATGCGTAATCACAGAAATAGTTGGCGTCATCCTCCTCCACCTGTTCGGATGTCATGCGCGCATTATCAGACTTGCGCGACAGGCATACTGTTGTAAAGTGGCCGACTTTCGAGCAGTTGCCACAAGTAGCATCCGCTGCAGGGCAATGCTGCTTGCCTCTTGGATGCGAACGGCCACAGTACTTGCACTTCCCAAACTTCTTGTGCGCAGAGGCAGGCTGGGAGTGTGAAACACGGTGAATGTGAGAGAATGAATTCGACAATGGAGTAGCTGCAGCGTCACCATAAAGCTTGCTGTCCGTGATAGAGGACTCGAGTGCCACAGCTTTGCTCACAGCATTGGCTAGTGTCAACTTTGACTCTTTGAGAAGTTCTTTACGTAGCTCCTGGGATCGCAGGCCCTCGATCAACTGGTCACGGATTTGTCCCTGATCAATGGTGTCCACGGCAGTAGACGCAAATTCACAGCGATCAGCTGCTTCGCGCAGGCGTCCCACAAACGATGTGACAGACTCACCCTCATTCTGGCGAAGCTGACGGAACCGGTGGCGTTCCGACGTTGTGTTTGTGGCAGGACGAAAATGAGCAATCACAGCATCCGTTAGAGCTTTGTACTCACATCCGGCACTGCCATCAGCCTGAGCTGGTGGAGTAGGAACTACGATTCCTTTAACAATACGCCTGACAGCGAGGCCTGCAAGGTTCAGAAACAGCCTCTTCTTATCAGCTGCCGTCGTAACTCCACAAATTTTCAGGTAATCATCAACGTCCTCGAGCCACAATTCGAAATCGGCTCCGATGTTGCTGGAAAAGTCAGGTACAAATTCCTTCGGCGCTCTGCCTTTGGGAGCGGACATGGCGACAAATCCGTGCCTGTTCACTGCGCCAATGTAGGCATGCAAGAAGCCAGACTAAGCACACGGAAAGAATAGACAACTAGCCATTGTGTCTCTCAGATTCTTCATCTGTAAAACCAGCTCAACAGCAGCATATGGCCAAGAGCATTACGCAATGCACTGTTACCATGACTGTGCACATCAGTACTACAGCCGTGATGTACAATGCATGACTACCACAAACACCACCAGCAAAATGCATATCAAGATCTGTTTTATGATCACAGAAATGATTGAAACTTGAAGTTACAGCTACAAAGCGTTTCACCTCCTTTGTATGTGCATATCAAGATCTGTGTAGCAGTTCACGGCAGATACAGAAGAATTTTGAGGATGATTCGCTCGATCGATGTGCGTATCCACAAGGACAAGCACAGTCTGAATTCACTGGAGACGAAAAGACCATGTTCTTGGTGGGCACTCGAAACATGAGAGTTGCATAGAGAACAGGAGTCAGACGCTAAGTAGTAGTAGTATTGCTACATGAACATGGTATAGGGCATAGCAAGAGTACATAACCCCCAATAGTGTGCAACTCCAGCTATGGGGTCTGCGACGGCGGAACTTCACATCACGTGATGAACCCGTACACATTATTTGCACCCTGTGCATGATTGATACAGGGTTGTACGAGACCCAGCTTTGGGTACAACTCTCTTGTGATCACTTTGCACTGTTTGCCAGTGTATTAAACCTTTTGAACCATGTCACGTGATGTGAATTTCTGCCGTCGCAGCACGCATAGAGGTTGCGCAGGCAGTTGCACACTCTCGGGGGTTATGCACTCTTGGGCATAGGCATAGAGAGAGAGAGGCATAGAAACCATACTACACACTGAAGGCACACATGTGGTTTACAGAGTTTGTCACAACTACCAGTTTCTTACACAATGCAATCATCAGGTAACTTGCGACTGGCGAAATCATACCACACACATGTGCTGGTTCTGGCTCACTGGACTTCTTAAAGGGACTGGCTTCACCAGCTTTCATATCACATTTCCACTACTCTTACCCGACATTGGCAAACACCGACAGTCGTATCAAACGCTTCGTAGTCACTTGGGCTGTTGCAGAACTGCACAACAAGACAGTACACAAATACAGAAGTCATAAAAGCTAGTCTTTCTACCTGTAGAAACTAGAAAGTCAACCCTTGTGAACCAAAGTGATTTTATCTGAGTTGTAGCCAAAGTCAACCAGTTCTTCTCCCGCTTTTAAAATAATGTTGCGCTGTGATCGCCTGGTTCTTTCTTCCACTTCTCGTACAGCTATGCATGCTTTCAGCATCACATTTCCAGAACAGGCCTTTAGGGAAATTAAAATCAAAACAGCAACCAGCACTATCTACCATGTCCTTATGCATACAGTCGACTCCTGATAAAACTAACGCCAATGCACAGGAAATTTTGTTCTTTATAGCCGAAGTTCGTTATAACAGAAATGCAGTCACATTGCAAGCAGCAAGACATGACTAGTGTCTGGTCCACAGCGGCATTGGCACACTTCGTTTGCATGCAGCCTTTCAAGATAAATGAAAATGGTTTGCTACAAAGGATCAATTTCGTACGGGTTCAAACAGAGATACGGACAATGATTCGCAACATCACAAAATTTGCAATATGCAAGTTTTTGGTATACAGTGAAACCTGGTTAAGAAGAACACTGATAAGACAAACTTTCGCTTAAAAAGAACTAGAATTCAAGCGCTATTGGATTCATCACTGTGTATTACCTGTTTAAGACATATGGATAAGAACAACTCCCGTTATTGCGAACAAACACCGCCGGTCCCTTGGTGTTCGTCCTAAAGAGGTTTGACTGTACTTAAAAAAGGAAGTGGAGTAAACGGAATATTCTACACTAACCTGGTTGCTGCAGTAGATCTCCCACTGGGGCAGAGTGCGGCACTGTCCGTCCGTACCGCGCCAGGAGCCCTCGGAGCACACCCCGTACACGATCCGGGCGCAGTCTCGGCCGCCCACCACGCTCTCCGAGTATCCCTGGCGGCACGTGCAGCGTGTGTCTGACGGCTGCAGATAACACAGGGTGATGCATAGGAGCACACACGCACAGACACGTCATTGCTATACAAGGGAGAACTGGCATGAGACAAATATTCATGAGATTGAAAGTACGCGGTCGAATGGTCACTAGGTCTGGAGATTGTGTCGTTGTTTTGTCAGTTGTTGTTATAACTGGGGTCGGTATTCACGCGGAAAGCTGTGTGTGCCGTCCACATGTCATTCTTTCTTCTAAATCCACTGTACGTATCATAACTATAGAGTATACTGCTGTACATGTAAGAACTCACCTGAAACGCACGGCCCAGTCCTTCACACGTGCAGCTAATCGATCCGGTAGTTGTTGTACTGGCTTCCCCACCACATAAGCTGCAGTTGCCTTGCCCACTGAGGTGCTGATATTGCCCAATCGGACAGGGCACACACGACAGATTGCTCGTCGCTCCCATCTTGTTCTGGTACGTACCGGCCGGGCAGGGCACGGGCCTTCCCGACTGCGCGGGGCAGAAGTACCCCAGGGGGCAGACAAACGAGCGGGTGTTGGGATAGCCGAGAGCCGTGTCGTTCTCCGTGGGCACGTCCGTCGTAGCGGATTGCAAACAGACGACACCGGCCGCGCACGGCGTACACGATTGTCGCGTCGGGTGATCGCCATAGCTACCAGTGGAGCAGGGAACACACGTGTCGGCAAACGACGTCTGGAAGCTGGTGTTGAACACACGTCGCGCAATGTATCCGAGAGGACAGATCGTTGCTGAAGTCGCTCCCACGGATTCGTTCGCGTAGTCGGTAAAGTTGTACGAGGTTACAATGGGGCACACGAATCCGGAACAGTAGTGACCTTCGGGGCACGGTATGGGTGTTATCGACCTGACCGGGCAATAGGACCCGGCGGGACATGCCACCCTATCGGCTGCGTCGGGGCAGTAGAATCCGGCATCGCAGTCGACGTAGGACGAAGACCCGTTCGGGCAGTACGTTCCATTGGGACACTTCAGAGCAAAGTTGATCGATGTGTCGTTCTCATCGGGACAGTAAAAACCTCGCGGGCAGTCGTAGCACTCACCTATACTGCCGGCGCCAGTCACATCTCGGTATGTACCGGGCGGGCAGGGCGAGGGCTGGTCCACGCCCGGGTTGCAGTAGTACCCGACGGGGCAGGGTTCGTTCAGGTACGTGGACATGCCCTCGCGACTGCACCAGTAGCCGGAAGCGCACTGCAGGCACCAGGAGTCATCGGTGGCGCCGGTGCGGTTATTGTACGTGCCGATCTGACATGGCTCCTGTGTGGAGTTGAACGAACAGTAGTAACCTTTCCTGCAGTCGACGGCAACGTTGGTTTCCGGAGGGCACACCTTGCCAGCGGGACACAGGCCACAGTCATCTATACCGGCCGCACCCTCAAAGTCAATGAACAGACCACCGGGGCATGGCTGGGGCCGGGCCGTTCCCTCGGGGCAGAAGTACCCCAGGGGGCACAGGGAGCCGACCGTTTGGTTGTAGATGTCGAGCAGTTCTGGTGTGGGTGTCGGCGTGGGGCTGGACTGGTTGCAGATATAACGTGCACTGCAGTTACCTTGTATTGTACCACGCATGCAGAACTGCCCAGGTGGGCAAGACAAGCATTCCTTGGGTGACATCAGCCCAGTGGCATTGTTCTCCGTATACAATCCGGGCGGGCAGGAAATGGACGCCGGTGAGCCGAGCGGACAGTAGCTGTATGGTTCGCAGGCCTTGGGCACTATCTCACCGGTGTCGCAGTAGCTGCCAGCCGGGCATGGCAAACACGCCGCCAGTCTCAGTCGGGGAGAGTATGTCCCAGTGGGGCACGGGGTTGGGACCGATGACCCGGCGGGGCAGTAATGCCCCACCAGGCACTGGAACTGTTCCGGATTCGACACGTTGATAGCCTGCTGTTGTGGACAATAGTAGCCAGCCTGGCATGGACCTGTTGCATTGTTCAAGCCGATATCATCGCAGTAGCCTCCTGCTGGGCACGGGAGGCAATCGCCGATGGCACCCAGCAGCTCGACATTGGAGTACGTACCGATGGGGCAGGGCACGGGCAGTGCCGATCCCTCGGGGCAATAGTGCCCCAGGGGACAGCGGACCTGGTGTGCGAGGGCGCTGCTCGGTGGACAGTAGTAACTCACATTGCACAGACCTGTCGGTTCGGACAAACCCACAGACTCGCAATATGATCCTGCGGTGCACGGAGAACACTCCACGGCAAACTGCAATCCCGTGATGTTCGAGTAGGTGCCAACAGGGCACGGCTCTCCAATTGTGTTGTTGCCGATACTGGGGCAGAAGCGACCGGACGGGCAGGGCAGGGGGTCGACAGTCCCCAGGACGGGGCAGACATGCCGACTGGGGCAGTAGTAGCACTGACCGAGACCGGACTGGTTTGCGAACGTCCCGACGGGGCAGAGGCGCGGCACGAGGTCGCCGGACAAGCAGTAGTGTCCTGGCGGACATGGATATCCTGTAGTGTTGTCGAGCGGCGATGGAATGTACGCGCCACTGACGCAGATGAACCCGGCACTGCACGGCGCCGCACGACTTGCGCTTGCCGTCACGTCGTTACAGTAATGCCCCGGGCGACACGGCTGACAGCCCGTGTAGTCCTGCGTGCCGAGGCGATCGGCAAACGTGCCGCGCGGACATGGCGACGGCAGAATGCTGCCTTCCGGGCAGTAGTTCCCCAGCGGACAGATGGAATGTGCCGGTGCGGACGTGTTGGTGGCACGGGCGCAGGTGTAGCCCGCCGTGCACAGTCCCGCAGGCTCAACGAGTCCCGGCGTGTCGCAGTAGTAGCCCTCGCGGCACGGCACACACTCGGCAATGTCGGTTACGCCAGTGATGTTATTGTAGGTACCGGCCGGGCACGGGTATTGGGTAGCGTGACGCGTGCCGTTCGGACAATAGTACCCGGCTGGACACAGGCTGGAGTTGGAGAGGAGAACCACCGGTGATAGGCGGTTATCGCACACGTACCCGGCTGGACACAGCTTGCACTCAGAGCTCTGATCCTCGTCTTGATACGACCCGCTCGCGCAGCGCATCGGTGATGCCGACCCGGTCGGGCAGAAGTGACCCTTGGGACACATGTATTGGGCAGGGGCGGGGGTGATCATCCCCTCCGGACAGTAGTAACCTTGCGTACAGTTCGTGCTGGGCTGTGAGAGACCGGTGTTCACGCATGCACGGCCAGGCGTGCAGCTCAGGCAGTCAGACATATTGTTAGATCTCTGCGTGGGAAGGTACGTGCCCTGGGGGCAAGGACTCGGACGGGGACTGACATCTTCGCAATAGTGTCCACTGGGGCAGGGCACTTCCCGCGGGGACATGGACCCGTTCGCGCAGAAGTAGCCCTCTTCGCACGGCCCGCTCACTGCACCGAGACCGTCGCGTGCACAGTAGAATCCCTCCGTGCAGACCAGCACCTGGGGTGTACCTGCGGGGCAAAACTCCCGGGCCAGGCACAGGCGACCTGCCGGCATGAAGGTGGGCATTGGGACAGTGGACCCGCCCGCACAGTAGTACCCGGCTGAACACAGGGCAGTCGGAGAGCTGAGACCGGATGTATTGCAGTAGCTACCGGCCACACACGGTGTACATTCGCTGACGTTGGACCGCAGCGTGAGGTTGTTGAAGGTACCGGCGGGGCACGGGTACTGCGTCGAGTGGGTCGTGTTTTCCGGGCAATAGTGCCCAGCGGGGCACGGGTACAGGGTGAAATCGCTCGTGTTCGACGGGCAGTAGTAACCTTCGGGGCAAGCCGTACACGCATCCATACCGGTCTCACTGCTGTAACTACCAGACTGGCATGCAATGGGTAGTTCGGATCCGATCGGGCAATAGTGACCAACGTAGCACACACCACCAACGCGATCAAACGGTCGACCTGGACAATGCTGCGCGCCTGCGCCAGACCCGGACGAATCATCACTCAGGGGTATGCTAGGTAACAATAGTGCCGTGTTGTTGCTGGCTGGGGTAGGATTAGGCACGATGTTTGCAGACGCGCAGAAATGACCTGCAGAGCATTGACCGGTTGGTGATAGAAGGCCAGGTGTTGCGCAGTACATTCCTTTCGGGCATGGTGAGCACTGCTGCTCCGAACTCAAGCCAGTAATGTTGCTAACCGTACCAGCCGGGCACGGCGTGGGACTGTAGCCTACACCGCCAGTACAGTAATGGCCAGCCTGGCACGGTTGTGTGTTGTTGTCGGCGTTCTCGGCGCTAACCGGGAAGCACTGGTGACCTGGCGGGCACGGGCTGCAGTCGCTGCTGCCGCTCTCGTTTGTGAACGTGCCCGGGGCACACTGCAGCGGCACGGAGCTACCCACAGGACAGTACAGTGCCTTTGGACAGATATAGAGTGTTGGCGTATCGGTAATGCTTCCGTGAGGGCAGTAGTGTCCATCCGAGCAGGGACCCGTTGGTTGTGTTAGGCCGGGGTTAGAGCAGTACTGTCCGCTGTTGCACACAGTGCACTGCGTCGAGTTAAATAGCCGGGTACGGTTGGAGTAGGTACCGTGTGGGCAATCGGTGGGTGCACCGCTACCCCCTGGGCAGAACTTCCCTACAGGGCATGGTACCATGGTGGCGGAACTCGACCCGACCGGGCAATAGTATCCAGGGGCACATGGCCCGGACGGTTGAGTGAGGTTCGTGACCAGGCAGAACATTCCACCAGTGCACTGTGTACAGTTGTCACGGCTCTCGAGCTGCACCTGGTTGCTGTAGGTACCGGGCGGGCAGGGCAGAGGGGTTGATGAGCCCTCGGGGCAGTAGAACCCGGGCGGGCAGGTGTCGCCTTGGAGTGGTCCCTGACGCGGTGTGGCCGTCTGGGCTGACACGGAGCAGTAGAAACCAGCGGCGCAGATACTGTCACTTGAGCTGAGACCTCTAGCAGTGCATGCCATTCCACCCTCGCAAGGATCGCACTCCGATGACGCGTTGAGACCCTGCAGTCGGGATGCCGTTCCAAGAGGACACGGGAATTGGGTGGCGTACTCAGTGCCCTCAGGGCAGAAATACCCACTGGGACACGGGCTCTGGCGATAGTCTGAGATCGGGTGCGTCAGGTTTCCATTGCAGAAGTAACCGCTGGGACAGGACTTGCATAGAGAGCTATACGTCACATCCTGGTACATACCAGCTGGGCAGGGCACAGGGGCCGAACTACCCACGGGGCAGTAGTGAGCAAGTGGGCAGCCAAACTGGAGCGGGCTCATCGACTCCTGCCCGGACGGGCAATAGTACCCGGCCGTGCAGGGCCCGGATGGGAGGGACAGTCCCGATGATGCGCAGTACAGTCCCGGAGTGCAGTTGGCGCACATGTCCTCGGCCTCGAGTCCAGTCAGACTGGAGAATGTGCCGATCGGACACTGGATTTCAAGCTGAGTTCCTTCGGGACAGTAGTGTCCAGTGCTGCAGTTTCTACCGGTTGAGCCATCATTGGGCGTTGCTGACACAGATCCTAATTGACACCATGAGCCGCCACGGCAGAGAGCAGTCGGTGAGGCCAGCTCTGCACGGTCGCAGTACTGACCAGCCGGGCACGGGACGGGGGCCGAAGAGCCCACGGGGCAATACTGACCCGGTTGGCAAGGTCCGCCGTGCTGCAGGTCGGTGGCGTTGGTTGCACCACCGGAGCAGTACCATCCATCCCTGCAGAGCCCGGTCGGGGTTGTCAGGCCTTCGCTTCCACAATACGAACCGACCGTGCACGACACACAATCAGTCCCTGACCGGCTGCCGTTGACATTGTTGAAAGTTCCGGCGGGACACGGGAACTGGGTCGGGTGGGTAGTTGCAGCAGGGCAGTAGTACCCGCTGGGGCAAATCTGTGACTCATACTCCACGGACCCAACAAGACAGTAGTAACCCGGAGGACAACTGGTACAAACCGTGACTGCAGAGATATTTGTATACGTGCCTGGCAAACATGGCTGTGGACGGCTGGACCCGGTAGGGCAGTAGGTACCCACGGGACAGATGCCACCCTCGGCCGGGAATGCAACCAGGGCGGGACACGCCGAGAAGTTCCGAGGGTCTGGGGCATAGTTCCCGATGATGCAGAAGTGCCCGCCGCGGCAGGGGCCCGTCGGCGTCGTTTTACCCGGCGTATTGCAGTACATACCGGCATCACAGGCCGTGCATTGGTCTTGTGACACGAGAGTTGTGGTGTTGCTGTAAGATCCAATTGGACAGGGTTGCGGGTCAAAGCCAGTTCCGTTCGGGCAGAAGTGGCCGCGAGGGCACGGCTTGAGATTGGCTGATGCATTGCCAACGCTCACGGGCAAGCAGAAGAAACCGCCGGGACAGATGTCACAATCGGAAAAGCCGTCGGCCTGGGTTAGAGTTCCGGGCGAGCACGGTACCGGTGTTGAACTGCCTGCGGGGCAATGCAGACCTCTCGGGCACAGGAACGCACTCGGGGAGCTGGTATTCTGACCCAACGGGCAATAGTACCCGGGTGAGCACGGTCCGGACGGGGCCGTAAGACCCGCAGTTCCACAGAACTGTCCTTGCAGGCATGGGGTGCAGTCATCAGCGGCATGAAGTCTACGCATGGCAGAGAATGTACCGGGCGGACATGATATGGGAAGAGGGCTGGCCACGGGGCAATAGCTACCGGCTGTGCATGAAATGTTTTCAGCAATGCTCGACCCATTCGGGCAATAGTACCCACTGGAGCACAGCCCACTGGTGGTATTCAGTCCGGGGCTAGCGCAGTACTCTCCGCCGGGACACACCACACACTGCGACTCCTGCTGTTGACCCAGAGACGGGTTGTATGTCCCCACTGGGCAGGGCTCTGGTTCGTCGGTACCCATGGGGCAATAGTGCCCTGTTGGGCAGGGCCCGTAGTCGGCTGTTGCTGGGGTCGGCGACGCAACCTTAGCGCCACGACGACAGAAGTAACCAGGGGAACAGAGAGTAGTCGGGTTGATGATGGCCTGTCCACCGCAGTAGTACCCAGCAGCACAGGGCAGACATTCGGATTCGCTGCCCAAGCCAGTGAGGTTGTTGTACGTCCCGATAGGACACGGGTTACTGTTGGCATGCGGTGTTTCGAGCGGGCAATAGAATCCTTCAGGGCATGGGAAGTCGGTGTAGTTCGTAGTCGGTCCGCCAGTTCCGTCACAATAGAATCCTGCTGGGCATTGTTCGCAACTGTCCTGTCCCATGCGCGACTGGTAGAAACCGGCTCGGCATGGCGACGGAGTCCAGCTACCTATCGGGCAGTAGTGTCCCGTGGGGCAGGGGTAGCCTGCCGGGGTGGATGAGGTCTGTCCTGGGGGACAATAGTAACCACTGCTGCAGAGGCCGGACGGGAGGTCGAGTCCCGGTCGATCGCAGTAACTACCTTGCAGGCATGCCTGGCAGTCAGCCAGTGATGTGGCCTTGGTGTGGTTAAGGAAATGTCCAGCAGGGCAAGCGATAGAGCTATTCGACTGCTCGGGGCAGTAGCTACCCTTCGGACAGGGGAATCCGGTGATGCCACTGGTGGGTCGAGGTGACGAGGAGCCTCCAACGCACACATACCCTTCTTCACATGATCCGGACACCGAGCTCAGAGCAGACGCGTTGCAGAAGAAACCAGGCAGACACGGTGTCGGAAAAGCGGAACCCAGCGGGCAAAACTCTCCCGGAGAACACTGGCCGCCTTCAGATGGTGCGGTGGGGTGGGCAACGGACGTACCTCCCGAGCAGTACCAGCCCTGGAGACACGGTGCAGACGGTGCATAGAGCCCCGTGCCCTGGCAGTACCGCCCTGGCGGACACTGACTGCAACTGGCGTTGGTTCGCGTTCCGGTCACGTTGTTGTACGTTCCCGCCGCGCACGGATGCTCCACCGCAAACGTCGTGTTCTCCGGGCAGAAATGCCCGACGGGACACGGACTGTCCGCAAACCGGACTGCCCCTTCCAGACAGTAGTACCCTGCGGGACAAGCTTTGCACGTGGACTGCAGCAGAAGGTCATTGTACGAGCCAGCCGGGCATGGTCGAGGCAGGACGGTTCCCTGCGTGCAGTAATGCCCCACAGGACACGGTGCGCCGACGGTTGAGTTGTCGCCGATTGCCGGACATATTGCGTTGGTGCTGTTGAAAACGTTTAGCAGGTCACCGTACTCCTCTCCGGTCGGATCTGCTCTGTAGTTTCCACTCATACAGTAGTATCCGGATGAGCAGGGTGCATCCGGGGCAGTTCTACCCCCGCTGCAGTACTTACCACCCGGACATTGAGTGCATTGGCTGCTTTCCCACAGCTGCGTTCCATTGCTGTACGTGCCCTGGGGACATTGTACCCAATCCGGGCCCGTCCCGGCAGGGCAGTAGTGCCCTGGGGGACACACTGCGTAGCCGGCGGATGACGTGTTGAGCGGCAGGCAGTAGAAACCGGGCGGACAAGTCTTGCAGCCGTCGGCATGCGTCGTGTTGGTGTATGTGCCCGATGGACAAGACTGTGGTGTGGCAGATCCCAGCGGGCATTGCAGGCCAACAGGACAATAGCTCGATGCAGGTTGGTAGTCAACCGTGCCCAGTGGACAGTAGAAGCCAGGAGAGCAGGCACCGGACGGTTGGGTAAGACCTGTTGTGTTGCAGTAATACCCTGGCGTGCACCACCTGCACTGTGACCGGGTCGACAGCAGGCTGGTGTTGGAGTACATTCCCACGGGGCACGGGGTTGGTTGACCCGAACCGGACGGGCAATAGTGCCCCTCGGGGCAAACAACCTCGGTCCTGCTGCTGGACCCTCTGGGACAGTAGTACCTAGACTGGCAGGGACCGGCTACAGCAATGAGACCCATTGGACTGCAGAACGAGCCAGCAGTGCACGATAGGCATTCATTAGAGGCACGTAGACCGCTCGTGTTGCTAAACGAACCAGCTGGGCATGGTATGGGTATGCTACTACCGACTGGACAGAAGCTACCAGCGGGACAGATGCTGGCAGCTGGTGGCTGTGCTGGCGTCCGTAGAATAGCTCCAGATGTGCAGAAATAGCCTTCGGCGCAGAGCACAGTCGGGATGGTGACACCTGCACTGGGACATGAGTATCCACCCGGACATGGCTGACACTGGCTCGCATTCGCCAGGCCTGTGTCGTTGTTAAACGTACCGGCCGGGCAGGGGAATTCCCCAGCATGCCTAGTACCAGCCGGACAGTAGTGTCCCTCCGGACAGAGAGTTGCAAACGATAGCACCGTCGATCCATTCGAGTTGTCGCAGAAGTATGCCGGAGGACAGACCACACACGCTGGCATACCGTCGCTGGGTTGGAAGTCGCCGGAGTCGCATCGCACTGCCTCACTGCTGCCCTGTGGACAGCGATGACCAGCAGGACACCTGTACTGACCAGGTCGGGACGTGTTCTGGCCGCCGGGGCAGAAGAATCCCGGGTCGCAGGGCCCTGAAGGCAGGCTGAGATTGGACTGGCTGCAGTAGGACCCGGGTGGACATTGCAAGCAATCTGAGAGCGCTGTTTGTTGTGTTGAGTTGAGAAACGTTCCAGGTGGGCAGGCTTGTGGTAGATTACTACCTTGAGGACAGTAGCTACCCATTGGACATAGGCCACCTTGTGCGGAGAGCGACGGCGTGGAGAATGGAGATGCCGATGAGCAGTAGAAGCCAGCAGTGCACTGGCCACGCGGTGCCATGAGTCCCGTGATGTCACAGTAGCTGCCCGGGTCACACGGTACGGGCTGGTCGGAGCCCTCGGGGCAGTAGTACCCTTTGGGGCAAATTCCTCCGGTTCCGTTGCCCGGCACATCCGACACACCACCAGAGCAATAATAACCCTCCGTACAGTTTCCGGTCGGAGCTGAGAGACCCTCTCCACTGCACAGCCTTCCGCTAGGGCATTGAGAACATGATGAAATGTTTCCTTGGGCCGTGAGTGGGTTGTATGTCCCGGATGGGCATGGGTACTGAGTGGACAGGACGGTTCCCATTGGGCAATAGTGCCCGGCCGGGCAGAGCAGGACGGTCAGGTCGGACACGTTGCCTTCGCAGAAACGACCGCTGGGGCACGGCGCGCACAGGCTCATTCCAGGTTGGTTGGTGAACGTTCCGGGTGGGCAGGGAATGGGCTGCATAGAACCAACCGGGCAATAGCTGCCTGGTTCACAACGACCGCCTGTACCCGTGTGCAAACCCAGGTCGGTCTCGAGAGGACAACCGGAGATGTTCTGTGAGGAATTTCCCGAGTCAGCGTAGGAGATGGGCTGTGGACGATCGACACCTTGACGACAATAGTGCCCTCCTGAGCATGGAGCCATGGTGCTGGTTGCGTTCAGCTGTGAACAGTAGTATCCACCGTCACATTGCTCACAGTCACTCTGCTGGTGCAGACCTGTGCGATTGCCGTAGGTGCCCCGGGGGCAGGGTACCCAGTCCAGGCCTGTACCGGTCGGGCAATAGAACCCGGCGGGGCAGGGTCGGACGGCGATGGTGTTGGTGCAGTTGCCGCTGAGCTGCTGTATTCCTGCATACTCCACAGGTACACAGTAGTAACCAGCAGGGCACGCATGGCACTGGGACATACCCGTCCTGTTCGTGTACGTTCCGTCTGGGCAGGGCAACGGGTAGGAACGTCCTGCGGGGCAGTGTTGCCCAAAGGTGCAGGTCCTGTTCGGGTCCGCACTGAGGATGGATGCGCTTGGACAGAAGTACCCTGCAGAGCAGTTTTCACTGGGTGCGCCGAGACCAGGCATTGGACAAGCCCTTCCTGGTGTACATGGGCGACACTCCGATCTCGCCACCAAACCCACAGCGCCAGAATAGGTTCCGGCCGGGCAGGGTTCGGGCAGGGCACTACCGGTGGGGCAATAATGACCCGTCGGGCAGATGACGGTTGAGTTGATGCTGGAGCGGCTTGGGCAGTAGTGACCAGCGGAGCAGAGTTCATCGGGACTTGTGAGACCAGGCTGTGTGCACGCCCAGCCCTCTGTACAGTTGTTACATTCATCCAGGGCGGTGAGCGATCGGGCATTACCAAAGGTCCCAGGTGGACATGACAACGGGCTGCCCACACCACGTGGACAATAGCTACCCGATGGACAGGTGGTCGCATCCTCGCCCTGGTCTGGGGTCGGGGAGAATGCACCCGAGCGACAGTAGTACCCCGCTGCACAGACGTCATCCGGTTCGGCGAGACCAGGAACGGCGCACACCAAGCCCCACGAGCATGGGACACACTGGGACGTGGCGCTCAGACCCGTGCGATTGTTGAACGTTCCGCGAGGGCAGGGGTGCTCGTCCCGCGTCCTGGTGCCGTTGGGACAGAAGTGACCGGTGGGGCATGCAGTGTCATTGACGCTGGAAACTGCTTGAGAGCTGGAATCACAGAAGTAGCCTGCAGGACACTCCACACAGTCACCTCGTCCCGTGTTTGGTTGATACGATCCAGACGGACACACTAGGTACACTGGGCTACCAATGGGGCAATAGTGTCCGCTGGGGCATAGATAGTCGAGCGGACGACTAGAGTTCTGACCCGGTGGGCAGTAGAACCCAACACTGCATAGGCCACTTGGTTCGTGCAGGCCGTACGAGCCGCAGTAGCTGCCCGCGTTGCATGTCTGACATTCACTGGCCGACGCCAGTCCGGTCGCGTTCTGGAACGTGGTCGGCGGGCAGAGAACCGGGGCAGGGCTGCCCCGGGGACAGTATGCACCGCGGGGGCAAACTGCCCCCGTACCATCACCTGCAGGTCGGCTGGTGTATGCACTACCGTTGCAGTAGTAAGCGGCATCGCACGGTCCGGTCGTATTGGACAAGCCATCCCCATGGCAATAATACCCTGGTGTGCAGGGAGTTGGACGGGCTGATCCACGAGGGCAGAATGAACCTTGTTGGCAGCGGCTGGCTACGGGTTGTGAGCTACTGGAACCTTCCGGGCAGTAATACCCGCCTTCACAGTCATCTGTCTCAAGAGACAAACCGGGCGAGGCGCAGTACTTTCCTCCCGTGCACTGTGTGCAGGAGCTGCTGTCTTGCGCCCCAGTCCAGGGGTTGAAAGTCCCGGTGGAGCATGGTCGCTCCCTCGCCCGGGTGGTGTTCTCGGGGCAGTAGTGACCGGACGGACAGGTGTTCTCACGATAGTCAGCGGTTTGAGTTGGGCAGAAGTACCCAGGCGGGCAGGCACTGCAGTGTGACTGACGTGTCACATTCGCAAAGGACCCAGGTGGGCAGGACACGGGCTGGCCGCTTCCCATGGGGCAGTAATGACCTGTGGGGCACTCTCCCCCGACGGGCTGGTGCAGCCTGCATTGTTGTGTACCAGTACTATTCTCAAAGAGCATGTCAATGGGATCAACTCTCCAGTTTGCAGATTGGCAGTAGAATCCCTCTTGGCAGTAATCGGTAAAGTTGGTCGCTGCGCTTGTGTTACAATAGAATCCTCGTGGACACGGTAAGCATTCGCTCTCCCGCTGAAGACTTTCCTGATTGCTGAATGTACCCACGGGGCAAGGAGACCAGTCTGGGCCAGTCCCGGCTGGGCAGAAATACCCCCTCGGGCAGGGCAGGGTGTCAGCACCCACACAGTAGGACCCGGCTGGGCACATGGAGCATGCGCTTTGCCCGGAGCTGTTCGTTTGCATTCCGCTGTGACACTGGAGCGGCTGTGCGCTGCCCTGCGGACAATGATAGCCGCGCGGGCAGACTGAACTGACCGGTGTCGGGGACATTGACCCTTCGGGGCAGTAGTAACCTCCGTCACATGGCCCGGAAACGTTGGCTAGGCCTCCGATACAGTGGTAGCCCGCAGTACAGTTGGTACATTGTTGAATGGACATCAGGCCCAAGTACGGGTTGAATGTTCCTGCAGGGCAATCATATGGCACAGCCGTCTGCTCGAGACAGTACTTTCCTCTGGGACATCTCAACCAGGTGGCATTAGTCGCAGCGGCATTGCAGTAGAATCCGGCTTGACAAGGAGTTGTTGACGCGTTCAGACCACTCTCACCACAGTAAAATCCACCCTGGCATGCGAGGCAGTCTTCCGGGCCGTCATGCCGCAGCATCGGGTTGTATGACCCCAGGGGACAGGGCACGGGCATTGTGCTCGCCTCCGGGCAGTAGTGACCTGTTGGGCATTCGTCGGCCGTGTGGCCCTCCTGCGGCGTGGCAGATCTCGCACCGGAGCGGCAGTAGAAACCAGCGGAGCAGTTGCCCTCCGGCTGCGTTAGTCCAGACGACATGCAATGCTTGCCGCCGTCGCACGGAGTACAGTCAGCACTTCGCACCAGACCCGACCTGTTGCTGTACGTACCGGACGGGCAGGGGTGCTGGGTTGACCTGCTCGTACCCACCGGACAGTAGTGGCCCGGCGGACACGAGGAGCTGCGGAAGTCCACAACCGTGTCTAGTCGAGTATCGCAGAAGTACCCAGCTGGGCATGGCTTGCACGTCTGCTGTCCAGTGGCATTCTGATAGCTTCCAGGCACGCAACGGAGAGATTCCGACGATCCGTTCGGACAGTAGTGACCCCGGGCACAGGGATACGCTGTCGGTGAAAACTGACCCGACGGGCAAAAGTACCCCGCTCTGCACGGACCGGATGGGCCAATCAACCCGCTGCTGGCACAGTACGAGCCGGGCGTGCAGTCCTCGCAGTTGGACGCGTTCATGTTGCCCCGGGCCGGGGAGAAAGTACCCTTGGGACAGGCCGTGGGTGAGTCACTACCGGCAGGGCAGTAGCTGCCCGGAGTACACATGCCGCCTGTTGTATTATCCGTTGGCTGAGATACAGCAGCTGACTGTATACAGTAATACCCAGAGTCACAGATACCGGTCGGAGCTGGCAGACCGGCAATGTCACAGTAGCTACCGCCGTCGCAGGGAACCGGGGCATTGCTACCCGTCGGGCAGTAACTACCCACGGGGCAGATACCCCCTCCTTCCGCAGCAGAACTTGGACGTGCCGTGGGAGCTCCGGATGTACAGAACCACCCTGCAGCGCAGGCACCGTTGGGAGAGGATCGTCCGTGGCCGGCACAATACTGCCCAGGATCGCATGACACGCAGTGCGAATCGTTACGACCATGGCTCCTGGAGTTGTAGGTACCCGGGCTGCAGGGGTACTGCTGAGGTCCGTTTGTACCCTCGGGGCAGAAGTACCCCACAGGGCACGGCTGACTCAGGTACTCGGACGATCCCTCGGCGCAGAAGTACCCCTGGGGACAGATCAAGCAACTGGCGAGGCCAGGTATGGGTGAGTACGTGCCATTTCTGCATGCAAACGGTGATGTTGTCTCTTCCGGGCAGTAGTGTCCAATCGGGCATATTCCACCAACACCAGAATGACCGTCTTCACCGCATATGTCCGTGGCGTTCGTTCCGTTTCCAGGATTCGGCCTGTCCACTCCATGCTGACAGAAGTAGCCAGCCATGCACATGGCAGTGGTGCGCGTCTGGGCCAGGTCTGAGCAGAAGTATCCACCGTCGCACTGTGCGCACTGCGCCGCAGAGTCCAGTCCGTGAGCTAAGCTGTAGGTACCGCGCGGGCAGGGCCGCCAGTCATTACCTGTGCCCTGGGGGCAGTAGTACCCGGGCGGGCAGTCCCGCAGTATTACCCCCTCCAGACAGTACACCCCGGCGGGGCACGGCGAGCAGGACGATGCGTGGCTTCGGTCCGTGTACGTACCGTTCGGGCAGAGCAACGGGTCGGACGTGTTACCCGGGCAATGGTACCCCGCCGAGCAGTTGTACAACGGTGGTCGTGGAGACGACTGCCCGGGTGGACAATGATACCCGGGGTCGCAGGGACCGGTTGGTTGAGACAGACCCCTGCCGCCACAGTACGAGCCACTCGTGCACAGCAGACACGTGTCGGAGGACGGCGCCCGGATTGATCGGTAGTACGTTCCCAACGGGCAGGGCACTGGGGAACCCGTTCCGGACGGGCAGTAGTGGCCAGACGGACAGGGAAGATGTGCGGACATCGTGGCATTCTTATCACAGTAGAAACCTGTATCGCAAGGACCGCTCGGATTCACCAGACCTTGCCTATCGCAGTACATGCCAGCCGGGCACGAGAGGCAGTCGCCCTGGGACATAAGACCCGTGATGTTGGAGTACGTACCCTTGGGGCATGGGGTCGGGTCGCTGGTGCCCACGGGACAGAATCTTCCTTCGGGACACAGCCCGGCGCTGGGCAGTTGATCCGGGTTTGCTCTCTGCGCAGCGTGCGAACAGAAGTAGCCAGGCTGACAGAGGCCGCTGGGTTCGCTGAGTCCTGGGGTGTTGCAGTGCATAGCTGGCCGGCACGGCAAACACTGTGCGGTGGAGTTCAGTCCGGTCATGTTACTGTACGTACCTACGGGACACGGGTGCTCGGTCGCCAGGGATGTGCCCAGGGGACAAACATACCCGCTGGGGCACGTAAACGAACCGTATTCGACGACCGGCTCCAGAGACGTGTCGCAGTAGAAACCGTCCGGGCACGGGATGCACGCAGATTGTCCGTCCGAGTTCTGGTACTGACCGGGTGGGCATCGTACCGGGGACCCGGACCCAATGGGGCAGTAATGCCCGCTGGGGCAGGTCCCGTTGGTTGGCATGGCCAGCGTGCTGCCGCGTTCGCAGTAGTACCCTGCTTGACAGAAGCCGGTTGGGGCGGACAGACCTGAGGAGCCGCAGTAGGAACCGGAGGTGCAGGCTTCGCAATGATCAAGTCCTCTGCCGCCCGTCACGTTCGTAAACGTGCCATCCGGACAAAGGGTAGGTGTGTGGGACCGCTCCGGGCAGTAAGCTCCAGTTGGGCATACGCTACCAGTAGCACTGTTCATCGGTGTGGCTGATACGCCAGCAATTACACAGTAGTACCCAGCTTGGCAAGGTCCCGAGGGCGAAGCCAGACGACGGCTTGCGCAGTAGTGACCAGGCGTGCACAGTTGCGGTCGTGCAGAGGCCTCGGGGCAGTACGTCCCGGGCGGGCACTCTGCCCCGGTCGCGTTCTTCGGGGCGGCGCTGGTGGCGGACAGTGTGCAGAACCAGCCCGCGTCGCACGGTCCGGTCGGGGTCGAAAGTCCCGGGTCCTGGCAGTAGTGTCCTGGGGTGCAGGGCAGGCAGTCGGATTCATTGCGAGCGCCAGTCGAGTTTCTGAACGTGCCCACGGGGCACAGCTGTGGACATGCCGTGCTCGAGCCAGCAGGGCAGAAGCAACCGGGAGCACACGGTGTCGATGAAAACGATTCCGTCATTGCCTCGCAGTAGAAACCCTCCGGGCAGAGGCGACAGGCCGCAAGTCCGGGCACATCGGCATACGTACCCGGTTCACATTGCCGCGGTGACGTGCTGTTCACAGGGCAGTAGTGAGCCACTGGGCACACGTCTCCATCTCCGTTTGTCAAGCAGCTGGAGTTCGACACGGTTGGTCGTTGTGTCTGCACGGCTGCTGTACAGTAATAGCCGGCCTGGCAAGGACCGGAGATAGCAGTTGCATTCAGCTCTGCACAGAACGCTCCTCCATCACAGGATCGACACTCGGATGCTTGGGAGAGACCCTCAGTTTCGCTGTACGTCCCACGCGGACAAGACCTCCAGTTGACTCCCGTACCCTCGGGGCAGTAGAAGCCGGCTGGACACCGACCTTGGTGGCTGCCACCAACACAGTAGTGGCCAGTCGGGCATGCCATGCATATTGCGTTGCCTGTCAGCACAAACAGAACGTATACGCACACAGACAGGCATGCATGCAAACACACACAGGCACATAGAAAATCACAGATGCACAGTCTCATTCACAAACAAAAGCACGTACACACAAACACAGACACATGCATACAAACACACAAACACAAGCATACGTCAGACCTGCCCATCGCGGAAGCGATGATATCGAACAGCTATGTTAGACATAGCAACTTGTGCTGGGATTACACCATTCAATAGCTTGCAAGGCTGATGAATTGACCACCACTAATTTTAGCCTGGTCTACACCACACAGCTGATTGAAGTGGCTTTTTCTGGTCAGTGAATCCCTATTTTTCATTTTTTCTATTTTTCACATACATGTACATACACATGTTTTTCTCTTTTATACAAAACCACATATCTCCAGACACTGGGGTGAATAATGGAGTGTGGTGGTGGGGCCCATTAAGCTCCGCCGACCAGAGGTCTGGCTTCACGTTCACACACATACAAACACACAAACATACCCAAGCATTCAAAGAAGTAAGTAAACAGACAAAGATACAAGTGCACGCACACAATGGAGACAAGTAAGCCGTCAGGGGTGGTACCTTACCAGAAAGGTTTCTGGCTATGTAGCAGGAAAAATTTCCGTCATAACTTCCTAAACTCAAAATACCAAACATCAATAAAACCTGTTCTCACTCACCGGTAGTGTTTGAGACAGTTCCAGCCGGGCATGGCAGAGGACGTGTGCTGTTTCCAGGGCAATGGTGGCCCGCATAGCAGGCAAATGGTCGAGCGTGATCGTCGCCACCTGGGCAGAAGTACCCCGGGTCGCACGGCCCAGTCGGGGCCGTAAGTCCCGGGCCAGAACAGTACCAGCCGGAAGTGCAACGGGTACATTGCTCGGAAGAGTTCAGTTGGGTGGAAGAGGAGAACGTACCGCGTGGGCAGGTCATCGGGGTTGGTGTACCCGTTGGGCAGTACGAACCGGCCCAGCATGGTTGTTCTGTTTGCGATGCCGAGCCTTGTGGACAGTAGAATCCTGCCGCACTGTGTCCAGTGGGTTGCGTTAGTCCCGACATCTTGCAATACCTACCCGCGTCACACGGCGTACACTCGGACGAATTCACCAGACCTGTCGTATTGGAGTAGGTGCGTGGTGGACATGGGATGGGCGTAGCTGTTCCGCTTGGGCAATAACGACCTACGGGGCAAACGTCTCCTTCCGCAGGTCCTTGAGCAGGTGTGGCAGACTGGGAAGCAAGCAAACAGAAGTAGCCAGCATCGCACGGACCGGCTGGCTCGGTGGATCCCAGTTCATGACAGTATTGACCGGGCAGGCACTTGATGCATTGCTCGCTGGCATTGAGACCCGATCGGTTGCTGAACGTTCCCCGCGGGCACGGATGCTCCAGGGCGTGGGTTGTACCGGCCGGGCAATAGTACCCGGGTGGGCAGGTCGAATTCCCGTCCAGCACGATCGGTGCGTGACGCGCATCACAGAAGAATCCGGGCACACATTGCTTGCAGCTGGACTGTGCAGTCGAGTCTTGATACGTACCGGAGGCACAGCGTAATGGAGAAGACGAACCAGCAGGGCAGTAGTACCCGGGTCGACACGGCGTGGCCACAGGCGATGACACATTGTTGCCACTCGGGCAATAGTACCCACCGTTGCATATACCGGTCGGGGTCGAAAGTCCCGGACCGGCGCAATAGCTACCCGGCGTGCACGGGCGACAGTCCTCCAGCTCGGTGTTGCCAGTGCTGTTAAGATACGTGCCAGCGGGGCAAGGTCGTGGGATGGACGTGCCATTGGGGCAATAGTGCCCCGAAGGACAAACATTCCCAGTTGTGTTGTCGGTGGGATCGGGACGCGTTGACGCACGTGTGCAGTAGAATCCCTGCATGCAGTCACCACTTGGCTGAGAGAGCATGTCCCCGGAGCAGTATTGACCACCCGGGCAGGGCAAGGGGCCACTTGACCCTTCGGGGCAGTACTCGCCTCCGGTACATGGGCCGCCCGACTCCGACCGCGACGGGGTAGGTGATGCAGACGCCAGTCGACAGTAGTAGCCACTTGAACAGTTTCCATCGGGTTCGGAGTTGCCTTCTCCACTGCAATGCATGCCCGGCGTACACGCCGCACACGAGACATTTCCAGTGGCCGCAGAGTCTGGGTTGTAAGTCCCGGCAGGGCAAGGGTAGTCCGTTGAAGCACCCGTCCCGACCGGGCAGTAATGCCCAGACAGGCAGGGGGTCAGGTCATACCGGGATGTAGCCGCCTGGCAGTAGAACCCTTGCGGACACTGATGACACAGTGACAGGCCAGTGGTGTTGGCAAACGTTCCTGCGGGGCATGGTGCGGGCACGGTGCTGTTCGTCGGGCAGTAGTGCCCTACAGGACACACCCCGCCCTTACCCCGGAATCCAGCATCCAGTGGGCACATCAGAGAGGTGTTGACCGATGAGCCGTTCGTGTTGTAGCTTGGGTCAGGCCGGTCCACACCCGACTCACAGTAATACCCAGCCATGCAAAGCCCCGTCGGAGATGTAGCATTGACGATAGCACAGAATGATCCGCCGTCGCAGGAAGAGCATTCATCCACAGCACTGAGACCCGACTGCTGGCTGTACGTACCTCGTGGACACGGTTGCCAGTTTGCGGCAGTAGCCATTGGACAGTAGAATCCGGCTGGGCACAGGCCAGTCAGCATACCATTCAGACAATACCAGCCGGCCGGGCAGTCCACACAGATTTCCGATCCGGGCACGGACGTGTGAGAGCCGTTACGGCACGTCAGCGGGGACGATGATCCGCCCGGGCAGAACGTGCCGATCGGACACACGGACTCGAACGGTGCCGCATTTGAAGAACCCGATGGACAGAAGAAGCCTTCGCGGCACGGACCCGACGGAGTAATGAGTCCGGACGTGTTGCAGAACATTCCAGCCGTGCACAGATTGCAGTCTTCCGGTGCTACAAGATTGAGAGAGGTCGAAAACGTCCCAACTGGACAGTCCACTGGACTGGCGGATGTGCCCGGGCAGTAAGCGCCCATGGGACATTGGACCTGGGTCGCACTAGACGAGCCGGACGGGCAGTAATACCCTTCTTGGCAACTACCCGTGTGGTTGGTCTGCCCGGGAACACTGCAGTAGCGACCTGCAGGACATGACGTGCACTGACTGCTGTTCGCAAGGCCAGAATATGTTGATATTGTTCCAGGTTCGCATGGTTCAGGTTCTTGCGTTCCGACAGGGCAGAAGTAACCAGGAGGGCAGATGTTGGCGTCCATGCCCTGGTTAGGAGCTGACGAGTTACCAGACCTTCGACAGAAGTAACCGGCCGGGCACAGCACATCCGGGTACACAGTCCCCGGGTCGGGGCAGATGTACCCGGGCAGACATGCGAGGCACTCGGTGGACCGGACAAGACCGGTGTTGTTACTGTAGGTACCAGGCGGGCAGGGGTACTGGTTGCTGCGTGGTGTACCAACAGGGCAATAGTACCCGGGTGAACAACGGGTACTGGAACCCACAGTGACCACACCCTCAGCGCTATCGCAATAATGACCCGCAAGGCATTGGGTGCAGTTCGACTGTCCCTGAAGTGGCTGATGCGTTCCTGGCGGGCAGATGATACTCTCGTCGCTGCCCTGAGGACAATAATACCCCACGGGACATACGAAATCATCCGGATGACTGGAACTCTGATTCCCTGGGCAATAATAGCCCTCATCACAGAATCCAGTGGACTGACTGAGACCACTTGTAGCACAGTAATTTCCTGGGGGGCAGCTCAAGCAGTGCGAGAGATCGGAATTTCCTTCGCTGTTAAGATACGTACCAGCCGGGCAGGGCTCGGGCCGGGCGCTTCCCCTCGGGCAGTAGTGACCTTGCGGACACATACTGCCCGTTGCCCCGCTGTACGGTGTGGCTGACGAGGCATTGCCGGTGCAGTAGTACCCAGCCGCACAGAGACCAGTCGGAGAAGGCAACTCTGGCGAAGCGCAGTAGGAGCCCGGAGTGCAGGACACTTCGGAGGCAGACCCAGCCGGGCAGAACGTTCCGACTCGGCAGCGACCTCCGTTCAGAGTACTGTTAGCCAGTGAGCTCCCCAACGTGCAGTACCAGCCTGGGCTGCAGTCAGCCGTGGGCACTTCAAGGCCCGGGGTAGCGCAGTACTTTCCTGGCGTGCAGCTCAAGCATGATGTTGAGTTTCTTGCTCCCACCGCTGGTTGATACGTTCCGGCAGAACATGGGTGCTGGATGCCGTACCGTGTCCCTGTGGGGCAGTAATGCCCGACCGGACATGGGCTGGATGAAAAGCCGCTGCTCTGACGCAGGCAATAGAAACCGTCGGGGCACGGATTGCAGTCCGCTTGACCCGTACTGTCAGTGTAGGTCCCAGCCGGGCAGGGAACGGGCAGGTCGGTACCGGATGGGCAGAAGTGACCTACGGGGCATATGCCTCCATACCCAGTTGCGGTGGCAACGTTGGTAGATTCACAAGTGTCGTTGACCGTTGCGGTGAACGTCAGATTTGACAATGGTGTTGGCGTGTTGACACCGTACGCGCAGAAGAACCCGGCAGTGCAGTTACCTGCGGGGCTAGTCAACCCAGTTGAGTTGCAATGCATGCCAGGGTCACATGGAAGGCACTGGTTGGAGCTGCTCAGTCCTGTGTCAGAGCTGTAGGTACCACTGGGACATGGCTGTACATCAAACCCGGTACCCGCTGGACAGAAGCTACCAGCCGGACAAGATTGATAGGCTGGTCCGTAGGCTGACGGACTTACCGGCAAACATTGGAATCCGGCAGGGCATTGCGTGCAGTTCGCTTGTCCCGAGGCGTTTGTGAACGTCCCGGCCGCGCAGCTCTGTTCGCTGGGACTGAGGCCGTGTGGGCACACCAGACCGGGTCGGCAGATGTGCTGCCGGGATGAGGACGAGCCGGCAGGGCAGTAGTACCCGGGGGTGCACACTCCGGACGCCGCTGACAATCCCGACACGCTACAGTGGAACGCGGCGGAGCACGGGCGACAGGCTGAGGCGTTTCCGCCCAGCCGGTCGGGGTTGTACGTCCCCGGACTGCACAGGACGGGCAGGGCCGTACCCACGGGGCAGTAAGCGCCCGGCGGACACTCCTGCCAACTAGGATTCTCGGCACCGGTGTCACAGTAGTAGCTACTTTCACACTGTCCACTGGGCGATGATAGACCAGTTTGATTACAATAGGACCCGCCAGTGCAGTTACGACAACTATCCAGAGAGTTCTGAAGCACCGATGGGTTGAAAGTCCCAACAGGGCACAGAGTCGGGTTGTTAGTCCCTTCCGGGCAATAGCTACCAGCCGGGCAGACATTTGCATTAACGGGGCTGTGAGTAGGCGTTCTGGACTGAGCACCCGACCTGCAGAAATACCCCGCAGCACACCGTCCTGCAGGCTCCGCCAGACCAGTCTTATTGCAGTAGTGTCCGGCGGAGCAGGGAAGGCAATCCTCTACAACCGTGTTGCCAGACGAATTCGAGAACGTCCCGACCGGGCATTTGTGCTCGGTGGCGTACCGGGTTCCGACCGGGCAGAAGTGCCCCTCCGGACACACGAAGGGGGCAAAGTCGGAGACGGGTATAATTGATGAGTCGCAGTAGTACGACGCAGGGCATAGCTTGCAGTCACCTTTCTGCACCTGATCCTGGTACTGTCCCTGTGCGCAGACTATCTGATATCTGCTGCCATTGGGGCACTTGTGACCCGGAGAGCACGCGTACAGCGGTGATGTTGAAGATCGCTGACCCCCAGGGCAGAAATACCCGACCTGGCATTCACCAGCCGCCGCCGTCTGTCCGTACAGTTGGCAATATTGACCGGCCGGGCACGGCAAGCAGTTGGAGAGGTTCGCATTGCCGGTGCTCGGCGATATGGTACCAGGTGGGCACATCAGCGCCGTCGAGCTACCCTCTGGGCAATAGTGCCCGGCCGGGCAAAGACCTGCCGGTGGATCTTCCCGTTGCGATCCGATCTCGCAGAAGTATCCGGCCTTGCAGAGACCTGATTGACTTCCCAGTCGTGTCGTTCCACAGTAATAGCCTTCAGTGCATGGCGTTGGCGAGGAAGATGCACTCGGACAGTAGTTTCCAATCGGGCAGGGCCCTCCCGTGACAGTGGTGATGGCCGGTCGGGTCTGTGTTGCCCGCGAGGTACAATAGTACCCGGGGTCGCACGGCCCGGAAACCTGGGACAGGCCAGATCGCATGCAGTAGTAGCCGGGATCACAGGACACGCAGTCAGCGAGAGCTGCTCCACCAGATGCATTGCTGTATGTACCCGCAGGACATGCGAACTGTTCACCGTACTGAGTTCCAGGCGGGCAGTAGTGACCCTCCGGGCATCCATACGGCTCGTAGTCCGATGTCCCGTTCGGGCAATAATACCCGGCCGGACACTCGGTACATTCGCTCTGACCCACGCTGGCGCTATAGTTCCCGGACGGGCAGGGCAGCGGGTGGGCCGTTCCCGTTGGGCAGTAGTGGCCCCGGGGACACACTCCGGAATCGCCGAGCGGCTGACCTTGCAGCGTGATGCACATGGAGTCATTACTGAACCCAGTCGTCATGTTGGACACGGAGTTGGCTGGCGCTGCGCGGTCACTACCGTACCTGCAGAAATACCCGGCATCGCAGAGTCCAGTGGGAGTTGTTAGTCCATCAACGGCACAGTAGGAACCACCGCTACACGGTATGCAGTCTGATTGACTTCCAGCACCTGGTGAGGAACGGAATGTCCCACGTGGGCAAGACATACGCACTGTCCCGGTACCGGCCGGGCAGTATTGACCGACCGGGCAGCTGGGCGGGGTTGATGTGCCCGTGGGGCAGTACGAACCCTCGGGGCATGACGGGCAGGACACTGTACGGGTTTGCTGACTGTGCGTTCCGTCCGGACATGGCTGAGGCGATGAAGAGCCAACGGGGCACTGATACCCGGGCTGACATTGGTACTGGTCCGGGGCAGAGGTATCACTGCTGTTCGGGCAGTAGTACCCGGCATCGCAGGGTCCGGTCGGGGACAAGAGGCCCGTGTCGTCACAGTACTGGCCGCCAGTACACGGGGTGCATTGATCGGTGGACGACAGGTGTGTGCGATTGGAGAACGTACCTGTCAGACACGGTCGTGGTGTGGCGGTGCCGAGCGGGCAGAACCTACCAGCAGGGCAAGCAAGCAGTTGGGCGTGAGCTGCCCTGCTACCCTCGGGACAATAGTACCCGGCTGCACAGTAGAACGTAGAGGCCGTTAATCCCGACGTCGCACAATACTGACCACCGGGACACGGGCGACACTCAGACTCGTTGGCCAGCTGCAGGTCCTTGCTGAACGTACCGGCAGGGCAGGGAACGGGCAGGGCCGAACCCTCCGGGCAGTACGATCCCTGGGGGCACTGTGCCTGCGTTGACTGAGAGCTGCCACTGATGCAGTAGAAGCCAGACGAGCAGAGACCCTCCGGTTCCGAAAGCCCTGGCGTACCGCAGTACTTGCCAGCCGTGCAGGGTGTACAGTTGGCTGATTGTGTCAGCATTGTCAAGTTGCTGAATGTTCCCAGTGGGCATGGATAGCGTGTGGAGTACGGCGTACTAGCTGGGCAGTAATATCCAGCAGGGCACTCAAACAGTTCATAGGACACCACCGGCGATACAGAGCTCGTGCAGAAGTAACCGGCAGGACACGGGTCACATGCGCTTTGCCCTGTCTCGTTCTGATACTGCCCGTCCGGGCAGCGTACCGGGTCGCCGAGACGTGCGGTGCAGAAGTGACCGGCCGGGCAGATGTACTCCTCGGGCATGCTGCTGTTCTGCCCTGGTGGGCAGTAGTACCCGGCCTCGCAGTCCCCGACCGGGGCACCGAGCCCCACGCTTGAGCAGAACTTCCCTGCCGGGCACTGGACGCAGTCGGACGCACTCTTGCTGCCGTTGTTGGGCGCGTAGCTACCATGATCACAAGCCGTGGGATTACCGCTGCCCTCGGTGCAGTAATGCCCCAGGGGACAGATGTTACCCGTTACACCGTCAACGGGTTCGGCAGATGACGACGTCGACACACAGTAGAAGCCCGAAGAGCAGTTTCCAGTCGGGGTCGAAAGGCCCGCGCCCGAACAGTAGTGCCCCGGCGGGCAGGGTAGCTGGGCGGGTGACTGAGCCGGGCAGTAGTGACCGGTGCTGCAGGTCGATGCCCTGCTGCTGGTCGACCGTGTCGGGCAAAAGAATCCGGCCTCGCAGCTACCACTTGGGTTTGCAAGTCCCGGCGTGTCACAATAGAACCCTCCTGTACACCAAGTGCAGTCCTGAACACCGCTACGCGATAGCAGATTGTTGAACGTTCCCGCAGCACACGGATAAAAGTCACTTTGATTCAAGCCGGCCGGGCAATAGTACCCCATCGGGCATGGGAACTGGAGCGGGTTGATTGTCCCACCGGTGCAGAAGTACCCGGCAGGGCAAATAGTGCAGGCAGCCTGCTCTGTATAGTTAGCGTAGTGACCTGCTGGGCATGGGGTCGGCCGCGTTGACCCGGTAGGGCAGTAGTGGCCGGCTGGGCAGATTGCCCCGTAGGTCACGTTCCGGGCTAGTATCTCTGTAACGCTACCGGACCCATCACCTGACTCAGCCGCAGCATAGGATGTGTTGAGCGAGTACCTTAGATCACCGGGTGTAGATTCCTGACTGCCTTCACTGCAATACCAGCCTTCCAGACAGTCACCACTGGGACTTGTCAACGCCGTTTGGCCACAGTACTGTCCGGCAGTGCAGGGACGACACGAGTCGATGCCTGTGCCGCCCAGCTCCGGACGATACGTGCCCGTGGGGCAGGGAATCGGCGCCGTGCTCCCCTGCGGGCAGTAGTGTCCGGCGTTGCACGCACCGAACTTGTCCGTTCCAACGCTGGGGCTGCGCACGATGGCCTCGCGGCCGCACCAGAAGCCCGGGGTGCAGAGGCCGCTCTCGTTGTGGCGTGCCGTGCCCACGCAGTAGTGACCACCGGTACAGGGCGTGCAGTCGTCAGCGCTCACTATCCCGGTGCGCGGGTTGAAGAACCCCTCGGGGCACGCCACCACATGGGGCGTGCTGGCCACTGTGAACCCGGGGCAGTAGTACCCCAGGGGGCAGGGGTTGGGGCTCACGGTGCCCGCTTCGCAGTTGAATCCAGGCGGACAGTCGAGGCAAGCGTCGAGACCGGTAACGTTGGAATAGGTTCCGTAGGCACATTGTTGAGCCTGTTGCGCACCCGATGGGCAGTAGCTGCCGACAGGGCAGATGTCACCAAACGTTTGGTTGAGCGGCTGTGCTGATGATGAGCCTGACAGGCAGAAGTAGCCCGGCGCGCAGTGACCTTGCGGTGCCTTCAAGCCGGTCGTGTTGCAGTACTGTCCAGCTTCGCACACTAGGCACTCGGACTCCATGGAGAGATGCGTCGTTCCGCTGTATGTCCCTGCCGGGCAGGGCACCTCCAGGGCCGTGCCCTCGGGACAGTAGTACCCCTCCTGGCACAGGTCGCCCGGGTGACGCACGTCAGAACCGCGACTTAGTCTGCTGGGTGTCTTCTTGTCGTTGCGTGAAAAGCAGATATGTCCTGCGGAGCAATTTCCCGATGGTGCGCTCTCACCCCCAGTACAGTACTGACCCGGTGGGCAGTCACGGCAATCTGTTTCATTGGCCAGGCGTACATCGGGGCTGTATGTTCCGGGCGGGCAGGGCAGACCCCGGTCAGACTCCGACGGGCAGTACTGTCCAATGCCGCACGGTAGCGGGGCCAACATCCCCGGGTCGGGGCAGTAGTACCCGGGCGGGCACGGGTCGCAGGCAGCCTGGGCACTGGCGTTGCTGCTGGTGCGCACCGGACATGGGATCTGCTGGGCCGAGCCCTCCGGGGCGTAGAACCCCGGCTCTGCGACCCGCTGTCGGGTCTGGGTCGCACCACCCGTGCAGTAGTAACCGGCTTCACACGGGCCACTCGGCTCCGGTCCGCGGGCGTTTTGGCAATAGTAGCCCGGGGTGCACGGGACACAATCATAGAAATTCGTTGAACCTGAGCAAAACATTCACCATGCATACACATACGGGCACATGCATCATACACAGGCAGGCAGGCAGGCAGGCAGACAAGCAGATTACACGCACATCCATAAGGGTGAAAATAGTAATAATACACGTTCAACCACAAGGAGACGATCACAATAATTTCCAAGCATTCGAGCTAACAGCTATCGGGCATCTTGACCAACGACCAATTTTACCCAATGCAGATCTATGCTATCTTTCATCCTGACGACATCACCCAGGCATCACCAGTGACATGCGTTATCCTGATGACATCACACCCATGCATCACCCATGCCATGTTTCATCCTGATGACATCACCACCTGATGATGATGATGACGATGATGACAAGCTTACCTGACGTGTTGGAGAAGGTCCCGCGAGGACACGGCAGACTTGTGCTTGAACCCTCCGGGCAGTACCCACCAGCCGGACACACCTGTCCCGTAGTGCCATCGTTCGGCGTGGACGTGTACGCCCCGGATGTGCAGATGTACCCCGGGTTGCATGGCCCCCGGGACGAGGCCATCCCTTGGCCATCACAATAGTAGCCTACGCAAAATGCAAACACACAGAAATAAACTTAACTTGAATGAAAACATAAATTCTCGCTTCGTGAAGCGTTGGATTTCACCTTTCATGAACTTGTTGCATATTTATAGCCTGAATTTTTCGCTGCATTCCCTGCATTTCCTTGTTCAGAAAACGCTCGGCAATTTTACACTGTTCGTATCGTCCTGTGGCGTGGTCCTGCTGCGTCAGTGCATAAATGAATTGACATTGACAAATTTATACACACCTCAAACTTCATCCCAAACAATAATATTTATAGGTACTCTGGATCCAGTAGGCAAGCTTCTGATGTACATACACAGTGCTGGCCAAAGAAATCCAACCTCATCAATATAGAAAAACGCCTGGGGCGCTACGCAGCGCTAGCACTACACATATAATACTGGTCTGTGCACTCGAAGTCGGCGCTACTTTATTCATGAGGTTGGGTTTCTCTGGCAAGCACTGCAGCTGAACACGGACACTGAGCCAATGACAAAAAATATCAGGAAACACTGCCAAACAAGGTGTATTAGTCCCTCTCCCAAAGTATATTACATGCACACACTGCGCTCACCTGGGTTGCAGTCGCTGCAGTCTTCGCGCACCATCAAGCCGGTGCTGTTGCCATAGCTACCGATGGGACACGGCACGCTGGCCCCCACCCCGTCCGGACAGTAGTACCCTCTGAGGCAGTCGAGCGGTTGGCTACTACCCCGAGGGCAATAGTTCCCGGCTGGGCACGTCAGACAGTCGGCCACGGATCCGCTGGAGTAGTTGCTGGTGTAGGTGCCTTCTGGGCACGGGACCTGCTTGGGGCCGTAGGACCCGATTTTCAGGCCGGTCTGCCCATTCGTGATGTTTGTCGGGCAGTAGAAGCCGGGGTCGCAGACCTGAGTGGGGCTGGTTGTGTTCTCCAGGCAGAAGAACCCGGCCAGGCATGCCCTGCAGTCGGAGATGGTCTGCTGGGAGAGCAGCGGGTTGAACGTGCCGACGGGACATGCCACGGGCAGGGCAGTGGCTGCAAAGTACACAGCACAGGACATGAACATCCAAGAGTTTAGCACACAGAATCATCGTTAGCGAGTTTAATAGGTGCTGGAATAAATACCCAAAATGCAACAATGCAGTCAAATCTGAGTCCTACGAGGCCCTCCACATCGTTTCTCTAGAAGCAGAGTTGACGGTCATGCAGTGATCAAGAACAGTAGTGTCAGGGTATACAGCATTCTTGAACACAAAGCAAAGTGTGCTCTGACAAAATTTAATGATAGCGATTGTGAATCAAACGAATTTTGAAGCGATTGTGCTCCGTTGCTTCACTCTGTGGATACATCTTTTCATATAGAGTAAATCCTGCCATTATATTTGTGCAGTGGAAATGGCCAGATATAGCAGGATTCTGCATGATCCAGGGATGCAAGTTCGATCCACAACACAGGTTTTACTGTAAATTAGACTTACCCTCTGGACAGTAGAATCCAGCAGGACAGGGCAGAGAGTCATCCAGGGTGTTAAGACCCTGGGGGCATAGGCTGCCGGCTGGGCAGCGGTTGTTACGCAACATCACGGCCTCCGTCGTGTTCGTCCCGTTGCAATAGTGCCCCGGACGACAGTCGTCGCACGCCGAACGGCCCGCGCTGGAGAAGCGGGCAGGGCCGCACGGGACAGGGGTGATTGTCCCCTCCCCGCACAGGTACCCCGCCGGGCACGTGATGCATTCAGACTTGTTTCCGGCCGCCTGGCCGAGAAGGGTGCCGTTTAGAGCGTGGCCGGCTGGGTACACACCTTCGGGCATGTACGTCCCAGGTGCGCATGCCGCTGGTTGGACCGATCCCTTCTCACAATAATGACCTTGTGTACAATACAGACAAGCCGTGACGTCACTCTGACCATGATCCGGGTTGTAACGGCCCATTGGGCAAGGGAACTCGTCGGCAAATTTCGTCCCGCTTGGGCAGTAATAACCCGGCTGGCAGGCATCGCTCGGAGCAGCTCCACCGCTCAAACAGTAATAAGATTCCGGGCATGAGAAGCACTGGTCGGCGGACACCAGGTCAGAACGGTTGGAGTATGTGCCCGGTCGGCACGGGAACCGGTCCACTGCTGGCGTGCCCTTGGGGCAATAGTGTCCCGGCTTGCAGGGCAAACTGGGGTTCGTGTCCACCCCGGTTGCCCAGCCGCAGGCTTGCATGGCAGGACATGCCGTGCACTCCTCGGCGGCAGTCAAATTCGTCGAGCCTGTAAACGAGCCGGGTGGGCAAGGGAACTGGTCGGAGGTAACGGTCCCATTGGGGCAGTAATGCCCCTGGAAGCATGTGGTGTTGGGTGTTACAGTGCCGGTGACAGGGCAAGCCATACCAGCCGGGCAGTGATGACAGTTGAACTCGTGACCAGCACCTGAACCATACACACACAGAGCACAAGATTCTAATACAACATTCCGATTTGCTAAAAGTGCATCCACACACATGCACACAGACACATAATTGGAAAATCCTCGACATGTCCAATTCCAAACGTTCATCTTCTACAAACAAATTGCAGATTTCGTGAACTTTCTTCATTCTCACACAAATTCAAACAACATGTACTTTTTAAATAGACAAATTCTCTGGAAACCTCAAAAAGGGGCAGAGCTTCGTCTGATGAGTGTTTTTGAAACACGAAACTCGGAGTCACGAGAAGGATCTTTGGTCTCTGTTGTTCTGCCCTGTGTACTTTCGAAATAGAAATATGGAACCAGTCATTCACCACCATTCTATGGCTATTGTTTCATTGTAGCTGACAAAACATTTAAGACAGTTCTAAGCACATCGATATGTGACAATGAATGAAAGAGAATGCACAAAATTATGAACCCGCTAGAGGAAACATGGTTACCAGGGGAACCAAGCACTAACCAGTGTTGGGATTGTAGCGTCCAGGCGGGCACGGTATGGGTGTTGTACTAGCTCTCATGGCACTGCCGTCGGGGCAATAGTGGCCGGCTGGGCAGGTCAGGCAAGCACTGGAGTTGCTCAGTCCAGTCACACCGCTATACGTTCCCAGCGGGCAGGAGTTGGCGTTCCCGGTGGGGGTGCCCTCCGGGCAGTAGTACCCTCTGGGGCACACTTCCCAGGTCGACTCATTCCCCGTACCCGGCGGACAATAGTACCCTACAAATGCAATATGGAGAGGGAGAGAGAGAGCAATACGGAGAGAGAAGAGAAGATGAATAAGTGGACACTAGTAGATGGAGGGGTTGGGAGAGAAGGAGAGGAGAAAGAAGGAAAACAAAGATAGGAACGTAGACAAATGGATGGGGAGTTAGATGGGGAGAGAGAAAAAAAGAAAATGAATGGTGAAGCAGAACGACTGAGTGCCATTGCAACATTGAACTACTAGCCGAACACCCGTATACAATAGAACATTCAAAAATGTTGGCGAACCAAAATCATTGAAAATGCGACAGTTGCTCGTCATCAGTAAAGTTCAGGGCTCCAAAATCCCTCATCGGTCAGTCATGGTAGTTCAGAATCCCGACACCACACTGGTTGTAATGCAATAAAAATGAATTCGGTAAGAAAGCACACACACAGCATGCGGGGCATGGTTTTTTTGCGTAGATAACCATAAATGGTCCCCAAGTAGACGCATTGGCATTGCTGAAGGCAGAAGAATAGTGATGCTCATTGAAGTCCAATCCATTGAGTCAAGTATGCACCGGGCGCTGTGGAGCCCTAGACAGGTGAACACAGGTCTGTGTAATTGTGCAGGGTGCAACCGTGCCTCTCCTGATCGGATTCTATCGAGCAGCACTGTAGTTTGAGTGAATCGTATGGTTACACACCAGTTTTTACATACCTTCAGGACAGCGGTGACGACAGCCAACGACAAGCTCTGTCTGACGCTCATCAGGATTGTACGTCCCGGCCGGACAGGGGAACTGCGACTCTCTCACCGTGCCCTCCGGGCAATAGTACCCCATTGGGCAGGGCGACTCCAGGTACGAGGTCGCCCCGGGTCCGGTGCAGTAGTACCCGGCGGGACAGCGGACGCACGTGTCGTTCTCGCTCGTGCGTAGATCACCGCTGGTCAAGCCACTAGTGTTGGAATAGGTGCCTGGCGGGCAGTGGTGGAAAGCCCGGCCATCGCACCAGCCTCCCTGCGGGCACGAGTCTTTCGGCTCGGGCTCGGTCTGTGGGCGGTAGCGATTGTCGCACAGAAAGCCAGGGTTGCACGGCGAACAGCTGAGAGAGCGACCGTATGAATAGAAGCCAACCGCACAGAGATACTGAGCACCTGTGTGGAAAAGCATTTGCAATTAAACGATAAAGCCAGCGGGAAGAACGAGAATTAGCGGCAGTAGCAACATTTTCGTCTGATTTCTCACTGGCAGCATGTGCCCATTGTCTTGTAGGAACCCCTGGACCGCAACTTTGCGACACAGACCACACCTCTAAAACATGATATACATACAGCTCCATGAAGCAAACACCCCTGAGTGGGTCAAGTGCACACTCACATCAAACCCACAGTCCAACGTGCGTGTGATATGTTGTCATGCCTACTGGCTGTGATATACGGTCAACTTCGCTAATAACGACTGCGGATATAACGACAATTCGCGAATAACGACAGAATTTCCATGCCCAGAGCAAAGTCCCATCTGACTTTATACATATAGTGAGACTTCAGGTATAAGGACACATTGCGAACAAGGACACTTTCTGATGCCCCCCCCGAGTGTCGTTATACACGAAGTTGACTGTAGCCACAACACTAGTTCACTCCACGTACTAGCGGTCTGTTAGAATTCCTGCCTGGGCCAGGTACTCACATTTGTTCGGTGCACAATAGTAGCCGGCAGCGCAACCGTAGCACTCGGTGGCGTTGCTAGCGGTCACTATGGTGCCGTCAGCGCAGGGTATCGGCGCTTCGTTGGACGTCTCGCATGAATGCCCGCACGGACAGTCTGTACAGCGTGTGGAGTTCTCCAACGAGTATGTCCCCGGAGGACACAGGTCACTGCAGAGAAGCAGCGAATTCGACAGCAAGAAAAAAGTACAGTATTTAAAGTCATGATCCCATGTAAGGATATTTGACTTCCAAAAGCCTGCCGTATAAGGATTTCTCATTTTCCTGTTTTCGTGTCAATTGCACAACACAGCCATCTTCCTCAACCACCATTCTGTGAGAATCATACTGTTGTGTATCTTGAGGCATGCATTGCAAACTGTTCATTCTATACACAAGTCTAAGCTCTTTTAAGAGTTTAGACAATTAAAATTCCTTAACAAGGAGCAACTACAACTTGTTGCATACGGGCACTGATTCTGATACGTGAAGTAAAGTTCATACATCCGTTTTACCACCGCCGCCTATGCAATTGGGTCAGGCATGGTGATGGACGGGCACAAGCCAAATGTTCGAATCTGGTTCTGTTTCTCAACAAAATTGTATTGCCGGTAGGAAGGCAGACGTATGAATTTGTTGGTAACCACCCAGGAGAATGAAAGAAAGGTCAGGAGGAGTACACACACACACACGTACACACACGCGCGCGCGCACGCACGCATACACACACACATACACATGTCTAGAAATGCAGAACTTCTATGCCTACCTGCCATTGAACTCAGGTGCATAGGTGGCGTTTGGACAACGGTACCCAGGTGGACACGGCGTACAGTAAGCAGCTGCACCTTCGGCATATCGACCTGCCAGGCATGGGATGGGCTCCTCCAGAGATGCATGTGGACAGTAGCTAGTGCACAGGAAGAAAAGACACGACATGTAAAAAGGGATTGGAATTTGCCTTGCTGGAGTAATGTAAATCAAGAAAATTTTGTATGCGACAAATTTCGTACGGTTTCATGTAATACCCATTCATATGCATTTATCTTCATTCGTACTGGATGTACGAGTAAAATTTGTACAATAAGGTTCCTTTGAATGGAACATTCCTCCTTTTGAATTCGGAAAGCAAGATCATACGAACCACCGAACCTTCTTCCCAACACTATTCTTTGTTTACGTGTTAAATCATGTGTACGTCATGCTGACGTCTTGCTGCACGCATCGCATCGCGTGTGCAGTTTTGCAGTTCGCAGGCTAGAGCATGTGCAGCTAACCAGTGGCTCCATTTTTTCTACCTTTTTCCTTTTGCTCTCACTTGTCTCAACAAATGGTCTTTTTGGTGACATTGATTTCAAGTCACGTTTCGATTAAACCGAAATCCCATTCACTGCATCCCTCGTGCCAGGCTTTCCAGCCGAGTCTCACGCAAGCCGTGATTTTTTCAAGCAAACAAGTGCAATGTCGTTCCGAGAACCAGAGTATCCCCAAATTTGAGTGAGCAATACTTATTTGTGCGTGGCTACAAGCTCTCCCACTCCACAGTCCAAAGTTGCACACACTTACTATCCAGCGGGACACTCCGTACACTCGGTGGCATTGCCAGGTGAGTAGCTACCAGCAGGACAGGCAACAGGGGCTTCGTGGGTCTTGTTACAGAAGTATCCATCGGGACACTCCGTACACTGGAGAGCATTGCCAAGGCTGTATGTGCTGTAAATGTAGAACAACATAGACACGCAACACAGGGAAACAATGATGGTGAAATTGTGCTGGAACAAAGAGAATTATGGAATTGACGCCACACACTGGTTTAGCTCAAACCCATCTGATATGCAGTGAAGACTACATAATTATATCAATCTTTAGCGGACCGGTTCTGTATTGACAGTGGAACAACTTCTGCGTTGACATTCACTACCACCATCGCGCTCTGTGGCCGACCACATACATACACTCACTCACTTGCCCACAACAGCAACAAGAGGTGTGTGAATAGCATTGTCAATCAGCAACTAGATATCTCCGGGAATGAAGTTTGATGCGAATGTCAAAGAAAATTACAGCATGGATTGCACACTGTACGCAAAGGGTGATAATTATCTACAACACCAAGGATGAGCATTATGCCCGGGTAACGATCCAGAGAGAGAGAGAGAGAGTGTGTGTGCGTGTGTGTGTGTGTGTGGGGGGGGGGGGGTTGTGTGTGCAAGAAAGAGAGAAAGAAAGAGAGATGGACACAGAGAGAAAGAGAGAGAAGCGGCGTTCTGCAATGGATCCGGAGCTATGCTATAAGGAGAAGAAACACATGGGACTGAGTTATGCAGCAACTATCCACCACTGTAACAAGATGATAAACAGTCAGAAAGTGCGATAATAAGGCACAAAACTGAAAAGGCTACATTTTAACATTTATTACTGGCTCAGTATCCGAGTTTAAATAATGCCATAAGGGAAAATACTAACCTGGCTGGACACTTGGTCGGAATAAGACTGGCAAGCGGGCAACTGTACCCGGGTGGGCAAGTGGTGCATTCCGCTGCGCCGGGCTGGGAGTAGGTACCCGGCGGGCATATCACAACACCACCACTGCCACCGTGCGTGAACATACACATACGTAAATATACATGCACACGCGTGCACACACATATTATACACACGTACGCACACCATGTACACAGGCACCCACCCACACACCAGAACATCAATTTTTGAGAGGGGTACCAGGGCGCGCAGCAAGTTTTAATTGAATATCAAGCATGTCAAACCACAAGTCCGTCATGGGACTTCGGAAATCTCCCTACATCATGGAGGTTAGGAGAATGACATCATCAAAGTCTTACATAGTAACCAGTGTTTATGACGTCATCCAGTGCGAAACACCTCAAAATTAGGATGTACCGTATTTTACCGGTTGTAAGTCGACCCCGGTTATAGGTCGACCTCCGTGTCCGGAGATCTCAATTCTGCGTTTTAAAGTTTTCACCCAAAGAATCACTACTAACTACTCCCTTCTACTAAAACACCAACAAATCATGCAAACATTCCTTATTGGAGGGTATAACGTCCCAATCCTTGAAAAAGGCCAATAACCTGCTAAATATGTGTACACATGGTGCACTCATGCATGCAGTGCAAGTCGTTTTTTGTAAGATACTGATAGTTCCCGGTTATAAGTCGAATCCCAGTTGTAAGTCGACCCCCACCCTTTCTCCTTCTATTTTTAGTCGTAAAGGTCGACTTACAACCGGAAAAAATACGGTAATCGCATACTCTCCATACATACACACCGGCAGTACCTGGTATTCGTACAGGCTGTACCGGCGGAACACGGCAGACAATACGCCTCTTCTCCTGTCAGCGAGTACGTGCCGGGTAGGCATTGGGTGATCAGCGTTAGAGCGCGTACTTGTCCGGGTGCAAGGGCTGGACAGATGGTACCGGGTAGGCAGCGAGTACAGCTGACAGCTCCGATATTTGAAACATAGCCTGGACATGGCAAGATGCAAGAGAGAACAAACAAGTCGGAGTGCTGACGTGTCAAAATTCCTGAAAGATTCTGCCACTAAAACACTACACAATCCCTTAAAATGCAATGAAACATGATGTTGAGCATGCAAGTAAGTAGTGTTGTCCTTGTCTTGGCTTGTGTGCTTGTACATGTGTGTATGTGTGGGAGGGGTGAGGTTGTTCGCGTCTATCGTTTGACTGTTTGTGTGGACAGTTTGTTGGACTTGGAAAACCTTGGCTGATCCTGTTCTCCGCTTCACATATTGACAAATAACCACACCAATAATCACGTAACTGGTGAAACATTCAGTCTTGCCTCTTGATGTAATGCACATTCAAATAATGGTGACAGCCAGTGCATACTCAGGTAACTTTCATAGCCTTTGGAGGTCGTAGGGGAAACAAATCCCCCCCCCCCCCAAAAGGTGGACCAGGTAAGTACCTTCGAATATGGCGGCATCTAGTGCGTCCTCAGTCATACAGTCCATTGGGGTGACAGAGGCACACTTACCCCCCCCCCCCCCCCTCCTCCTCCCACCATATTCATAGAACAAGCTATCAGGGGTGCCACTTGCTCTGATTTTTGATCGCCTGTCGGACAAACCGACCGATTTTGTTCCCAAAGAGGGACAACCGATTAATTTATTGTGAGCACTTTGTTGTCCAGTTGGCCATTCGGCGCTACCAGGTCGCGCTTGGCCGGTCATTGTACATGTACATGTACATGTACATGTAGCTGTAAAATGCACGCGTGCTTGCATGTGTTTCGACAGTTAAACATGTATTCTGGGACCCCAACAGCAAGCCATTTTCCTAAATATTTTCACTGGGGGACACCCCGGACCCCCGTCAGATTTTTCTCCCTCCACATGTGGCAGCCCTGAGCTATGCACATTTGAATGTGATAAAACCCAGAGCATTATCAGGGGGACATAGCCTTTGGGGTCACAGGGGCACAAGTACCCTCTTCCCCCACCCCGTAACATGTGGACCAGCTACGCCCCAGAACACTTACCCAATGGGCAGTCTATTTTCTGTGTAGGATCTGGACACTGCGAGCCTGCCGGACATATTGTACAGCTGGTAGCCATGGCGTCGGAGTAGTGGCCCGCCGTGCAGCGAACCGGACGACCGTGAGTGTTCGGGCACTGCGACCCCACCGGACACGGAAGGCACTGGGTGGCGTTCTCCGTCCTGTCTGTGTACATGCCCGCCTGACAAGACAGCGGGGAGGATGCCGGGTTGGGACAGATGCTGCCGCCTATGCACGGCGAACACGCCGTGGCAGCCGCTACAGAGTACGTTCCCGGTGCACATGTCAGCTGAGCCGTTCCTGGTGATGGACAGTGGAAGCCGGCGGCACACTCCGTGCATAGCATGGCTGAGTGTGTTACAAAGAAGAAGAAACGCACACAGCCATATGCAGGTGTACACATATTCACATACGCACACAACAAACGCACATTAACACTCATTCAAATACAAACAAACACACACACACACATAGGTACGAATACATGCCAAAATGGCACGCACGCACGGACGTATGCACGCACACACAAACACATACACACCCAACATATGCATAGCAGCATGTACAGACAACCCCACAATGATGATGTGTGTACATGTTAGAGTGTCTGTATGCGGAGAACAAACAAAATGATCTACATTCATTTCAACAGCGCTTTCAACAAAACATAGCACAAGCAAAACACAGATTCGAGACCAAGACGAACGACAGCACACAACTGAAACTGCGTACATAAGAATGCAGGCCCGGCGGAACCGGTCCGGTTGGTCAGGCCATGGCCGGACCAACCTTTTTGGCCACCAACGTGTGTTTAACAAGACAAAAAAATTCACGGTTCGCGTGAGACTCGGCTGGAAACCGGGCTTTCCGCATCCGTAGGAACGCCACCACCCTTCAAGGATCAAGGCGCAGATGCAGCTCCTAAAACGGTGGGAGGTGAGTAGACCAGCTCACCAGCAAGTGGTCAAAGACCGAAAATTAACAAGACAACAACACCTAAATTGAACACCTCTCCGGGGAAGATAATCCTTACAGGTTACATACAGGTATCATTTAGTCTTCATCATTTCAGCTGTACCCACCGAATCAAGTATGCCATAAAACATACGCTCTGCTGCTAGCGTACCACATAATGTTGTTGCACCAGGGCGAGCTGGTGTCCACCGCTTGCAGATCACGCCATGCCCAAGCACATGCGAGAGAGTGGGAGAGCTTATTATATTTTACAAGTGTCTAATGCTGCTGCTGCTAGCGTTGTCCTCGATTCTTACCTCCTCCTATGCTGTACCACCCTGGTTTACAAGCCACTGGTGATGCACTGGAATTGGTGCATTCTGAACCAGCCGGGCATTGTGTACACTCCAATGCCTGAGCTGCAGAGTACGTGCCTGCAATTGTATGTATATAGAGACAAGTCAGATTAATATTATTATTAAAGAAAAGGCATGTCACAGTCAATTCTTGCCGGATGGGGAAGAGGCGTTAGAGACCTCCTGTTTCAATGAGTTCAATATACAGAAGGCGGTGTGCATCTGCCCTCTCTCATCTCCTCTGTACTACGACATGATGCGCAGTCCATAGGGGCCTGGGCATCATTGAAGTTCAAGTGGGCCTACTCAACCACATTGTGAGGCCATTAGAACAATGCCCCTGCTTCATGAGTTCATTCCAGTCTATGCATGAACTACAGGGTCCATTTCATATCATACATCTTTACTGAAAGATAATGGAGTTCCCTCTCCTCGTTTAACTTCATCAGACCATCTCAGCATCACCTGGCAACATTTCCTCTTGGAACACACAAAGCATGAAAACCAGACTCAATGATCTGAAGTTCAGTTCAACTTGAAAATCATCTTTTCAACTACAGTGCTTACCTAGCGGACATTCAAGTGGAGCGGCCGAGGCATTAGCACAGGATTTCCCCGCCGGGCAAGGATAGCATGTGACCGTTTGTCCTTCGGGCGAGTAGTACCCAGACGGGCAAGGTATTCCACCGCCATGCCTGGATACAGCAAGGGAAACAGACGACATAACAATCAGAGAAGGGTCACATGACTACACATGGGGTGCTGTATTTTCCGGAGTATGAACCGCACTTTGAACACTCAAAATTCACCCCAAAAAACGGGGCTACAGCTTATTCTCAGATGATCAAATTAACGGTGGTAAATAGAATAGATGTCTGTATTTTGAGGCAAACATGAGGGGGGGGGGGAGCGGTTATACTCTGGAAAATACCGTAGATACTTTGGTCAAGTGTGCATAGCCTCATCACGCATGCAAGTCCATAGATGCCCCCCCCCCCCCCCACACAAATGTGACTGCGCCATCCAGCTGTGTTGGCATATCTCGTGTGGGTGTCTGGGCGATCGCCAGCCGATCAATACACAGTATAGTGAGATATTGTATGAATGGAAAGATTCCAGAATAGCGCCCTTATAGTAAGGCCCAAGCTTTGTGTATGGCTGGTATTTTTCTCGGTTTTATTTTGCTCCGCACATTCAAACAGAATGACCAGCCGATGAAATGATGGCAAATGCTTGGCCTAGAAGTGGCTATGGCATAATGCATGTGTAGACAATACCTAGGATCAGCACAGGAGAATCCAGCTGGACACGATATGCACACTGCATGGTCTGCTGAGCTTAGAAGACCTGTCGGCAACGCCAGGGATGCATATACACACACACAGACATGCACATATGTACATAGATATGCATACACGTATCCACATTCGGTGCACACATGCACATAAATGTGAGAGCACACAGCAAGTTTCAACAACATGCCATCGCATGTGATGACATGCACATGAACCATGAACCGGCAAATACTGTAAAACGGGTAACTATTGCGACGTAAAAATGTTTGGGAATTTTGCGAGAGGCCCCGAATCGCAAACTTGGAACAACGCAAATTCGTGCCATGTAAAGTTCAGTGCAAAGACTGACTCGACTGTGTAGAACGACTGTAGAACGACTCGCAAACATTAAACAGCGCAATCCAGTCTCAATTTGTAAAATGCAAACATTTATTGTCGCAAACGTTACCCGTTTTATAGTACACTTGGATAAGGCGACCACCTGTCCCAGATGACCACTGCAGCCAGGACCAATGCATGATTTGCCAGTCAAATGACCCTGGATAGGGAGACCACCTGCTTACAGAGACCACACTTTGGAGGTCCCTTGAGCGGTCGTCTTACACAGGTTTCACTCTATGTGTAAGGCTTACAAACAATTTTTAATAATATCTTCCTATCATACCCTGGTTTCTCATCATTGTGTTGCTTTTGCCCGTACAAGAGGCTTTATCAGACCAAAAAAACAAAAAAACAAACAATAGCTGCCTGTTTACACGGACCAAAGGCAAGGAACCGCGATAAGAAAACGAAGAGCAGATGTCACCCATGCTTATGTTCAGATTCACAAGAAACAGCACATGGTTGTGTAACTCACCTGCCGGGCATAGAGCACACTTGACCGAGCTGTTGTCGGACACGTAACCGGTCTGGCACGCCACCGGCAGCTGAGCGGGATTAGCACACTCGCTGCCGGCCGGGCATGGTGTGCAGGAGTGCGCCGCGTCACCACTGTGCGTTCCCGGCGGACACACGCCGCACACGTCCGCTCCGCCGGTGCTGAACGTGCCCGCCAAGCAGGGCACGGACGCGGCGCGGCTCATGCACTGACGCCCGGCCTCGCACACTGCGCACGCCGACTGTCCGCTGGTGTTTGTGTACGTGCCGTTCGGGCACAGCAGCGGAGCCTCCTACGCACACACAGAGTGAAGTAATCAGGCACACAATATGATACAACAGAAAAGTAAGTCCGGAAAACACAAAAAAACTAAGACCAAGAGCCCAAGCAAGCCTGTTACAAAAACCAAAAACACGCAAATCAAATAACCGATTCGGCAAAACAGGCTAATACTTTCCAACCTAATACCCAGGCACATATGCTGGCACATATATGCCGGTACACATACACTCATACATACCTTCACACATCATCTACAGGAGTGGATCCAGGAGGGGTTCCAGGGATTCCGTCGAACTCCCTAAATTTCGTAAATGTACTACTGGCAACCATATGCGTGTCCATGTCCATGTATCAGCAATATTCTGTTTTGATTGTACTGGAACCCTATTTTAGAGATCGCTGGATCCGCCGCTGATCTATAATAATAGCTAGAGCGTGTGCATATGACTCACCATAGCAAGTGCTGGACAGTAGTAACCTGGCGGACAGTTTGTGCACTCAGTTGAGCCATTGAACGAGTATCTAGTCACAGAATATGAAGGAAACACGAAACCGTGAATACGACTAACAGTGGAACCTCGATCTCCAACCAACTACCTGAACTTACCACCCCACCTCACCGACAACATTTGATCGACCCCGAATTTTCCTCCATTGGTTTCGAATACAAGGGAGTCATTTCACACCTCAAACCACTTCTGAAACCAAACCATTTTTGCGCACTTCGAAAGGCTTTTTAAAAGAACCTCAAAGTTCAACTGCATACCGGTAGATAGATTTCTGTAATGCACTAATGACATGTAGGCTGGAAGAGAGGGGAGGGGAAGGAGGGGGAGCAGACGGCCTAGGAACCAAACTATTCAACTAAATTTATTCCAAAACATTACTTCACTACTGTGGACTGATGCCAGGCAAAGCCAGTAACTACTCAGTCAACACAACGGTACCCCATACAATACCCTGCTTGGGATGGTGAAATTGATTTGCGTAGTCACTGCCATCCAACCGGGGGTGCTCGATATGAGATCAACTTCTCTTGAAGTATGACAAGCATCATATTTCCCAAGCGCAGCGACGATCAAGTCTGATGCACGAGAAGTTTTCTCGCTGACCTGCCATAATATTGAATCCATGCATATCAGTTTAGGTGAAAACTGCTGAATGTGATGAGCTCACCTTCCCACGGGGCACTCCTCCGGGTTGTCCCACCCGATTCTCGGGCACTTTGCCCCGGCCGGGCACTGGAGGCACTGAGTGGAGTTGGCCGTCGAGTAGTACCCAGCCGCGCATGGCTGGGGTGCCGACGTGACATCACTGCACTGGCTTCCGGCCGGGCATGGACTACATGTCCAACTGCCTACGTTGTTGCTATAGTAACCAGTGCGACATTGTACGGGCAGCTGCCAACTGCACAACACCAAAGATGCAAAATGACAGCAGTGGCATCGTAGAAGCTTTCGATTGAAACTGGGAAGCTACGGATAGTTCTGTATCTCATCACACGGAAAACGGGCGATGGAGATGTGCTGTGTGTTGCAATGAATATGTTGTGTGGGGCTCTGCGGTGTTTGGTACATCGGATGCATAGCACCCCACACACTGATCGCACAATTTCAAGTTTGAACGGTTCAAATTTTGCAGCTTGTACCAGGCTGTGCATACCAATGCATATAGAAGAGCAGAACGACCCAATGAGGTACAAGAAGAGAGCATAACAAAGCCCACTGTACAGTGAACAGACCACGTGTACACTACTGTCAGTCGCCGAAGAACTGGGGGTCAGCCTCCTAGCCTATACCGTTTCTATTTTCATGTATTACAGTCTATGCACAGTTGAGTCACAGTGTGTACATTGGTATGCTGTGCTTGGTGACATTCTAGCCTGGTCGTTCCTCGGCACCCGGCAGCACTGTAAGGCTCTATCAGCTAAGTTATTCATGCCACGCTCAGACGTACGTGTAGGGACACTCGTGCCCGCGTGGACACGGCGTGCACTTCACGGCGCTGACGTCCGTTGTGTTGTAGAAGTGCCCCGCCGTGCAGTTGACGGGAGCGGTCACGCTCGCGTTCACACACTCGTAGCCTGATGGACAGCGTAGGCAAGTGCTCGCACCCACACCGGGGTTATACGAACCAAACGGACAGTCCTGGGAGCAAAATTATACAAGAACAGAAACGGTTTCAAAGGTAGTGGACCAATGGTAACGGAAAGGTCCCTCACTAGCAGTACTCCTCAAAAAGGAAACCTACATACGAACATGCATGTGAAATAGGCACACTTTCTGTTCCCTTGTCTCTTGCCCATACAGACACATGCACACACACACACACACACACGCATGCACACGTACACATACACGCCATTTGACTATTTGACGCCCATCGCCGGAGGCGATGTTAGCGATCCTATGGCAGAAGCCATAGCAGCTTGTCCTGGGATTGCACCATTCAACAGCTTGCAAGGCTGAAGAATTGACCGCCATTATTCGGCCTGGTCGACACCACACAGGTACGAAGTGGCCTTTTCTGGCCAGTGAATCCCTACTTTTTGTTCTTTTTCATTTTTTCCCGCACACATCACACCACACACTCCGGCATGCACTGGCTGTTGGTAACCAACCAGCATAATGAAAGAAAAGTCAGGAAGAGTCCGAGAAAGAGAAGAAAGACGTGTGTGACCATAATCGTCGGGAATTGAACCCGCAACCTCTCGATTGGAAATCGACTGCACATACCACTGCACCATATGGGACACACACACACACACACACACACACACACACACACCACACCACACACACACGCACACACACATGCACAGTTACTTTGCAAATAACTAGAATTCCTCTCCAGAATACGCCCTGCAGATATTCATACAAGTGATCACTACCAACAGTGACATGTGCCGATGGGAACGCATGCAGCAACGGACAGCAATGTACAGCAACTTTGCAACAAGACTTACTAGACACGCTGATCGGTTTGTTTGTCCTGCAAGTGGATTGTAAGTGCCAGCAGGGCATGCTTCCTTTGTCACGTTCCAGCCCTCACAACTGGACATGTACAGGACAATTGCAAGACAACAACATTGCAGATCTCTTGTCAATACACACCTTTATGAGGCAGGATGGAAAGGGAACTAAACATCATTTTTTTCTATAACTTACCCAAACAGGCTACTCTCGATAAGTCGCACACCTCTTTCGAAAGGTTCCATCAGCAGGCAACAACCTTTCCCACCCTCGCCGCTCAATTGAAAATCAGACTCTCGCACCCTCCAATCTTACTCGCGTGCTCAAGCAAAGTGCCAACAAATCAATAGCCTAGAGAACATGTCGATCTCTCCCCTTCCAACCCCCCCCCCCCATTCTTGGTCCTTCCCTAAAACCCACAACTTACAAATATCCAGGATCGCATACTCGGCAAACGTCTGTCTCGGTGCCCTGGATAACGGCGGTGTCCGGGTATCGTCCAACACTACACACCGTCTCATTGCTCACCACATACACATCAAGCCCTGCGAAGGTGCAGTTTGTCTCGGCATGCACACATGGTGAGAAGAAGATGATGGCTGGAGGAAACAAAAAAGCGGTTACAATAATTTAATGATAGCAATGCCACACATCAAAGAAGTCTCAATTAGTTACAAATATACTGTAATTTCACAAATTTTCGGTGTACTTTTATTTTCGGTACTTTCGGTGCGTCTGCCACCTTTTCGAGCATTATCCTCACACCCCTAGTCACCATGCCTACGTTTTCTACCTAGGTCATCAGAGTTTGTACCTAAAATTTCAATACACCGAACAAACACTAACACACATAACCCAATAGGGAATTGCTTCTCTGTACCGAAAATTTCTGCTCACCTAACCTGGCCTGTTGCCCTCATACCGAAAATATTGAGCACCGAAAGATTTCTGAAATTAGAGTACTCATTAGTTGAGAGAATGGGTACAGTACAATGATAATGTAATTCTGTTTTCCCTTCAACTACCGTGCATAGTTGACATCGGTGCTATACAGTCAGACCTAGCTTATCCGGTCCTCTTTTATCCGGATCCCTCGCCGTCCGCCAGAAAATCGTTGGTTACTGATTACAGCATATGCCATGCATACACGCAGTATGCGTGGTCGGTTATCCGGTTCCCTAGTCTATCCGGATATTTTTTTGTGGAAAACGGATGTGTGCGGTTAAACGAGGTCTGACTGTATTACCGATGTACAGGTTATGCATACAGGCGCCGATAGGTGCAGCTAGCAGACATCGTAAGGCAGGTGTCATATCTCCCTATCAGGCGGGTTTTCCCGATTTTGTTGATGTATTCAACACATCTCCCGACCAGAATGGAAAACCTCCCTACTACAGATGTGGCAGCTATGGTAACCATGTACATATTATGTGTAACCTTGCAATTTTTTTTTGTATTTTTTAATATGTTCATATTCCCCGTTCGAAACTATTTTAGAAAGACAATGGTACTGAGACCGGGACAAACGCCACAACTACTGAGCAGGGGCTGCACCGAGACGCAGCAGTGATGGTGGAGCATTGTTGGCTCTGCCGACCTGATGTCTCGGCATCACGGCCAAAAACACGCACCAAACTTGTTAGTTTGACTGGCACACTTTCCCTGTACATTCTCAGATAGCATGCCCCACGTTAAAACCCCATATGTTTAGGGCAGGCAACCTCCCTTCTGGCAACCCAATTAATATTTGGAGGGAAATCTCTCTACCACAGCCGAAATGAAGGTGGCAGTCCTCCAGTGGCCATCATAATAGGAATGGTACCCAATGAGATAAAGTCCTGAATGACCTGATGGTGGCGATCAAGATTTTTCGTCACACGTTTTCCCCTTTTCAACTCCCAGAAGCCAATGCATGGTAATAATCATTGGCTTCTCGCCTGAGCAACGGTCTAGTAGGCACTTACCAAGGGTTAGCAATACGGAGAGATAATGCCGTTGAACATGTGCAATGGCTGATTGCTGTCCGGCACTGGCCGGCAGCTTACTCCGCAGCATGTTCCTGTGTTTCTACCTGATAGATTGTTCCTTCAAGGCATCGCTAACGTCGAGTACGAACGCGTGGCAGAGCGGCCAGCTGAACCACTGCTCGCTGCGATACTTGCAAAGGACTAATAAACCAAACGCAATTTCAGAGCATCAAATTATTCTTGGCCGGCTGCTGAATTGATGCATTCACACGAGACGGGCGTGCAAACTATCGCCAGTATCGCTACAGGCAGTCGATGGAGAATCTGTTATCACGTATGATATTACGGTGCCTGATCTCCCTGCTCTTCTCTCCGCTCGCATGAATACAAAAACTAATGACATTCACGATCGAGATTACTTTGTCACACAAAGTTTGTGTGAGCCAACACCTAGTAGTAGGTCTACCTAGCCTCGGTACCTGTACACAGTACAGACTCACTCAGTACTCAGTAGTAGCTTTGAGGTTATCGCACGTACATGTACGTACACGGGTACGGACGTCGGTGGCGCTCTGAATCAGGGGTATCGCTAAAAAATGTCATTCAAGGAAAGCAAGTGTGACATCAATCTTACAGCGATGGCTCAATCAGTCAATGATTATGTGGATGCAAGCAGAGGGGTTTCCTCATACATTTTTAGCATACGCCAGTGCAGAGCAGATCTACTCCTGCTACGCGAGTTGGCAAACAGTGGCGGGTAGGATCCGACGTGCCTTGTGCATGTGAAGTATTTTTTACTTCTCTTTCTCACCTCCTTGTTGTTGGTCGACATGTCTGTCCTTTTCACTGTCAAGTGTCATTGAGTGGAGTGCAAGCAAAGCCGTGACCTGGTGACCCTGGCAACGATTAGGAGAGTTGCTCGTACATGTACCAACTCACCACATGCACAGCCTACACTACACTACACTACAGCAGTACAGGCACAGTCACAGACTGAAGTAATAGTTAGACTGTCACTTGTCAGGCGCTAGGCATGTACGTACAGTCATGTAGTTACTTGCGCACATTATTATTTTAGTCATAAAAACCAACACTACTGCAACAGTATTACAGCGCGCTAGCGGTAGGCTAGCACGAGTCCGTGATCGGTCATGATGGTATGGTAGACATAACAGTATGTGAATCGCGAAGTATGCTTACCTATACCATTGACGTATACAGTCATAGGCTATTCTTTTTCCCTGGCCTGTTGGTAGAGCTTCAGACTGAGAGAGAGAGAGAGAGATGGCATGGTATATGGGTATTGTATTGTTGTGTATGTTCCATCAGCTATACCACCTAGCACCTGAGCCGGCTAGCATGTTACAATGATGTTAGAACTTAGACATGCGTTAACTGCACGGGGGGGGGGGGGTTCTGTTTGTGTGCATACATACATGTAACCGAGTTCTTAGATTCAGCCTGCTTGTTGGCGAGCCCAGGCTGGAGAATGTATGCAGCAGTGCTGAAATAATTAAAGGGGAAGTTAAGGCAAAAATTATAATTTCACCAGTTGTAGTCTTCGGGGTGCTGAGTCGAATGGTCTTGGTCCGAGAAAGCTGAGACGCTCCCTTCCTACTTGAATCCCAATCGAACTCGCGCACTTCCACCGAAACTGGGTGACTGCGCACTACTAGATGGGGATTTGTATGCAAAATGTCGCTAAAAGCGCCATTTCGTTCTTATAAAAGCACGGATGACCGCGATTGGCCCATATGTTGTAGTCTTTTGGACGCTGAGTCGACTGGTTTTGGTCCGAAAAGGCTGCGATGCAGCGTTCCTCCTTTATTCCCAATCGAACATGCTTGAACAAGCGGTCACGTGCTCCTGGGTGCCCAAATCACCTGGTCACCACGCCAGCAGGCGACAACTTTCACACCAAGGTTCAACTCGAGTGACAGGACTGCACCCAAAAAAGGTCAAACAGGCTAGTAGTAAGTTGTACCCTGCAGGCACGGTGACCAGGTGACTGGCGTACGCAGGAGCACGTGACCGCTTGTTCAACCATGTTCGATTGGGAATAAAGGAGGAACGCTGCATCGCAGCCTTTTCGGACCAAAACCAGTCGACGCAGCGTCCAAAAGACTACAACATATGGGCCAATCGCGGTCATCCGTGCCTTTATAAGAACGTAATGGCGCTTTTAGTGACATTTTGCATACAAATCCCCATCTAGTGGGGCGCAGTCACCCAGTTTCGGTGGAAGTGCGCGAGTTCGATTGGGATTCAAGTAGGAAGGGAGCGTCTCAGCTTCCTCGGACCACGACCATTCGACTCAGCACCCCGAAGACTACAACTGGTGAAATTTTAATTTTTGCCTTAACTAACTTCCCCGTTTACACGCCATACAGCTTGCATTGGCCACTGGCACACTGGGTCTGGCACTGGCACTGGCACTGGCACTAGCACTGGCACTGGCACTGGCACTGGCACTGGCACTGGCACACCGGGTCTGGAGCATCCACGATGCCAGTGGCTGTCTGGGCAGAACCTTTAGACGTGCAAATTCGCAATGAGTTGTTAGTCATATTTGCGTTCTTTAAAATAACTATGCTAGCCCACTGGTCAATGAAGTGGTTGACCAAATGATCAACCAGTGATGCATGCTGGGGATGTGCATACAACGAAGGTAGCCCTTGGCGGATTATGCTTGGTAAATTGCTGGATTATGCTTTCCATTATGCCCACATTATGCCAGTGATTATGCTACATTTTGCTGGAATTATGCCAATGATGGTGCTATACTGTACCCTTGTACTCTTGTTGCACTTTGCAACGTTACAACGACTCTGGCACCATGCTAGTACGGCTTATAAGTTATAAGGGGTAACAGTCACCAGACGATTTCCTGTACCATGCCTAAATATGCCCGGAGCATTCATCTTCAGCCAGCATCGTATACGTTATGCCAATCGTCGGGTCCCAGAAGTCCTTTGCAATGGACACTTGGACCTGTCGCCATTAGGCATATGCGGATAATGCCGGCAGAAAAACTGGCAGAATTCGGTACTGTTTCTGGTAAGTTTCATGCATGTTTGGTGTGTAGATAAAGAAATGGAGCAGAATTCGAGGAATTGTCCGCCATAAGGTTTGTATGGTTCTGCCAATTTCACTGCTTTTCGAGCAGAATCTGCCACCTTTTCGAGCATTATCCTCACACCCCTAGTCGCCATGCCTACGTTTTCTAGCTAGGTCATCAGAGTTTGTGTAGGTGACCCATTGCTCATAGTAGCGTTATGTTTTGAGAAGGCATGTAAACGTAGTGGAATCTTTCAAGCAGGGTATGCATTACCTACGAGTCGGTTTCACTAGGGCAAGCTTACCCACCCTTATGTCGCGCACATTGAAGAGGGAATTGAGATTGTTGTTCTGATGGTGATGTTATGGTGACGTAATGATTTAGAACAAATGCATGATGATGTATGATAATGATGATGATATCACAAATGTGAAAATTGATTGAGCAACTGGTAAAATAACATGTATAATGATTTTGCAATGCAGCATGATGATATTGAAGCTCAAACGTGTAAAAACCACAGACTGTAGAAAAAGAGAAAGTGGCATGGTAGAAACGAAGGAAAGCATTAGTAAAAATGAATAAACTGTGTCTGCATTATGAAATCACATACAGACTGCGAATCAGGGAGTAGTACAATACGGCATACAATATTGTACTACTCCCTGATGCGAATACCAGCTAAGCTAAACATAACCTGAGCAAGAAATCCGCAGCGTTCAATATCAGCACAAGTAGTACTTAGGGACATGTAACTTATACTAGTTATAGGAATAAAGGTGAGAAGAACGCTGGTAGTCAGAAACAGTGTGCGCACTCCAGATGGTATGACATTGGTCAGCGGGAGATGGCCACACAATAATCATAACACGAAAAGGTACATAAAAATGATAAAAGGAAGTAAAATAGGGCTGTTTCGTTGTTATTCAGAGTTTCATGGCAAAACCAATCATCAGACAACATAAGGAGATTAGAAAGAAAAAAAGCGACAATAATCACATACATGTACATGTAAAATAATATGACGTGTGATGGTATTCTGTTGCAGGTTAGTAACGTTAGCATCCAGATACATGTACTTGAATGTGATGTAAACAAGCATGCAGACACAGCCATTGCGCAGTACGTACATGTAGAACAGGGAGAGAAAGATATTGCAAAGGAATTGAAAAATTCTGATCGAGAGAAACAAGCCCCAGCTACATGCACTTGCGAAACGTTAGAATGTGCAGGCAAGCATGCACTAAAGGCAGCATAACTCGAGCAATGGGATGTCAGCCGAGTTGTGGCATTCGGAAACGCCCGGGGAAATATGTAGTAACTAATACTTGGTAGACAGGCGCTCATGCATTAAAAAAGCATCAAAATGTAACTGCATCATGCAAAAGCAAAACGCAACCGGGAAAGGTACCCAAGAGGGAGGCATTTGAATCAAAACGTTGTTGCATACACGATGATTAAAAGAACGAATTGATTCAGATGACAAGGATTACATGTACAATCTACAAAGGCGCCATGATAACGCAGGGTGTCTGGAAAATTAGAAGTGAAGGACAGTATCCAAACACAACATGTCTCAGCGCTGGGGAACAAAAAAAACAGCTCTGACTGAGCAGCAGGGCAATCACGTCTAACTCGGATGCTTGTGGAATGAACTTATTGAGAAAAAAGAATGATTGCATGTAAGCAGCAAATGAAACCAAAGGCAAGTTGAGAATTTTCCTTTTTGTTAATTAAAAAATTGAGCCTCAAGCGAAACCTGAAATGTTTTTTTATAACTCTCCCAGTAGTGCTACTATTGTATTCATTTCTTAATGGAAGAAAGAACCCAAAGGTTCGAGAGAAAGAAGAGCTAAAGCATTCATGTGGTGGCTACACACTGGTGGCAGACATGTACCGAGCCAGTTTGCTGAAGAACAGTATTCAAATTTAAATCACCAAATAATATAAATTGAAGGGTGACGAGGGAATAAAATAGCATTCAAATGCAGTATTGATTATTGGGTGGTGTTACTTATTTAGTTTTTTTGTTTTTTTGTTTTGTTCCCAATCATTAACAAGAAGCAGAAATGTACGTTTACTGAAAATTGGACGGCCATTGTGATCTAGCCATTCCTGAAAGTGAATCCTGTTCAGGAGAGTTAAGAATCCTCTCACGCAAGTGTAGACATGGAACGTGGGAAGAGAAGATGAAGGTGAACGAAGGTTGCTTGTGGCTAGAGAGTCTAACTCGAAAGTGTTCTGACGTGGAGAAATCCGCTGGATGATTACACACTGTCTGCTTGCTGGTTCGGTCCCTCACTTGGCGCCTTCAAGATGAAGACGGAACTCTGGTTTTGCTCAGATAACGTGATCGGCGTCGGCAAATCACCAGGTGGTCCCGCATCTTCTCGGGTGTCACTCTTCGTTGTTTGTTCGCTGGCCGTACTGCGCCTAAACGTCCCAAAGGAACTGGTGTGCGGCGATTGGCGCTGCAGAGTGAGGGCTATCCGGCTTGATTTGGAGCTGGAACGATGGACGGCGGCTGAGTTGGTGTCTTGACTGAGCACTGAGGTGATCGATTTTCTCCAGGCAGCACGCACCTCGGCATCACGTGACACGTGTACAAAGATTCCCAGCCCCTGGAGAGTGTTGGTGATAGCAAAGATGTACTGTAGAGCGAGGTGATCATAGACGGCTACCAGGGCACCAAACAGCCAGGAAATACCTAACAGAACCGACAGAGATACAACGACCCGCAGCAGATACGACACGCTGCTAGTGTTGGTGGTCTTGATAGACGAAGACACCGCCGAGCCATGTCCATGCAAGGCAACGGTGACGCGTACAAGCACAGCGATGTTGGTCAGGAGTGAAACGCACATGGGAGCTATGAAGGACCCATAGAACACTCCGTTTTCCGTGATCCAACAACTGCACACAGAAACACATGGGATAACAGCACACGAAGGAAGACAGAAATGTTGAAGCCCGCAGCGAATAGTGGTACATGACTAGACCTTTCTTTATACAAGTACATGTAAGTCAGGAGTTAATAGAGAGGTTTAAGAAATTAAGATGCATGTTATTTCTGCCGCGACGCGAAAGTTCACCTCGCGTTATTTGACTCGCGCGTCGAAAAAAACGCGAGTCACCTGCAGCTCACGTCGAAATTTGGCGTTCAACGCCAAATTTGACGTGAAACTGCATGTCACGTCGGAAATAACGTCCAACTTAACCTCTCCAGTTATGTGTGTATTTTTTTCTTTTTTTTCTACAAAATCCACATATCTCCAGACACTGGGGTGAATGATGGAGTGTGGCGGTGGGGCCCAGTAAGCTCCGCCGACCAGAGGTCTCGGCTTCATAGCTCCATGTGTATGGGTGGAATCAGGTCAGAGGGCGAGGCCAGTGAGGGATGATGTTGTAGAACGATTCCCAGGTTGAATGAAGATTATTTCCATGACATACAGACCAAACTGGGATTGGGTAACTGACGCGTGTCGCGAAGACAACCTGGCAAATACCACGAGGTGAGCGCACCCCTCACTACACCCCTTCAGCAAAAATGTGAAAATATTGTCTTGCACTATAGTTGAACTCGGATGGTGAGCCAATTTAATTATTATAAAAAAGGAGGACAACATGTTACGAGTCATGACTAACTGTCCACCAACGTCAGCGAGTGCATGGACTCGAACCACCAGGACTCGAATCCCTACACCAAGCGATGGTGTACTCGCCATCCAAGCAGCGGCCGTTCAACACTCTCTTCACACTTCGAAACTCACGCTTCGATCGAATCCACACAGGCTTCTGAGACGCAGCCCTCACACTAACACGCACACTTCAAGCACCGGTACAAACAAGCAAGCGGACAGCCCCAGCACATAAGATATTCATGAGTTTGAGGTAAAGTCGGAAGAATTAATTGACCGCCAGGACACGAACCGGAGACCCTCCCCGAAATACTAGAGAGTACTTATTATGCTTACTACTTGCTGTTGCCATGGGCACTGAGCTTTGTAATTGCAGCTGCCAGGAACACGATACAGAAAGGCACACCTGTACATTGGGAAGAAGAAGGACTGATGGTGCTCATCTTGGACTGTTGGAGAATTTTACATCATACTAGTAAATGTTTCTTGTTGTAAGGTAACTCCAACGCAGCCACTTTCAGTCTTGCACATGTGTAAAACATCGCTCTTTCAACTCCAATAACGGTCTAATCATCATGATGATGGTCCGGCCCGAATTTGGTGGAATACAATTTGATTCGGAGCAAAGAGACCGTTATTGGGGTTGGAAGAGTGAGATTTTATACATTATGGACTGCGACACAAATGCACCAAAAGGAATAACGTATCACCCAGGGAGAGAGAGAGAGAGAGAGAGAGAGAGAGAGACCAGACGTGATTAGCTGTTTCGCACAAGTGCCCTAGTATTTGTGAACATTGCTAATAGATCATAGCCATGCATAATCGAGCAGAAGCTTTCTCACATGCAACACATCACGGTGCGATGATAATACTCTTGTTGCTTGTGCTTGCGGTAGTCATAACAAAAATGATTCATTTTGATTGCACTTGGACTACCCTAGTAGAGGTGGTGAGGCTTCCTGGTGCTTCATCCATAGCAAGAGGTTTCTGTAGAAGACTCGCTCTTTTCCATTCACTCTGCAACCATTATATTATCGTACTCGTTTATCAATCAGTTATTACTGGACTATGCTTGCACTATGTTATAAGAAACATGTGAAAACAATAGTAGTAGTGGACCTACGTCTTACCTGCTGTTAGCAAAAGGAGAATCTTGATAGTGAAGCCTTGAAACATGCCGAATATATCCACAATTTGTTTGTAGAGCATGATGGCTTCCAGGGAGGTTAATGAAAACATCAGCAGGAAGAGGAAATGAAGCAGCAGAGCGATAACAGTGCAGATGTTTGGGGATGATGTGGCAGTGCGAATGCCAAAGACGAAAAAGACAATTGCTAAGAGCATATCCATGCTCAGGAGGAACACAATCCGGTTGTGACGCCTGGCTCGCATTGCCCTGCAAGCAAGCGTACATCACAAGTAGTACATCCGTTAATGGAATGCTAGACCTTCACAAAGATAACCATAGCTACTTGCTCCTCAAGGCACGTAGGGAAACATGCTACTCCAGGAACAGGCGTTGCTTCAAAAAGCAATCCAACTCCGGCTTTCCCTCTTTCCCTCGCCACCCAGTATAAGTTATTAAGTGTTCAAAAAATTAGAAAAGGATACAAATACCCACAAACCTGACAAATGCACACAAATTATAATAAACAAAATACTCAATCTGCGGACAGAACTGTTTCGTCCTTTATGGACTCGTCAGCGCAGCACAGAGGAAATGAGGCCGAACCTGATAGCAATGGAAATAAAAATTTCCAATTAACAAAATAATTATAATATGATGGTGAAGACACCACTGCAGCTGCACCTATCATTGAGTATTTTAAAAGGTGGTAAAGACACGCCTGGCAATATGGCAGTAAATACATGCCTGCCCACATACGCTCTCTAGGCTGCAAAGTTCTGGCACAGAGCTTTACTTCTCACCACCATCACCACCATCACCACCACCATCACCATCATCACCACCATCACCACCATCACCACCACCATCACCACCATCACCACCATCATCACCACCAAAGAAGACCATAGGTCTGTGGGAAACACCCTAGTAAAATAAAAGTTAATAATAAAAAATAATAACAATAATAACCATCACCACCACCATCACCACCACCATCACCAACATTGACGAAACGTACATTGCAATCGAGCTATGTCGTTGCTGTGTCATCTTCTATGTGCCATTCGCTACTTGATGTACCAGCCTGCTATGACGGATACCGTCAACCATGCATCCACTGGGCGCCAGGCGCGAACTAATGGTAGTGGCCATGAGAAAGAGAGCTCTGTGGCCGAAATTTGCACCCTGGAACTTTGCAGCCTAGAGAGCATGGGTCGGCAGGCGTGTATTGACCGCCGCATTTCCAGGTGGGTCTTTATCACCATGTGAATCAACCATATAATTACTGAAGTATTATTATGTACACCCAATGCACAGAGCCCTGGTATTCACAGTGATCTACAAAGTCGCCTTACTTGAAACTTGCAATAGTGGCCATTGAACCAATCAAAGCTATTGCAGAGAGAGTACAGCCAATGTAGGTGATAATACTCAACGCCTTGTCAGCTGGTTGGGAAGATTTGAAGGCACTACGAGACTGAAGGTTTATGCAGGCAGAAGAGGAAACAAAACATAAATTTTATAATTGTCCAAAACAGAAAATGCCTGGGAAATGATTGCTCGGCAGAACGGAAAGGCGCACAAAATTGACTTCTGTAGTACAGCAGACCGTCCAACCGTCCTGCTTTGGACCAAAACATTCGTATACATTTACATGGGACACGATTGCCATTGTATACATTGTATATGGATGTCCTGCTTTGGAATGGTGGCAAGGTTGGACAGACTGGTACAGGTCTTTATTGAATGGAGCAAAATAAGTTTGTAGTGTTTTAAAAGCACTTGTCTAGACCACCCGGTTTCACAGATGACGTGCAAATTTGCTTCTGCGAGTATTCCATGTGTACCAAGCGACCCATATTGCTCTTGATATAAGTGATCAGTTCGACAGGCCTCCATGCGCAATACTGTTGAGACCTAACAAGGTCAACACATATTATTAGCTGTGAGGAGGTTGCGTTATACGCTCCCTCACCTCGTTCTGGTTTGTACCCAAACATATCGACCCTCGTGCAAATCTCGCTGTGTTTCTTAAAGTTAGGGCGCTTTGATTTTAATGCTTTGTTCTGATTTAACAATAGGTTGTTGTTCACTACTTCAAGTAGATATCATTGTGATTGGTGCTACTGAAGTGCTTGCCAATGAAATTCAACGACTGACTGAAAATAGAATCTGATAATTTGCCATACGTCTAGGTGAACGCCCATGTATGTGTTGACAAAGGCCACTTACTTCATTGGCAAAGGGGAGATGCAACAGGGGAAGCACGTACTACGTGACTCGTGCCGGGGAGTGGGCAGCTCCATCGACCCAGGGTCTCGACTCCATGCATGGCGAACAAGACACACCATTGGGCCTTGGTATTGACTTTTAACCCCTATGCCCTTGTAGCTTTCACTGGAGACCGTATCTGCAGGTTGTCACGCTTTTGGCAGTACAATGCTCGGAAAACGCAATCAATCAAGACATAGCTCTATACCCTTATAAATCTTAGATCTACCACTACTCACAACGAGAACTGCAAAGTTTGTCAGGTGTGTACACTTGCACTGAACAACGTTGGTCATCAGATCGGTCACGTCGGTATCCAGGTAACAGCCATCTGTGGCCCAACCACCTAGGGGCAATACGCAAGGGCGATGTAACGAAGAGAAAAAGTAATTCAAGTCTGAAGAAGGGATGAGGCTTCCTGCAGCTCTATCCCTGGAATATGAAATTCGGGAGGACAAACCCATTCCCATAGCGCTGCACATCCGAACCGGTTTCGTTCATCCACAACGTTTCGGCACTAGGCCCTTATCGGGATATAGCTACTCTGAATACAGCGGCAGCAGCACAAAAGCAGTATAATTATAATGCGCAGAATGTAGTGGCAGGTAACTGTGTGGCTTCTGCTCTATTCTTTGTTGCTGTCGTTGGTCATTGTCTTTTTTATGACGATAATTATAACTAGATCATAGCATGGAACCAGGGATAACTTGTAGGGCAGCATGACCTGTTTGGGCAGCTGAGTGGGCATTCGTGCTCCTAGAAGATGTTGGATTTTACATGCATTTCAGCTCATGTTGCAATGGCGTCCACCGCACGATACTGAAATCATCGCCTGATGGCCCTATTCACAAGTTGAGGGAAAGATACAAACGGGAAAAGCCTGAAAATCGACTGTCACCATCAGGAATCAAACCAGGGACCTTAGCTTGAGGCCAGCGATGCTCTAACCGCTGAGCTGTGGGGTAGCTGTCATCCCAGCAAAGACCGTTCAACATGATGGGCCTATAGTAGGATTTACGCATGTGACCCTACGTGTGTCTGTATTCGTACAATGTATTTATCTATTTAGACTAGTAATAATAAGCTACAATGTGAATTTAAAATTACCTTTCCCATAGCTCCAGTATACGCACGTTGGTTTTAACCAAGCTCCGGTCTGCATGAAAAGAAGAAAAGAGTATGGTTCGCAAACTACATGAGGTAAAGAGCTGTGATCGGTTTACAGATCGGGATTGAAACAGTAACACATCTACAGTTTATGGTGTATAACATGGCTTGGATATAGTTTGATGCGGGCATAAATTTGCCAATGCCACAATCAGGCAAGAACCGAATAAGCAAAGCCAAGCAGTATGACGTACCGGAAAGTAAATCTTGCCTGCCTCTTTCGTTCTCTTTTCAGGAGTGCAGCACAGGGAATGATGAGCTAAGGCTTTGGAAATTTATTTTTCACTGCTACTGTATCAGGTCCGGCCTCATTTTCCTCTGTGCTGGGCTGATGAGTCCACAAAGGACGAAACAGTTCTGTCCGCAGATTGAGTAATTACAAGTGTAAAGGCAGCGAGCAGATAGTGGCAGCAGGTTAGCATGAATTTGTGCAAATACACAGCAGTTCTTACTGATGGTGCAAAATTCACTGTCGTCGGAGTTATCAAGCACTTACAGAATCAATGGAAAGTTGGAAGGTGAGAGTGACAGGTTCTCCGGCCAAGGGTTCGTTTGCTGGCCCCCCAAGGTTGGCTGAGACAACTGCAGTGGCAACTGCTGTGTCCTTGTCCAGCCCGTCGTCTTGGAAGAGGATGGGTGATTTATAGAAGATGAAGGAGGTTTGGCGTTCTTGGCATTGTGATTGATTGGGTGGGAGTGCTGAACCGGACGGTACTATATCTAATGCACTCGATGGTATTACCACCCGTAACGTGGATTCTTCTGCAAAATGGAAAGAGGATATCAATAACAATATTTCGAACAGATCAAACAAGGGGATGAATGTTTGTAGTTGACGAGTGTGGTTGCGAGTTTTTTACGTCTGACGTCTTCCTCCCCCAACCGGGAGCATGGCGTCCATTGACTTCGGTATTTTGGATAGTGAAGGCTTGGAGTCACTGGCAAAGGCCAATAACGTCAAGTGGGCCGGCCTGAGCCGGGTGCAATTGGTTGGCGCCCTGAGGGGAAAGTTGCAACCACTGGACGATCAGATCGACACACACAGGGTCACAAAGCAGGCAGGCGGATGTGAATGTACCAGTACTGATGCTACTGCGCTAACGAAGATGATGGTTGACCTGATGGAGACGGTCCGAAACCTGGTAGCAGAAGTTTCCGACCTACGAAAAATCTCTCTCGAAAAGGAGAAAAGAAAAGATGCCGCCATTGCAGAACTCAGGGAGGAGCTTCGCGCCCTGACACAACATCACCAGCACATCGATGTCTCTAATCGCGCCCTCGACAGCCACCTGGATGAGTACTCGTACCGAGCAGCTACAAACATTCCCGCCACGGGTGTACCAGTACCCGCATCCGCACCAACAGGGCTTGAAACCGCAGCTCTGGGCGAGACGTACGCTAGTCGTACCTTCTCTACACCACGAACAAGCAACGCCAGTCGTACTGACAAGCCTGTCAGCACCAAGTACGACTGGTCGATCGTACGTGAAGCCGCCAACCGCCACAGGAAGCCCGCAGATCTGCGTGGAGGTAAGAAAATAACACGCAGAGTTGTATTCGTTGGGGGCATCAATATCAACTGCAGTGCTGATGATCTTGTTGCGTACTGTAGAAAGAAGAATGTGGAAGTTACTGGCTGTAAACTGATCCCCTCCAGAACAGTGTATGGCACGTTGTACGCACATCTGACAGTTGCTGAGCATGACGAAAGAAATGTTCTGGAAAACGATTTCTGGCCCGAGCATGTAACAGCACGAGAATGGAAGTTCAAGAACCCACCCCTCCCCAAGAAATCATAAACTGTGATGTTGAATCCACACGCACCCATCTTTTTTCCCACTAGGACCACATCGACACCATCATCTAACGGTGTGTCAGGGCAACTGAACCCAGATGCACCTACCTTCACTCTCCCATCACCATACGATACCTCAGCCTTCATACCAAACAAACATCCCCATCATATGCGGCTAGCCACAACCAATGCTTGCAGCTGGTATCCAAAGGCCGATGAAATTAATAACATATTTGGTACTTCAGACATGGACATATTAGGCATCACCGAAACCTGGCTAACTCAGAAAATTCCTAACTCTGTATTATTGCCAACTGCCGCTTTTGACATAGTGCGAAGAGACCGCCCATCTCATGTCGCTCTGCGTGGCGGTGGTGTTGCTTTCTTACTCCGACCAGGACTCGCCTACGTCAGACGAGCAGACCTCGAGCCTGCCAACACCAACCTTGAAATCCTATGCATTCAACTTAAAAATGGCCACAAAGATGTCTATATTTTCTGCTGTTATCGGCCACCAAGGCAGGATCATTCAACCTTCCTCTCTGGCTTGCGTGAGTCCATCTCTTCCATTACGGACACTACGGCTTCCATTATCATCCTCGGTGACTTTAATGCTCGGCACAACGAATGGTATAGGCAGGACCCGAACACTGCTGCTGGAAGATGCCTTGTCGAACTGCTGGATGATACTGGTTTTACACAACTTGTACGCGACCGCCCAACACGTTTCTCCGCCGCAGGTCAGAGCTCTTCTCTCCTTGACCTTGTTCTTTGTAACCAACCATTCCTCATCCACAACCTCACCACACTTCCCCCTGTTTCTGATCACTGTCCTGTGGTATTTGATCTCGCAATACAGACTCGTTCCCAGCAACCAGTGCACTCTGATTTGCTCGTGAACAACTATGCAGCCACAGACTGGCCCGCACTTAATAACCACCTTTGGAGCCTCCCTCTTCTCGCTGCTGTACAAGAAGCCAGTAGTACAGATGAAGCATGGGTCTCCTGGCGAACACTAGTTGACACAGCCATATTATCTTTTGTTCCGAAGGTTCGAAAACGAACAAATCGTTATGGAAAGCCTTGGTTCACCTCTGTGCACCATCGCCTCCGTCAACGTCGAGATCGACTATTTGCTGCAGCAAAACGTGTCAATACCCCTGAGTGCTGGGCTGCTTATCGCATTTCAAGGAACTGCCTCGTCGCTGCCATCCGTAAAGCTAAACGTCACTTCTACGACCAGATGTCAGAAGGCCTTCATGCAGATCGAGGATCTTATGACTGGTGGAAGAGAGTCAAGAAAATGTGCCACATCAATTGTCCTCACACCGCTATACCTGATATACAAGGAGTCGATACCTTAGCGGTTACCGACCCTGAGAAAGCGAACATCTTCTGTCAACAGTTCGCCAAGAATAGTCAAGCTACACCGTCGTCGGATGCAGATCATCGTGATCTCGCCATGCCTTCTTCTTCGGAAACATTTGCCATCCGCCCTCTGTCTATCGTGGAAGTATTCAAGGCACTGTCGACCCTAAGTGTGCGAAAGTCTACAGCTGGCAGTCTTCCTAACAGGATCCTACGAGAGACAGCAGAAGTGCTCGCCCAATCCCTCACTGCTCTCTTTAACCGCTGCACCACTTACCGATCCCAACCCCTTGAGTGGAAAGTTGCAATCGTTACCCCAATTTACAAGGGTAAGGGAAGTCGCAATGACCCTGCTAACTACCGGCCGATATCTCTGCTGAATGGTGTGGCAAAATGCTACGAAGCGTTAATCAGCCGCCAGGTGTACGCGTTTGTAGCGAAACACAAACTACTGTCGCCGAAACAGTTCGGGTTTCGCCACCACCGAAGCACGGTTGACCAACTTGTGCATATCACATCAACTGTCAGCTCTGCATTTGATAACCGGGCCCAGTGTGATGCCGTCTTTCTCGATTTCTCGAAGGCATTTGATCGTACCAGCCATCGCCTCCTAGCCTCATGTCTGTCCGGTTGGTGTGCACCTGACTCATTCGCGTGGCTGATGGACTTCCTGGAAGGCCGATCGATGTCTGTGCGGGTCGGAACCTCCTTATCAACCCATATGTCGCTCACCGCTGGTGTGCCACAAGGCTCCCACCTAGGCCCTCTATTATTCAACCTTTCTATCAACTCCCTTCCCAGCATTCCCCAATCCAGCGATCTGACTCTGTTTGCGGATGATTCCAACATGGTCTGCGTTTCTCCGCCTACTATCGTACCCGCCGCGCACACTGCCTCCCTGCAACTAGACCTTGATAGATGTGTGAACTGGTCCCATAAAGCTGAAGCAGTTTTCAATGCTAACAAATGTGTCCATGTTCCCTTTTGCAGACCTAAATCAAACCCACCTGATCCCAGGACCGTCACCATGGCCGGTACGTTACTGACCCAGCCCTCTTCCCACCGCCATCTGGGCATCATCCTCACTCCTTCACTCAATCTGTCCCCCCATATTCAACACATTACCAGCAAATTTCGAGGTCGGGCTTTTCTTTTAAACCACATGTCCAACTTCCTTCCTTTTCCTGCTGTGAATCTTTTGTATAAATGTTATGTTCGTCCCCTCCTTGAATATGCTGTTCCCGTTTGGATGTTTTCCGTTTCAGCCACCATGTCCACAACCCTTGATAAACTGCAGGCTACTGCTGCTAGAGCATACTTAAATAGTAAACTCAAGCGTCGGCCTGACTGGACGACTTCCAAAGAAGACCTCAATGTTCTGTCCTCTTGGGAATCGTTAGCATGGCGACGGCAGATTCTTGGCCTTGTCTATTTCCACCATGTATTCTCCCAATACCCCTCCTTGTTGTCTCACTTCCAGCTACCCTCTTCCCAAAGCAGTCGGCACCCTTCATCCATAATTCTTCCTAAAGCTGGCACCTTCTTTCGTAAATCAACCCTTTTTTCTTTGAGTGTTGCCTGGAATAAACTTCCTGAAGATATTCGTTCACTCTCTACAACAGCGAAATTTAGTATTGCTGTTCGTCGGTATCATTCGCAATCTATGTTTTCTTTGAAAGGTATTCCTGACTTTTGTGTCTAGGCTAACCACATCTATGATAGTTTCAATAGTTGGTGTATATGTCAGTTATAGTAGTCCGCAATGCTGCTTTTCTAATTCTCATTATGATTAGCATGCAATGTACTACCTGAAGTACTGAATTTACTTCTTCTGTACTCTATATTCTAATGTATCTTCTACCTCTTCTCCCTTACGAACATACTTTCTCATTTCCATACTTATATAGGAGACTCCCTTCGATAGGCATCTATTTGCCTCTGGAGGATCCGTGAAATAAAAATCAATCAATCAAGGGGTTATGCACTCATTCGCAGTTAGTAAAAGACCATCTATCGATTTAATTTGCACGTCCTCTTGTATTCTGTGGCTGTGTATGAATGTAGTCAATGCATGACTATTACACTTATCTTTTGTTTGAGGACATGTTAGCAAGACATGAATGTGGGGAACAGAGACCAAACATGTATACCCATATCAATGTTAACGTACCTGCACACACAACAGAGGTGAAAGGCTGTGCAGCTGAAACTTTTAGTTTCACTACCTCGAGCTGCCTGGAGCGGCCTTTTTTGTGTCAATATTAACGTATATTATCTATACCCAATTACGTGATGCTAGCATAAGACACACGGGTGATGCGGCCAATAACCAGCCATAGCTATGACAATAGAGGGGAAAATGAATGAGAAAGTGGGAACAGAAACTAAACGAGAAGCTCGATTACCATGGCGTCTAAGGTATGCACGCAGTTCAGCTCAGGCGCAGGCAATTTGTCATAACAAATTAATTACGGGGTGATGCCTCTTAGATCTTCGAATGCCCAAGCTTCAAGTATGAGATGCAGCTAAATCATTTCTCTCTGGTCAGCACCAAATGCCTGAGATGTGACAGCACGTCTGACCTGCACCAGTGGCATGTACAGTGTGTCAGAGCAAAGTGCAAAAATAGATTATTTCATATAATACCTACCATTTACAGTCGGATATTGAGCCAAACTAACCATGGATAAGAAGAAAGGACAACAATGTTACGACTTGTGACTAACTGTCCACCAACGTAACCAGATCATAATTATACAGTCAGCGAGTGCAAAAACATGGCACAAAACTGTATATGATCTGGTTTCGTTGGCGGATAGTTATTCAAAACTGGTACCATTTTGTCCTTTCTTCTTATCTATGAAAACCTACTATCTGGGAAATTGTCCAGGGGTCCCAGGTACAATTCACGGCCCTGATTTAGAGCAGCAAACGCTAGCGCTTGATCGGGTCTTTCCGGGCAGCCAACGACAACTGAAAGGCCGTCCTCCATTATCTGCAGAATACTACCATAGTCTTCTCTCTCTTCTCCATCGCCAGTGAACGAAGTAGCCAAGGTCTCCAGGTTCAGCGAAATGCTGTGAATAAAAACAGAGAAGATTTAATACAGTTTCTGAGATCACCTGCACTAGCAGTGAGGAGCCAATAAGTCGTACCTTTGATACAACATCCAGTGCTGGGACCTCCACAGCAAACCATTTCCACAGCGCGGACAGCTCTAGCACATCTTGGATGCGCGCTCCAACAGCCTTCCAACTTGGAAGGTTCTAAGTCCTTGAATCGTGGTTTTACCGTATTGACTATTTTCCAATGGTCTTTCCAGTATCGTCATCGACATGCATGAACATCCGCCAACGTCCTTCACAGCTGAGACTTCAGTTCGTGCTTACTTGGTTGCGCTCTGTTTCCCCTCCTTATGTTATTTCTATAACCTAGAACCTTCCAAGTTGGAAGGCTGGTGGTGTGCACATCCAAGATGTGCTAGAGCTGTTAGCCAGTTAGTTGTAGAACGTCAGTACCGTGTACTGTGCAATGTTATCGCATAAGCTGATTGTTTCGTGACTGGTGGTGTTAGTGGATATTATAGCGTAACTTGTAGGTCCTTGGTCCATTTTATTTTCTATAAATTAATCATTGGCTCTCCATCTGAGTCCGTCCTTGCACGTACCTGATGAGCCGTCCTCATCTATACGGCGAAACGATCGTCGTGTGAAACTGTTGCTTGTTACCGCTGTTTATTGTCCATCTAAATTGTCGGAGTGCAGCGCTGTTCAAGGTTAACCGAGGCGTCCGGTTTTGCAGGAGTCTTGTTCGCATAGCTTCTCCTGTTATTGATCTTCGCATCTTTTGTGCCACACAAGTTGTGTGGAATGTTGGTTTGCGTCCTTGAATCGTGGTTTGACCGTTTTGTCTGATGGTCTTGCCAGTATCGTCATCGACGTGCACGAACATCCGCAGCTCGTGCTTATCTTGGTGGCACTCACCCTCCCCTCCGTATGTGCTAAAGCTGTTAGCCTAGGTCTTTTTCATTTTCTATCTTTCATCCTTGGCTCTCCGTCTGAGTCCATCATAATTATGTTAAAAATGATTTGTAATAATTTTTTGTGTAATTACCTGAAAGTATTGTTGTAAAACAGGCCAATGTGAAGACTGAACGCTTTGCAAAAGAAGCCAATACCGATGGAGCAAATAGAAAGGTAAGGAAGCTGTATGAAGTTTACCGCTTCTCAGTTTCCGGCATACCTAGTTTCACGTGTTGAACAATGTAGTCTAAATCCGCTACTGCAGTTATTTTGTTTTAGTGCCTTTCCAGTGTTCTATTAGCACCCCTGGTTCTCAATCTATTGTTCTTCCTCTCATTTGACTTAGAAAATCTCAGATTTTGAATTTTTTGCGCTCCATACATTATTTTATTTTCATTATTTTATTGGCTTGGTGAGACTCCCATGATAGGTATCCATTTACCTCTGGAGAATCCGTAAATAAACAAACAAACAAACAAAGTTAGAAACGGTTATTACTGCTCCTCTGCCTTTCCGAAGCAAGTTGGAAATCTATCCCAAAAACATTATGCAACTGGAATTTTTTCAACAGGCCCACGAAACCGAATACTGTTTGGGTCTTCGATGCTACTAAAACAACAACTGGAAAACATCTGAATTGTAGAAAGTCATTTTGATGCCTTACTTTTTGCCGAATTGGGGATCAATCTTGCCTGGCTCGACCTTCACGATATTATTCACTGTTGACACAATGCTTTTAAAAATCTAGTAAAAAGTCACACAAACGACAGACAATTCAATTCCTGATTCAGCCAAATTTGGAAATGCCTAAGAGTGCTTTTTCAACGAGGTTCGGCGCTTGAAAAGTAGACTTCAAATATGTTTTGACCATGCGAAGCTCTTCTCTTCGTTCACGAGGCCCTAGATCTCCGTCATCTGTTTCTCAGACATTTTAATCACAGTTCTGTGCCGCCTAAAGTGACTCAAATATACAACTGCGTTTGCCTTATGAGCTCGTTTTGGGAACCACTCAGGGGACTGAACAATGTTTTTTGGAAAACAGAAGCAGTACGTGGCATGTGGCATGTGGCCTCTAATTTCCTAAAACATTTGAAATTGACGTTGATGTAGTCAGCTATAATGTGGATGTCTGCAAATAGTATCGTAGCAGGCTACATCGACCTTGAAAAGACCTTGAAAAATCTGCAACAGAAAAGAGCAGTATGAACTCTGACATCGGTCACGGACAAAGAAAAAGTGGAGACAGTATGATGGCGCCACCAAACGGTACCAAAACCAATGAGGAAGACGACGAGCATGGCACCAAAAGAAGAGATTCTACCATTGAGTTGAGTGAGGGAGAGTGTGTCGGCCTGGTTGATGCCAAAATGTATTCTGATTGTGATTCGCCCACGTTGTGCTGTGCGTGTCACGGTGGCGTTGTTAAGTTACGGATGAAAGTAATTGGGGGTGATTCACAAGACTGCTTCGCGTGTTCCAAAGGATTGGGCTGTAGACTTGAAATTGGTCAGTGAATGTTGTGTTGTTCCGGTCATGTTTGAGCAGACCAACTTGTCACAAACGTTTTCCAAACTTGACTTTTACTCCTGCTTCTGAATCTATACTACATTATACTCTCCATTCTATATCCCTTCCGTGCCTGTTTCTTCTCCCCTCCCCATTCTCTTTGTGCCCTCTCCTCTTCTAAGTCATCTCCTTGTGAGAAGGCACCATTGCCTGTTTGGTTTAACGACTATAAATAAGCACAACAACAACAACTTCTGTGTTATTTTTAAAATGAAGAGGTTTTTACGTGTGAGACACGTGGCCACATAGACGTAGCGGTCAGATAAGGACGACCACATCAATATTTGATGGGAATGGCACATCCACTTGAACTTATGTTGCCAGGTCCCAATGTACCCTTACCCTATGTTGACGTTGAGTGTGCGCCCCGGGCTGGAGAGCTGAAAAATCAGCGAAAACAAAAATGATGATCCTTTCAATTTCTTAGGAATGGGTTTGCTCCCACACTGGAGCTCGCGCTATTCCGCCGACTTGACACTTGACTGTCAAGTGTCAAGTCAAGTCGGCGGAATAGCGCGAGCTCCGGTGTGGGAGCAAACCCATCCTTAAACATCATCGCCGAAGTCGCAACCCCCATTTCTTCCAATTTCTTACCTTTACTTTATCCATTGTATTGATGATTCCTGTATGTGATTCAATGCTGACCGTTGTCAGCTTGTTGATGATACCTGAAGAATAGCCAATGTCTTCACTTGACAGCGTAGAACTGTTACCAGTCAATGTTTCCAGTTGTGTTCCAATGCCTCTCATCTGCTGTGGATCACTAGTGTTAAGTGCAACCTGCATTGTGCATAACGTTCGGGAGATAGATTACTACCGGTATTAGAGTAACATTTTCCATCCACCTCTTACAATACGAAAATATGAAGTAGCGACGTCGGCGGTATTAGTCATGAACTAAATCTTGGTTGTTCCTATGTGGAACACACGTGTCCTGCCGAACTTGACTCTTGACTGACTCACAGCTTCTCAGTTCGTATTGTTGTCCCCCACGCGGGCACATGCGACTAGGTGTTGGAGGTGACAGCGTTATGAACAGCCACTGGCTCTCAGGATCAGTTTAGCACAACTCCATGAGCGACAGTGACTCGCGCTCCTACCTGGTGTCTCACAAGGTGCTTGTCGCGCTGGAAATGGAGCGTCTCTGAAAGTTTGTATCCCCGGTGATGAATGTGCCTGGAGAGCCCTATAATTATAAGTGGTGCTTGCTTTTAAAGTACAATCTTCCTCAGCTTACTCCTGGTCAGCTAATCGGTGGCGAATTCCCGAAAACAGCGTGTATTGAGCAGGGAGTGGTGCTTTGATACACACATGATGTCGCTGCATTCTAGCGCAAGAATTGTGGACGCTGTGATAGAGAATCTGTTATCACCAAGATGCTCCCACCCAGAGCTTTTCAACGAGCACAAGATCATGAAAATGGACTTCTTTGACTAAACATGTGACCTGGGAATGGTGCAATTTCGTTTTGTATGTCAACTTTAAAATAGTAACTGACGTTTAGTAGTCGATCAAACAGCATAATAATTGCTCTGGTGTGATATTCAGGCCTCACTCTACCCACGCATTCCACGCACATACATGTACTGCTATCACAGCTTTCCTCGAATATTCTACGTCATTTACATAGTACAAACCCTTCTCCTTTACAATACCCAGGTATGATATCGGCAATGCTACAATTTACAAAATTCAAAATACACTTACCATGGAGAGAGTAGAGAGATTGTTGATGGGCATCATCCTTGACGAAGATGAAGCATGTGCTGTTGACAATAAAGCTAAACGTATCAGCAAGAGTACATAACCCCCCAGAGTGTGCAACGCCGATCCAGCTCTGCATAGGGTTTTGGTCGAGCGGAATCGGATCTTCTGATGTCATGCGTACACTGCATATCACTGCAAGCCCGGTCTCGAGACAGGGCACCGTTGTTTTTGATCCGAGTGTACCCGCGACTCCCCGGGTTCCCCTCATATGTGTACGGTATTATGACGCAAAGATCCGATTACGCTCGACCAAGACCCTATGCAGAGCTGGATCAGGCGTTGCACACTTAGGGGGCTTATGCACTCTTAGTATCAGCTGTAGTTGGTATCATTGTGGGAGATTATGTTGTGGGTAAGTGAGAAGCGAGTACCAAAATCAATGACTCGAGTACTCTTTGAAGAGACGAGCGAATATTCGAGTGAGTACGAGTATTTACTGACAACATGAAACAGTACACGCTCCCTGAACATCGAACTTAGTGCACCTGATACACATGTAGTTTTACCTGCAGCGGCCAGCCCAGTTCAGGGTAATAATCGAAATACTGTATTTTGCTGGTTAGCAGGGACAAGCAATATTACTTCAGTGTGTGTGAAATATATACTCCTTCAAAGCACACTTGTTGGAACACATCAGGTCGAAGAAAAGTTTAGTCGCAGTTTTGGTAACGAAATCCAGTCAGTCTCTTAGTGTTCGTAAGAATTGGAAGATGAAATCACTGGCAGGACATACGAATAAATATCTGTCTCAGAAGTGAGGGCGAGGCTTCTTGCAGTTTCATTTAAGAGTGGAAGAAAGGAATTTGCTGAGGAACTCGTTCCCAAAACTCTGAAAAAACACAATTGTTTTTCAGATCAATTTTCACATCTTGCACATCAATTTTCACATTCTTCACATCATTTTGCACATTTTTCACATCAATTGTTTCAGCAACTTTTCGGCATTCCGCCATCATCAGGTCAAGTCTGTGTTTGTGCTGAACCAATGCCAATTATGGACTAGATCTCATGTTCTACTACAGGTATTTACTTGACATACAATGGGCGAAACAGGTACATGACGTACCTTGTGCTTGGCACATCTGCACGTATCCAGGCAAGCTCAATGAGGGCATCACAGAATGGAGGAACACGTCATTCTCTCGACATGGAAACCGAGCTTGTAAACATCCTGTGCCATTATCAGCTGCTGACTGCGACGTATTACACCAGCATTTGAATTCAGTTATCGATCCCGAGCAAGTTGGATAGGTTAAACATGTCGTGCACTCTTGCACGGCAACGCAGTTGGCCCCATTGAATGCTTTGCCCTCGGGACAAGTGCACATGAAGTTGGTGCGGGTATCCTTGTAGCCATAGCAACGCACAGCAGCACCCTTGCAATACGCAGTAACTGAAGGGGACACATCAACAAAACAAATCCCGGTAGACCCAGGTGTTCGAAGTCCGTACATGGTATCCTAAGTTCGTACGCCTATAATTTCATGTTCTGTTATTGTATTCGACTCAAATATTTTATGGAGGGGACAGTGTGGTATGTTCTCCTCGCGTAGCGTTTCATGCAAAAATCAACTTTGCCAAGACCGATTTCAATTGGACACAGCGTCAAACAGACCTTCACTCAATCATCAAGAGCCAGCTTAGAGCTGACAATGGCCAGAGGAGAAGAATTTACAGAGAACCACCAATCCTTGCAAAAAGGTTGACACTCCTGGCATCTCCACCACTGTTTTCCTGCGGTTTTCACAGCGCAGCCGACTAAAAACAGCTTGCATTTCGGCAACAAACTACGCTTTTGCAAGAAATAATGGTGGAGGCACATGCCAAACCTATCCCTTCGGTGCTTTCGTCGTAACCGAGGGATTGCAAGTTAGCAATTAGCAGAGATATGTGTGTATTTCGAGACACCTCTGATCAGTACGGGCTTAGAGTACCCTCTGCGACACCAAAATTTGACATGAAAAATCAGCGAACTCGAGAAACAGATCGGATCGAAAGATGACCTGGTTCAATCAAGCCTGGCCTCAGAACAAACTTGGACAAGATACCTTCCATCCACGAGCAGGATTCTGGCAAGTGATCATTGCTAGTTTGAGTTTCAGCTCGGCAAACACGCACTGTAAAAGTGTACGAACTTCGAGCACCTGGGTCTACCAGTAGTTGCAAGGTTTGAGCCAGGGTCGAAGAAAAAGGCACTACATTCCGGAGGGTATGCGAAAGATGTTTGACTTCACATTACCCAATAGTATTCCTGAAGATTTGTGATGCCTCCGTGAAGCGCTATACATGCAAGGAAATGTGCCGGTACCCACGGTCAACTGGGTACTCACTACTCGGAGTGAGGGTAACATGGATGCAGCTAACGAGGTTCGCCCCTTGTCCGGCATTGGTTGTGAGAGTTATCACCTCACCCTCGCCGTTAGGCGCTGCATCTGCCACCCTGGTATTACAGGCATGGTAGTGGCCTGGCACGAGCAAAACTTCCTAAGCTGGTTGTGTTTCTCAACGCAATTGTATAGCCGGATGTAACGCGGACGTGCGAACTTTACTTTTTTCACTCCTAAAGATATGACCAAGATGCTACCAAGCTGTTAGCTACATTGTACATCACGTGTAATATCAATTCGTGAATGGGGCCTGCTGCATGGGTGGGGGCATCTTTCTTGGTTGGCTGATAACTGGAATCAATTCGGGCGTGGTGAAAGAGCGCATTCAATTGTTAAAATGAACATGTGCGGACAACTAGCGGTGGTGACCGGTATATTGTGGTACCTCCAGCCGTGAAAATATTGCAATAATGCTGAAATCTAGGAAGAGTGAATATACAGTACTGAAATAATGCAGAAGCTAACGTAAAACATTAGAATGTGCCAAATTAGCACAAAGAGTGACGTCCAATACTACATCCACAAAAAGCAATAAACAAGATAGGGGAACGGCTACTCGTGCAGTACTTCTTTCTGGACACTACCCGTAAAACTACTTGGTCCGACTTATCAAAATGTGCGTTTCGCTTCGAACATCAACCAAACAAATTCAAATAATCTCAGGACGGAATAAACTTTCCAGCTATCTAACACTATCATTCAGTTGTCAAATTGTGATGTTGAAGAAGAAATGGCTCCAACTCCAAAGGAGGCAGCGGCTCAGGATCCTAGTCGACTCGAGCATTTTGCGTCCAAATTTTGTCGTCAGAGGACTCCTGTTGCTTCTCGCGCAACACAGAGAAGGCCTGGCAAAGTAAGTTGGAATAAAGTGTAGATGCATGGAGGAAGGGCGGTGACACTGTGGCTCATGCCTTGTTGTCAAAAGAGATCTGGCTGGATTCTGGCTGTACTCATTTTCTTCTTCTTGTATTCGAGTGCTTCTAATGTATTCACTCTTGTAAAGTGCACATTCCTTCATAGAATGAAAGACAACAGCAAGAGAACATAGTGGACTACAAAGGGCGTGGAGGTGCAATAAAGCTGTGCAGGTAAGGTGAAGTGTGCTCCCCTGACCAATGGTCACGGGGTATTCCAGCATTAAAACAATTCATATGGAAAGCAGGATGAAACTTAGAACTGAACCTTAGAACTGAACACCAACTTACAGGTTTGAACATATTGCAGGCCTCTATTGTTGTGGGATACGTTAATGCCTTTCTGCTCAGGTTTTACCAGTGGGCAAGCATCACTGTGTGACGGAAGGTTGCTGACATCTACTCTCCTACAAAGAGCAGCAAAGTGGGTGAAGTTTGGTTTCTTAGAGGCATACAATTAATGAAGATTATAATGGATTAACTCAACTTGGATGGAGAAACAGGGATTCAAAGGTACGCCTTCATGTCTGCTGATACTACCAGTTTCTTGACAGCCTGCGCCTGCCTTAAAATTAATCTTACAACTAACTGCAAGTCAGTTCAAGCACGTCTTAGGTGCGCACTCCACTAGCCTCCCAACTTGGAAAGTTTAAAATTAGAGTACTACTTGAAGTAACACACAGTGTGTAGTGGGGGGGGGGGGGCAGAGGCGACTGGCTGCTAGTTGTAGACCTCGTGTAATATTATTCCATAAGCTGATTCTCAAGACACAGGCGGTATAAGTGGTCATGAGACTGGTTTATTAGGGCATGTTTTTGATGTTTATAAACGTGGTCTCTCCTTCTTCTCCTTGTACAGGGCGAGCAGGGAAACGTTGGCAACCTTGACGACCTTGAAACGGACTACGGGAATGTCACCGACAGCGTGTCCCTTACGTCCGAATCCAGCTACCAGAACCTCGTCGTTCTCCTCAATGTAGTTGAGGCAACCGTCACGGGGCACGAAAGCTGTGATCTTCTTTCCGTTCTTGATCAGCTGGACCCTGACGCACTTTCGGATGGCAGAGTTAGGCTGCTTGGCCTCAACACCAACTTTCTCGAGGACGATTCCCTTGGTGTGAGAAGCACCACCGAAGGGATTAGCCTTCAATGCCGTTCCCAAATGGGCCTTTTTTACTGCTTGTCATGCCATTTCTGGTCACGACGATGGAAGCGCAGCTTACGAGCAGTACGGATACCCCTTGCCTTACCCATGGTTGTGCTTGCAAGAGGCAAGAGAAAAAGAGCGTGACGTGTAGTTCCTTGGTCCTTTTCCCTGTAAACTATACATGCATATGTATATGTACATGTAGACACCTGTACCCCCACGATTAGTAACCAACGAGGATTGTCTTTGTTACAGATGGGGCCCTATTCAAGAGACGGCATTATTTTTTTCATTGATGGTAGAAGAAACGGTTGAAAGTTGGATCGGTTGGACAGGAGAATTATGTAGACCCACGTCGATCATCAGTGGGGTTGTTCACTCGAAATTGGTTTTTCGAAGAAGTTGGCATATTTTAGTTTGCTCCGAGGCCAGAGTCGATCGAACTGAGCCACTAATTTGTGTTTGCTCGTTGTCTCCAAGTTGCCCTATTTTTCGTTTCAAACCTTTTCTATCACAGAGATGGCTGAAACCAGGAACAGTTTTGGAGTCCGTCTCAAGTTCAATCTGAGTTCTAAAATTGCTATCGCTCCACGACGGCCAGTACAGAGAAACGATAAGCTTTGTGTGTGGTTCATTATTAGTTTTAATTTGGGGCGGTTTTTCTCTTTGGTTGTTTTATAAGAGCCCATTTGTGTTGCATTGTTCATTTGATCAACGATGATCCCTCACGAGTGTTGAACGAAAACTAGTTCGAATCTTTCTCCATTGTTATCTTCACTATTGCATCTTCTTTCCTCGTTCTGTTACTGCACATTTCACCCATTGGTTGACACTGTTTAGTAAGTAATAACATGTCCATCCAACAGGTCCTCCTTATTGCGATTCTGAAATTCTTGTCTTCTTGCCCTTTGTTTTTAAACTAACAGCAGAACAGTGTTTTTTGGGGTAAATTGGCAACTTCGGAAAAGCTGTAATCCTATTGGGTGGATATTCTTCTCAAAGATTTGCTCAGCACATTGTGTGATCATTTGAAAACATCTGATCCTTTCTTGCTTCCCGATTTAGTAGTCAGGTAAAGTTCCCATTTCAATCCTTCAGGTGTTGTCAATAGGCGTCATGAGCACCTGGTCCTTTCAGGTCACGCTTCCGGTCACGCCCCGTGGCGCCCCGTGGAGTATGGACCGCATGTATGTATAAAAGGAACTTACAGTTGTTGTAGGGATGAAAAGTCAAAAACATCCATAGCGAAATATGTGAACGGATTATCACGGAGATCCCTGCATGAACAGTGAGTAGTGCATAATGTTCATTATTATTCCAGGGGCAGCTCGATTGGTTTAGTGACTGGATTATGAAGCATCCCGGGTCACGTGAGACCATGGGGAGTAGACCCAGGTGCTCGAAGTCCGTACATGGTATCCTAAGTTCGTACGCCCATAATTTCATGTTCTGTTATTGTATTCGACTCAAATATTTTATGGAGGGGACAGTGTGGTATGTTCTCCTCGCGTACCAATTTTCAGGGATCTACGATCAGCAGAAGTCCCATACCACGGGAGTGGGTTTTCGAGTGTCCATACGAAATACAAATTGGGTTACATTTCATGCAAAAATCCACTTTGCCAAGACCGATTTCGAACGGACACAGCGTCAAACAGACCTTCACTCAATCATCAAGAGCCAGCTTAGAGCTGACAATGGCCAGAGGAGAAGAATTTACAGAGAACCACCAATCCTTGCAGAAAGGTTGACACTCCTGGCATCTCCACCACTGTTTTCCCGCGGTTTTCACAGCGCAGCTGCTTCTTCTCTGAGCCGACTAAAAACAGCTTGCATTTCGGCAACAAGCTACGCTTTTGCAAGAAATACCGGTGGAGGCACATGCCAAACATATCCCTTCGGTGCTTTCGTCGTAACCGAGGGATTGCAAGTTAGCAATTAGCAGAAATATGTGTGTATTTCGAGTCACCTCTGATCAGTACGGACTTAGAGTACCCTCTGCGACACCAAAATTTGATATGAAAAATCAGCGAACTCCAGAGAAACAGATCGGATCGAAAGATGGCCTGGTTCAATCGAGCCTGGCCTCAAAACAAACTTGGACAAGATACCTTCCATCCACGAGCAGGATTCTGGCAAGTGATCATTGCTAGTGTGAGTTTCAGCTCGGCAAACACACACTGTAAACGTGTACGGACTTCGAGCACCTGGGTCTACTCCTTGTTGTATTTGAAGAAAGTAAGGGAGAGAGGGAAAATCAAAGAAAAAGGAGCCTAGCCTGCCTGGCTTACTAGAAGGAGACTCAACACAAGCAGGTACAGATTAGCAAGACAGCTAAATCAGAAAGAAAAAAACCATTGAAACGAAGAACGAAGACAGACTAGTCTTAGTCTTTTATGAATCTATATATGCACACATGCATCAAAATTCTCTCGTACAGCCAGCCAATAAGACATAATTATTGGTATTGAGTGTTTTCGTTCCCTTCTTGTCAAAATACTACAAGGAATGATGGAATTATTCAGGAGACCATAGCTAAAAAAGGATTACATTGAGAAGCTTCAAAACTCAACGAGGTGCCATAAAAGAAGTGGGGAAAAGAATATCAAGGTGAGACTAATAACAGTAGCAAAAAGTGACAGAAAAAAACAAAGGAAATAGAGGACAGGAAATACACTACACCTCTGGAATTCGTCCTGACACATTCACGACCAATTGTGCCAAACAACTGCGAAGTCAACACGTTCTCCTTCTGAACATATTATAATTCAGGATCCCGCGAATGTACACGGCTTCTCATACAGCAATATGCAACTTAGACCTACCACGTGTGAAAACAGAAAGGACAGAATCAGTGTACCACTCACGACAACTAGCACCAACTGACAAGTGATTCTTGATTGCCGACGTCCGCTTTCCTTACTCTGACGCATCCATTCTTCCCACTTGTGGCTCTTCCAAGACCCTTTATTATGATCTGGCGTTGCTCGAATGGTCGGGCAAGCAATGCACTGCAAGCCTCTCTGGAGCGTCCCAGTACTCAAACAACGCGCGCGCAACGCAGCTTGGGCCTTCGGGTGCCCAAATCTGCCTCCAAAGCCGCCCACGACCGTCCAACCGCTCGCGGGTCCATTTTATGGAACACCCTCCCATAAAATGGACCCGCGTGGTATTGCCCAGTACCACCAGTTCAAACAAGCCTGCCTCCCGTTCTGTCTTGCTAGCAGTAGCACCCACTACTGAACACTACAGGAACCTTTGAACGTTTGCGGTACTCCACAGTACCAGTCACGTGCTGTTTACCGCCTCCCCGGTGTTGTATTCTAACGTTAACGTCATTCATTGACTGAGCGTTCTTTGCTTTGTTCTACACCCTGCTATCATGTTAGGCTATTTCCTACAATATTTCACTGTTTCCATTCGCTTCCATGTAATTGGGCGACACCGCCCGTTTGGTTCTGCGAATTCAAATAAAAATGTACCTACCTACCTACCTTCCCGGGTCTCCTCCATTATGTGCAATGTCCCCGCTTCCATGAGCAACTCTTCCGGTAGGTGTTGGCTCTGTGTCCAGTTTTCTTGGTTTCCGCGGCTTGCCACATTACTTGGCGTTCACAGTCGTTGTCACCTCCAGTAGCGGTGGCTGCGATTCCACATCCGTAAGGGTCTCCGGTTGACGTCTCATCAATCTTCTCGGACTCGATACTTCCATTGGTGTTATTGATGGCTTCTATTTGGTGTGTTATTTCTCACCCATGCTCACCTGAGCTGGTCTCAGACCCACACTCTACGAAGAGGGGGAGGAACACCTTGGTGCATTCACAGTGGCCGTAGAAGAGGACGATCCAGAAGTAGATTGCACTCCACCTTTCGGTGGACAACCACGGCGAGGACGAGACCCACCCGCATCACTTGGGACAAAACACAGCCGTACATGCTGACGAATGCGTGCACCCAGGTGCTGAATCGTTCTACCTACATACCGATTGCTACAAGTTCAGCACTGAAAGAAATACAAAAGAGAAAGGACCAAAGAACTACAAGTTACGCTATACTGTCCACTAACACCACCAGTTACTAAACAATCAGCTCATGCAATAACATTGCACGACACTGACCGACGGTACTGACGTTCTACAACTAACTGGCTAACAGCTCTGGCACATCTTGGATGCGCACTCCAACAGCCTCCCAACTTGGAAGGTTCTATTAAGCCTAGTTCACATTCGACGGGGCGCGACGGGACGCGACGTAAGGATCGACGGGAAGCGACGGGATGGTCTGACGGCGCCCAATGTGAACACCAGGAACGGGAACGCAACCGTACTACCGTACAGATCGGGAAGCGACGGGAAGAGTTGGATCGATCCAACTTTTCATACCGTAGACGGGCGTAGCCGGGACGCAAGCGTACACAACGGCTGCAATTCGAGTGTGAACAGGAGACGGTGTCGTGCGCCGACTACTCCCGATTCGTACTTGGAAATTTTTAGCATTTCGAACACTGCGCTGCCCATGATAACTCACAGAATGGCTAGCACGACTTGAGTTGAATTTTAGCAACATAAGATCTCATGTCACTTATTGTATTTAGGGATAGTTCAGAAGCGTGACAGACGAACTATTCTTTCATTTCCGCAACTTTCAACTTTCAGGCCTAATTTTTGGTCTTCATGAAAAACTGGTATTGTGAACTTGATTCCGCTTCTTTCAAGGAGAAATAATTGAAAAGAAGTCCCGAAAAACGAGAAATTAGGTCCGAAAGTCACCCCGTCACGGACCGTGCCTTATGACTCGCGCCGTTCGACGTTGAACGTCGCAACGGCTGCTACATGTCGTGTCGTACGAATCGTACAGGATTTTACAGATCACCCCAGCCCTCCCGGCAAGCCCTTACGTCCCGTACCGTCGGCGTCGCGTCGAATGTGAACTAGGCTTTATAGAAAATTACATAAGGAGGGGAAACTAGTAACTGGTGGTGTTAGTGGATAGTAAAGCGTAACTTGTAGTTCCTTGGTCCTTTCTCTTTTGTATAAATTAAACCTTGGCTCTCCATCCGAGTCTATTCCTGAAAGACAGATAAGTTTATTTTTACTCAGGGCAGGCAAAGCATCCTTCCGCACAATGAGCGCACCAGTCGTCCCAAAGATGACATACAACTTTACACATGGGTACGACGAAAATTCAATGGCACGCACCTCCTTGTCGACGCGTGCCACTTATTATTGGAATTCACTCACAATAATTGCACACAGAGACCTTTCCTGGGGTTTTCAGCCGTTGCATAACCTCTATTCATTCACTAAAGAAAGTCATACATTGATCGAAGCTCGATAGACATCTTCAATAAGATTGTTTCGACTTCGACCACTCTGGAGGCTGCAGATGCATCCTGAATAGGCTTTCCCCAAATTTTCCGGCCGAAAAATTATCCAAAAACGAGACTTATCGAAAAATCGCTAAATTTTTCGCCGATTTTGGAGGGTTCCTTTGAGAATCGCCGAAATTCTACCAAAGTACTACAACTATTGACGTAGAGAGCTCAATTTTGAACAACATTTTAAAAATGTTGTTACAAAGCGCATATACAAATGATGTTGCTGCAAGCACGACCGCTCGAGCTCTCTACTTCAGTACTTGTAGTACTACTTCGAATGCGGGATGCATCCCGACCCTGGATCACTCCGGACCTCAAGTGTGCTGTGAAACTGAAGCGAGATTTGTATAGCATTTATAGGAAGTATCCAACCAGTGAAAACTTCATTGCCTTTAAGCGCAAGCGTAACGAAGTGAAATGTTTGTCACGTACCCTCCATCGTCAGTATGTACAGTCGGTTCATGCCACCCTGTCTTCCCATGATCGCCCTAGTCTCCATCAATTTCTCCGCCATCTCCGTAAGAACTGTAGTCGGGAGCCGATCCGATCAATGACAGCTTCAGACGGCACGGTAGCAACAGATCCCGCAGACATAGCAGACATATTGAACACGCAGTTTACGTCGTTTGGACTTCCTGACGACCCTACGTGGCCTATACCACCACTCACCCCTTCACCCTCAATACCTGCGTCCCTCCTCCTATCATTGTCGACTGGTACAGCCCAGGTGAGGAAATATCTCCGTAATCTGAAAACTGGCAAGTCCCCTGGTCAAGACGGAATTACCAACGAAGTTTGGAGAGCTCTTGCTCCGTCTGTTGCCTATCCTGTGTCAATTATCTTGAATATGTCATTTCGCGAAGGGAAATTCCCAGCCATGTGGAAAACTGCGGTAGTCGTGGCCACCTACAAAAATAGAGGACCACGCACCACCCCCAGCAACTATCGCCCTATCTTATTGCTCTCTACTTTATCAAAAGTGTGCGAACGTGTTGTATATGACATCATCTATGATCATGTTCGCATTTCACTTTCGCCAGCACAGTCGGGCTTTTGTCGGGGTGACTCCACCAGGTACCAGGTTACCCGCCTCGTGCAAGACATCCACACCGCCCGGAACGCCCATAACCATGTTGGTTTAGTTTTCTCCGATCTCGCAAAGGTCTTCGACACTGTTTGGCACAGGGGTCTCTTAGCTAAGCTGCGAACAGTATATAGCATTGATGGCAAGGCTATCGGCTGGCTCTCATCGTATCTCTCTAACCGACATCAGCTTGTACGCCTCTCAACTGTGTTATCGGAGCCTTTACCCGTTACTTCTGGAGTCCCCCAGGGTTCAATCCTTGGGCCACTGCTATTTCTCCTGTATATCAATGACCTCCCCGATATTGCCCCTGGTGTCAGCCTTTTCGCTGACGACACAGCTCTGCTTTGCTCCAATGCTTGCCCTATACGACTGCACGAAGCCATGCAAGATAGCATTGGGAAAGTTATAACCTGGATGCATGATTGGAAGTTGCAGCCAAACGTTGATAAAACGGCAGCTATGTACATTTCCCCTTCTCCCCCTTCCCTACCACTTTGTTTTCCTTCTTCAAGTGTTGCTATTCGTATTGTTGAAGAGCATAAGCATCTTGGCGTTATTATTGACTCTAAATTGTCATGGTCACCCCATGTGCAGTATGTCTGCAAGCGCACAAGCTCCATCCTTGTGGCTCTTCAAGCCCACTGTAGACATCTTCCTCTTTCTTGCAAACGCTTGTTTTATCGTTGCTATATATTGCCCTTACTTGACTACTGTGATACTGCTTGGTCTGGCATAACTACTACTGTATTGAACAAGCTAGAAACCCATAACCGCATGCTCCTCAAAATCTTATTTAGCAAAGATCGTCGCTTTCCCTCCGCTAGTCTTTACGAAATTGCCAAGATCAGTCCCCTTTCCACTCGACATAAGTACCACCTCTGTGTTCTCATACATAAAATATTACTAAATAAAATACCCTTGCATATCCGAAACACGGAATACCCGGAACTCACTCAGTCTCCCACGCGCTGCCCCCACCCTATTCACTAGATCCCCGATCTTTGCTGGCTATGTGTTTTGGGCAACATTACCAACGCAGGCCAAGGCCAGCACGTCGATGGATAATTTTGTTGCTAAAATCTCTGCTCAATTATAGGTTTCATGTATATCCTGCTGGTTTGTCTCCTCCTTTGCCTTCTTTGCCTCTTATTTGTATTCTTTTATCTGTTTTACTGCTGTGGTTGGCTTTCACCCTTGTCTCAGTTTTATTGGCCGTCATCATGATGTGCCATGAGATAATGATATAAATACAAAATACAAAAACTACTGTAGTGCATTGAGGTCGTGTGACTCGTGTTCTTTGACCTCCTCTCGAACAAACATTAGCCATTAGGAAGATCGTTATTAGCAAAATCTCCAAATCGGCCGGCCGAAAAAGTATTCGAAAACGAGACATCGAAAAATCGCTAAGCTTTTCGGGGATTTTGGAGAGTTCCTTTGAGAATCGCCGAGAATCTAGCAAATCTCCCAATAATATCTGCCAGATGTGGAGTGACTAGTTCTGTCATCGCTATAGTGTGGACGACGTCGATCTGCAAACTGTCGCTCACAGCCATCACCAGCCTCTCAAAACCATCACTTGGCATCCCCCAGAGGTATTGGAGAAAGCCACAACACCTCTCACAACAAACAAAGGGCTAAGGACGATGGAAAGAGAGCATGCCCAAAGGAAGACGAACACTATCAAGTTCAAATGGTGTTGAACACCCGTACCACGATCTTCAGTCTACCACTTTCAATATATTGTGGCTCGCCATTTTGTTTTAACACGCATACGGTCAATTCCCCGAAACACTGTGTATTGAGCAGGGGGTGGTGCTTTCTTGAAGGTTTGCCCAGTCGAAAGTTCGATGGACTGCTCGTGTGCTCTGGATGGCAGTCGTGACTCAGTCAGGCGTCAAGTCAAGTCGGAGGAATAGCGCGAGCTCCAGTGTGGGGAGCAAACTCTTCCCTAACAATTATCGCCAAAAGTCGCTGCCAATATTGTAGCCATACAAACTTTTTTGCTGGAACTTGATTATAATTATAATTATCCGCAAGAGGTACACAAAAGGAAGTAAATAGGGCTGTTTTTTGTTGTAACTCAGAGTTTCATGGCAAAACCCAATCATCAGACAACATAAGGAGATTAGAAAAACGCAGGTATATGAAGGCAAGCAGAGGAGATAGAATAATTCAGTGCAGACGATATGATAATCATTCAACACCTCCCAGAGGCAGTATGCTCTGACGTGCCAGAATCAACATCTCTAATTATAATTATCTTAAGAGTCAGACACGCCCAATTGAACCATGGCTGGTTATCGGCCACATCACCTTTTCATTGGCTAGTGCCACGTGATTGGGAATAAATAAAAATAAAAAATATAATCAAAAGGCATCCGAACTCACAAAACCAGAAGATTGGATAGGCCTGTAAATATTCCGCTTAGGAGCGATGATAGCGAATTTTTGTAGAGCCAACTGTAAACAGCATCCACATGCAGGACATAGATGAAAAGATCTACAAGTAAGTCTTTACAAAATGCGATCAGCAAGGTCAATCTTGTCAGAGAATCAGTGTACACATCCACAAATCCAAGAGAAATCATAGGTGATCTCCTTCCATGTTCAGGAAATACAAAATCTCTAATACAGAATAGGATTGGCTGGTTACCATTGTCTTCCCAAAGCTCGGTTCTCATGTTGAAATATTCGCCCAATTAAAGTCTCTGTGATGTTATGTGGTCTTTTCGCTGCAAATGTCCGATACATAGAGCCAATAATTCAAATGTGGACTGCACACAAACAGTGCAGGCCGAGTCAGCTCGATGCACACATGCGCCGAGCCTTTATTGCTCGTGTAAAGCTTTAAACGCGGTAAGTACGGGGAGTTGCGCATTCAACACACACACACACATACACACACACACACACACACACACACATCACTGACTATGGTTGAGCGCGTTCCTGTCACTCGAGTTGAACCTTGGTGTGAAAGTAACTTAGTTGTAGACAGCAGGCACGGTGACCAGGTTACTGGAGTACGCATCAGCACGTGACTGCTTATTCAACCATGTTCGATTGGGAATAAGGGCCGAACGCTGTTACTCAGAGTTTCATGGCAAAACCAATCACGAGCCAACAAATTTCAAATTGTGGATGGAAGAAACATTTTCGCTTCTATAATTTCAAAACTCACAGTCCTTGAAGCTTGGGTAGATTGGCAAAGATTCCCTGCGGTAAGGATGTTAGAGAATTGCGATCCAGCCGTCTGAAAACAAGAAGCATATACACGGTACGAATCGCACATATCTGAACCAAGCCGATTTTGTTGTCTGACATCTCAATCAGAAACAACACAATGTTATAGCAGGGGACACGATAAGATTTCGAAATTGCTCTGACACAATGTCCTGCCACTTCTGGAACCGGTCGGACATGGCCGGACACTGTGATTTTTTTACAAGTCTGGTACTCATAATAAAAATAATTATTATTGTAAAAAGCTTACGTGGAGATATTATTATTGTCTTCACCAATTTCACACACGACACCACTGCATAATGCACACATGCATGTACATGCTACATCACACTGAGGTATTGCTGGTCACATCAAGGATTATCATCACACAGATCTCAAGTAGTGTAACACTGATTCAAATCGCTGTGCGTTTTTCAGCAAACATAGCAACTGTGACATGAGCGTGTAGTGTTTCTGCACATTTCGGATTTGAGCTGGTTTTTCAGCGGCAGATCAAAGACATTCATTTTTACGCAGTCGGCAAAAGACAAAGTGGGCACCTGCTTGCCCATTCTAACTTCTTGTTGCCAGCTCCAAGATCGACAACATGTCACTACTCGAGTTGGCTGAAGGCACCCATCTTTGCAAACGCGATGTGCTCTTTGAACAGCACGTTGTTTCTACGCGACGTTGAATTTCTGACTAACCTTCGCTGCTGCTGTTCCGTCGATCTTGCACAGCGCCTGTGCAACAGGAGCGTGATTGACTGGATTTGCAGAAGACTGCTCCTTTCGATAGAGGCATATCGCAAGCGGGCACACATTTCTGACGCCTTGTTTCCCTGGAACAGGGACGTTTTCAATATTTCGGATTGTACAAGCGCCTCACGTAATAGTTCCTATTGTAGCGAGAAAGCGATGAAATTTCATTTCAAAACTCCTCAATCGTTTGCTACGCTCAAACTGGAGCTACACTGAAGTGGACAGCTCCCTGTCTTGCTGTGAAACCCTCTTGTCACAGGTTGCTGCTCCGACTTCGTGAGACTTCTTCCCAGGCCGAGCGCCATTGTCCTCAGCCGTTCTCTTTCCCAGCGACGCTATTTTGTGAATTTCGATCGAAAAGATTGTCCGTTCAAGAAAAAAAGCGCCGGATTCGAATCGAAAATGGTCGGAAAATGTCCGATGTCCGACCGTTATCGTGTCCCCTGTATAGTCTTTGTCAGAAGACGCTTTTTCTGTGGGGTTTTCCCGACCCCTTCATGGAACTAGCACCTGTCTGTTCTTATTGCGAGTGCCCTTAGAACATCTGCCAAAGCAACCTTCATCGTTACTTCCGAATCTTTTAGCTGATGAGTCATACTGCCTAGTTTCACATATACACGTTTTTCTTTACCCTCCGCACCGCAATTGGTTGTTGTAGTTGTCTGTTGCGTGTGATGATCCTTCCATTTGATCCGTCAAACTCAACACTACCTATAAAGACTTTTACAGCACGAAATATTTCAGCGCAGTATAGTTCATCGCCAGTAGATAAGCGCCAAATATCCCAGCGCTACATAAATGTATATGAGCTCCATATATTATTATAATATGCCCGAAACAGCTGGCTGTCTACAGCTTGGGGTATCTCGCTTCTCGCCATTTGTCTTATTGAGCACTCTCTGTAGGCTGCTTTAGTGCTGCTGCATTACGCATCGTTCGCTGCCTTTCGTAGTGTGAGCACTCTGGCGCTAGATCAGCGAGTTATATTGATGTTTGTGGTACCACCTTTGTACCATGGCTGGCAATTCGGGTTATAAGGTAAAAGATATCTCGCAATCGCAGTTGCATACAATTATCAGCATTATTTGGGTCTCCAAAGGGTTAAAGCTCGTAGCTGTACTGATGAGGCTTTTATGGCCGGAACAGCTTGCTGCCAGGAACTTAAAACATTCATTCATCTTGTGATTAAAGCTCATAGCTGTATTGATTAGGCTTTTTTGGCTGAAACAGCTTGCTGCCAGGAACTTAAAACATTCATTCGTCTTGGGCACCCTGTAAGAAGACCTTAGGGTATAACACAAAACACTGTACATATGAATTGTTGCCCGTTCGTGTATTTTTAGGATGTGTTGATACTTTCTGTGTCGCCTATTCTGCAGCTGCATGGGTATAAGCATCCCATTAACTCCGCTCGCTTCTTATTCTTCCTTCCATTTGGCAAATGCTGGTAAAACGCAAATCATAATTATTATTGTAGTTTCATCATTCCTTTTAGTCACGAATTAAATTGATAGTTATGAAAAGAAAACGTTCTTGAAGACTTTTCGTGGCTATGGGTGTGATATGAGCACGCCTATAGTTTTATTCACAGCATTGTTAACAATAGTAAAAATGGCGTTTGTACTAAGTGCACAACCCACTATTTTCATAGCGCTGAATAACAATATTCGTGGAGACAGAAATGAACCGCTTGATGCGCATGACTCTCAACCTCGTTGTCGTTGTCCTCGAAAATGTGCATTTATACAGTATACTGTTAAACTATCCTCCTCCTGTGTAGGTGTACCTACCTGTCTCTGCAAACCGCAGTTAGTGATGCAAATATGGGGCAGTTTACAGTGTATGTTTTGGCTTAATTTTGAATCAAGGACTGGTAAAGATTAAGTGATGGCTCGTTCTTCAAGTATGTAATATGTACTCACAACGACATCAGATTGACTAGATTTGCAAATATGTCCTTGGGTAGTGATTCTAGATTGTTAACATTCAACCATCTGCAAATGAGAACAGTGTGCATGATACCAGTATTTAATAAACTAAACGCATTCCCTCATTGTTATTAGGCTAGGGCCTGTTTTGGACTTCCCACTCTAAATAAAGAATACAAACAAACAAGCAAAACAAACAACACATACACCGTACACATTTTGTATGATAGTGCATATAACTAAGGAAGAAGAGGAAACATAAAAACAAAGAAAAAATCAAATGCTCAGTATCCGAGTTAAAAAAAGAAGAAGAAAAAGGATATTGAGCCAACAGTATTATGTAAAGAAAAAGGACCTAAAAGTTACGAGTTATGACTAACAGTTCACCATGGTAACAAAATAATGTCCAGTCCGATAGTGCGACAACAGGGCACACAACTGACAGGGATATTAAAACATTCCATGACGTGTCAGTTTTGTACCTTGTTTTCGCACTATATGGCTGTATATTATTTCGTTACCTTGGTGGACTGTTAGTCATAACTCGTAACCTATACATGTGTCTGTCTTTAAAAGTATATAAAATCCCACGGGAGCCTATATGCTCTTACTTGAAGTAAGATCATCCATACAAGGAAAAAGTGATGAGGCTTGTAAATCATTTTCCTTTGCTTCAATCAAATGATTATCTTTGTTCTGCGTTTTCTACTGACCATCGGAATGCTACACATCAATTTGGTGAGCCATTAATGAACCTAACGCTTTCTGTCGGACTTCACACATCGCTATCTCACGTCCGCCATTCAGAGTACACGAAAAGCCCATCGCACCTTCCACTCGAAATACCTGCAAGAAAGCAACGCTCCCTGCTCAATACACAGTGTTTCGGGTAATTCACCCCTCATCAGTTGAGCTTAAGTAGGCTAAGGAATGTTTGGATAGTTTGACAGCAGCATGAAACGGGAATGCTGTGCCTGAAAACTGAAAAGCAGCACTTATAGAATGCGGGCTTTTCGTGTGCTCTGAATGGCAGACGTGAGTTAGCGAATTATAAAGTTCGGCAAAAAGCGCTTGTTCCACATACATGTACTTCATATCTTCATTTCACATCCATTTGTCATTGGCAGTCGTTTGACGAGCCAGGAAATGTTAAATAAATACAAAATACAAATACAAATAAAGGTAATTTTTCCCGCAATTACTCACAGACGTTGAAGTTGAGTGATATTTCCAAATGTTCCTGGCGGGAGAGTTGTAAAGAAATTGATGTTGAGCTCGCTGCATACACACAGACTATAGATATTAAATTTGGTGGTGTGACAGTCACGCGCATGTGACTGAACCGGAGCGTACAAAGTGGATCAATGCGCGTTTACATCAACTCCTGCATACTTTTCTTTTTCTTAGCTACAGAACTTTCTTCAACATTCAGAGGCTCCTCTGAAGCCAATCAATAATCTCTTCAACACATTCACAGCCACGGTCTTTCATTGCAATTGAAATTTAATTACTCTCCAAGTAGTGTTGGGGTAGAAATTGCCGAGGAAACGTCGCGGAGGGGTGAGCTCTCCTGCGCAGGTATGAGTTTGGCAGTACTTCAGCATGGTGAAGTGGAAGAATTCCAAAAGGCTTATTTCAAGAAAATCTGAAAAGGAAGATGGAGGATATGTCCCCAGTTCACCTATGTTGAACTGACAACACTTCAACATAGATGAGAAATCATAAAAGTGCTAAAACTTAAAAACAGAAGCTGCAAGTTGTAGACAAACACGTTGAAACATCAGAAAACAATGGTCACACTTTCACGAGGTGTGACACCAAACAACTGCAATGATAAAACAGTCTAGTTCTGTTCACATAGTTCTGGATCTAATAATCGTAAATTACGATTATAGAGAGCTTCTAGCACAGCGAGATGTAACTTAGACCTTCCAAGAGATAAAATCGAAAGATATTGTCGCAGTAATGTAGTTAGTGTGTGTTAGCATCTACTGATCGCACTGCCATGTTTACTTTTGCCAGGCACCGCTGCGTCAGTGCTTTGCGCACTGCACGCAAACTGCCAGCGCATAGATTTGGGCGCGCTTCGCACAACTGCTTCCTTTGAACTTTTGCTCTCTGCACTCACACTGCCAGCGCTTGGATTTGGGCGCGCTTAGCCTGACGTCGCACAACTGCTTCCGTTGAACTTTCTTTTTCTTTCTTGCCGTTGGCTTCACTTCAAAGTCTAATTTTTGGTGACTTTTAGCTTGTGCCAGCATCAAATTGTCATCCTCCATCCCTGCCATCTTATCCTCTTGCTAATGGTACTAGGGAACATTTAACTCTATCGCTCCTAACTGGTCATTTGCTTCGCTAGTTGCGGCTCATCACGAGCCAGTTGCGGCTCTTCACGAGCCAGTTGTGGCCAGTTGCATTGGCTTTGCCTTGCAACCCCATTGTGGCACAATTTTTGGTGACTTTTAGCTTGTGCCAGCATCAAATTGTCATCCTCCATCCCTTCCATCTTATCCTCTTGCTAATGGTACTAGGGAACATTTAACTCTATCGCTCCTGACTGGTCATTTGCTTCGCTAGTTGCGGCTCATTACGAGCCAGTTGCGGCTCTTCGCGAGCCAGTTGCTGCCAGTGGCCTGGCGTTGCTTTCCAGCTCTTTAAGCTTTTGCATTACTAGACCACTTACTCGAAGCAGAAAACTATCTCCAAAACAACACCTGGTTGCCTTGGGCTGAGTATGAGTGTGTGAGGGATATGGTGCTAACATCAGTATACCACTTACGAAACGTTTGATAGATGAAGGAAGTATGGACTTGATTTGTAGATTTGCGGTTTTGCATGCGAAGTTATACATGTAGATTGCGAAACTATTTTGACCTCGTCCAAACTTCGGTATAAGTTCGTTAAGTACCTACATAATTAGCGTTTGCACAGGAGATTGTAACATGGAAAATGTAGGCACAAGTTATCCGATCGACTCCACCAACTTAACCAGATTTTTGAACAGTCAGACGAGCACAATCTAGCACAAAACTGACGAGGAGTACTCTTGTGCCCATTTATTTCTATGTTATCCAAAATGTGAACTCACAGGTCTCGAAGGGTGAAGAGATTTGCGAATGCTCTCTCCGGTAAAGATGTTAAAGAATTACTGCTCAGGTCCCTGTGAACAAGAACATCAAAATGTATGATGTAAATCAAGGATCCGTAGTTTGGTGGTTGTCATGACAATTACTGTTCATTGAAGTCATTGAACATAGTACAAAGGTACTCAAAACAAGGTTAACCCAATTAATAAAAATTCACGGTTCGCGTGAGACTCGGTTTCTCTATATAGAGGCCGAGTTTTCCGCATCCGTAGGAACGCCACCACCCTTCAAGGATCAAGGCGCAGATGCAGCTCCTAAAGCGGTGGGAGGAGAGTAGATCAGCTCACCAGCATGTGGTCAAAGACCGAAAATCCCATTCACTGCATCCATATTTTCCTCGTGCCAGGCCTTAACCCAATATGAACGGTATAATTGGATTTTTCGGTCATAACCGTGTAGTGCATGGTGGTAACACTCACATGTTAGTACCTTCGATTTCCCTTTCCCAGGTGTAGCATTAAGTACTCTCCTGAGGAAAATTCTTAGAAACTCAATCTTCTTTGGATTGAACAGGAGACCTCTACTAGACAGAAGGTGGTCAATCTTGGTGAGATCAGAACTGAGTTTGGTGGTGAGAACCATAATTTCATCGCCGGATCGATAGTGCGTGATGTCATCTGAGTACTGTTCTGCCGACATTTGGAGTGCTGGAATACAGAAGAGATCTCCAGAATATACTCAAAGAATAGGACTGGTCCTAGGACGGAATGCTGCAGCAGATTCTACACCAACAATAACCTGCTGTTGTTGACCTGCCAGGTAGATCCAAAACGATCGCAGAACGATGGCAGGTATTCAGATGGCTTGGGGGTCAAGGAAAAGCCGGCTGCGCTGCACCCAATCGAATGCCTTGGACATATCCACAAAAACTGTTCTGCAGTAGAGTGGTGTTGCTTCTATAATTTTACTACAATGTCTAGCTCAGTTTGGTTGTCTTCTTCTAAGCTTCAATTAATACTGTAATAGCGTATGCCTGTTTCTAGGTTCCCTTCATAACGTTGGGTTAGCTGTTGGGCTAACCATAGTTAGCGATAAGACCGATGCGCTGCTCTCTATCGCATGCTAGCTGCGACTGAGCTGGCTTTACACGTGCACTCAACTGCTGTGCATGCGCCCAAATCGCATTGGGTAGCTCTTGCTGCGCTGACTTTGGCTTGCGCTTTCCTTTGCAGTGTCACTGAGCAGCAACCGGAATTTGTTTGCCACCCACCCTCCCATTCCCACATTATATAGGTGGGAACAGCTTCCTTCAACTGGTTGCTTTGCTGCTACTATCTCTGCTTAAAATGGCATACTATTGGTCGGCTGTTTGCGACGCCAATCAGTAGTCATTGCACCCGGTCGCGGGTACTATTGCCGCTCAAGCATGAGCGATTGCTTTGGCCGTTTGCAACGCCAATTGCTTCACCCTGGTTGGCTGTTTGCAACGTCGATCAGGGAACTTTGCACCCGGTCGCGGGTACTGCTGCGGCTCAGTCGTGAGCGATCACTTTGGCTGTTTGCAACGCCAATCGCTTCACCAGTTGATCGAAACCAGCACACTGGTGTACCCCAATCATCCTCGTGCGGTGTTGTGAGAATACGTGGGTATGCATGCAGCTTTGCTCTGTGACTTTCCATTGCATGTAGTCACTTGGCTCTCCCATTTCCTATACACTGCTCTGATGCATTCGGGTGCAAGCGCTACAATATGTTAAAGGGCTTTGCACAGTTGATCTACACCTGCACATTCTGAGCGAAATCGGAGAGATCGACTTGCACACATGTTTTGGTATACTCCGACATCCTCTCTTAGGTACATACATGTACTTTGCACAGACGAATGGTCTTTATCCAAACTATGTACTCACAAGTGCTGAAGGTTGGAGAGATTTGCAAATGTTCCCTCCGGTAAAGATGTTAAACTATTCCTGCTCAAGTACCTGTTAATTAACAAGAATAGCAGAATTGATGATGTGGATCAATGACCCGTAGTATGCGTGATTGGCTTGACACCTATACTGGTGAAGATCCATTTATTATTTCCATTAACCATAATACAAACGTACACAGAACAAGGTTAACCTCAAAATTGCACAGCTCAAGAATATGTTCAATCCCGAAAAATGGGAACGATTCAAACACTTCTTCATAGTTAAGAGAGCATGTCTGAGAAAACCAGAACATATGTGCAAGTCTGTTTCTCAGATTTAGCTCAAATTTTGCAGGTACGGTAGGTTTGCTTTGGGGTGTAGATCGACATTCCAAAGCCCGCGCAATATCTTTTGAAGGGAACCATGAAATCGGCATACCCCTCAATATTGGCCAAATATTGGCACGATTTATGGGTCTACAAACGAGCCACGGCACAGCATACAAGAACAAGCTACGAACAAAACTCCATCAAGCCAACATTACCTCACGTTCTTGGGGCAGGACCACTTAGCCACGCCATCATCCCAGAAGACGAGGGCAATCATCCCTTGACGCCACAAATGATCGTCTTGAAAATAGCCAAATTACAAGTGCTGATAAAACAGCGAGCTACATGTACGTCCTCAATTAGCAAACACTATACACCGCCAGATAGAAGAACACCTCTTCTAGCACTGAGGACATGTCCCCCATCATCCTTTTTGGGTTTTCTTGAAAATTAATAAACAATTTTGAATTTTTCCACTCGACCATTCCGAAATGCGTCCAAACTCATACCTGCGCAGGAAAGCTCGCCCCTCCGCGACGTCTAGTCAGCAATTTCTACTCCAACACCAATCCCAACGCTGCACAACACAGAGCAAGCTTCTCCTTGCGCCACCGACATTTTTCGGTGCAACAGTTGATGCAAAAGTAACTGCATTTTTGCGTGTAGTTTTTGGATTTTACTGCAAGAGCCAGAGCCAGGAATGATGAAATCACGTGCCTCGTGACACAAGCCAGGTACACAAGCCAGGTCTCGTTGATCACGGTTCAGCAGTTGTTCCGTCCTTGATCAAGCGCACCTGCACTTACATGGATCACCCGTTGATCTAGATCGGATCAAGTGCATCTTGATGTCCAGCTCAAGAGCACGCATGTCGATTGTCGTGTTGTAGGCCTTCCAGCCGGGACTTTCCCTCGACATGCAGCACAGAGACTAGGCGAGTAG